TTCGCCCTAATTAAAAGTTGACAATTTTTTTAGTCGACTCAGTGATTTCTTTATGTGATTTTGGATCGTGTTAATTCATCAGGTTTCCTTATCCTCTTTGTACTGATTGTGGATTTCACTTTAATAACACTGACCTGAATATGAGTCGGTAGGTAGGACAAATGAGCATAGAAACTATCATCATTTTTCTTTATTTTTGCCATAATTAAAAATTTAGCTGACTCTATGATTTCTTTATGTAATTTTGGAACGTGTTCCAAATGAGGTCGGTACAAAAATATTTTTGTATTCCACGCTGTTTTATCAAATAAATAATAATATTGTTGTTAACTAAAAGTTAAATAATCCGTCGTAATTAATGTTACTTAAGTGGAAGTTTCATTAAAATTTCATTACACAAAATGACAATAAACAATTATCCTTTGTTGTACAAAAAACAAATAACTAACTTTTTTGATGTATATTTTTATAGACGCAGAGAGTTATTAAACCCATCATCCACAATTCCCAAAAAAAAAAAAAATTAAAATAAAAAATAAAAAAAAATAAAACACCAACGATCGTTTCAATAATCCTCCAATAAATTACCGACCGGTCCCCGTAGGTCTTTCTCTACTCTTATCTTGTTCACGCAGTCGGCCGTCGATCGGCCTTTTCGGTATTCGTCACGGCCGGTCGGCGTTCCGTCGCGGAAAATTCGTTTGGGCGGCTGCACCTACCCCGCAAGAGGTCGACGATCGACCTGTCGTTGTCGGACGGCCGGGGGTCCCCCCAAACACCGACTACCAAACTGAAATTTCTAGCCGGAGTTTCGAGAGAACTTACGATATATTTGTTTCGACCGGTATCGGTCGTATGCATCGCGCACTCGAATTTCCGAATTCGGTTTAATTACCATTCTACGTTAAAGCGTGTTCGAGTTTAAAGTGGCGTGACGTCACTAGATGAATTGTCAAACCATATGCGGGTAAATGCAAATCGTGACGATAAATTGGTGTAATTAACTATAAAAAGTGATCTACTGGATAATTATTTTTGGACATTGACATTAATTTCGAGTTTAACGTTCTCGGAAAGCCGAATGTTACTGAATTTCGAGAATAAAGAACGACTTTAGAGATAATGGACGTGAGTTTAGTGAGTTAGAAGCGCGGGCTACCTGCTAGTTTCGCCCACTGGGAGATCGGCCCCGAGCCCCTGGGCCTTGACCTTCGGTTTTAGGAGACTTCCGTCCAACGAATTCTCTCCACATAACGAATTTTTTTTAAATGTACGTCAATTGATGTACAGAAATATTTCTAATTTAAACAATTTTAGGAAGACTCATCCTAGAACATAAGTACAATATTAACCTAATCATTCATTATTTTACAATTTACGAACGATTATTCAGGTCGGCGAGTTCGTTAGACTATTAATTACACAATGGTATAAAAACCGGCTAATTTTTATCCTGGGAAAATTAATTATCGAATTATTTCGGAACGTTCGTTTGTTGTTATGATAAAAATCTCCACGGTCAGCAAAATCGTTAATGCTATTATAAGCAAACTTATAATCGCTTTCATTTCGAATACATTACGAGTATATTACTTTCACTTCTTCATTTTTGTTGACCCAAAGACATACTTAACTCTCACCTCGAGCGTACTCTGTATAAATGTTTCAAAAAAAATGTACTCACGATGCTTTTATAGTGTTTATCTGTAGGGATAAAATGATTCCAAATAAAAGCATCCAAAACTCAAAAAAACCGTCGAAACACCACCAATTCTTATGCGCAAAATTCCTCTTAAACATGAGCAGTAAAATATGCAATAAAATCGCGAAAGCATCAATCACAAACTCGAGCCTCCTCGTCATCGGCACCGTCGCTCGAAGACCTCCAGGGGTACACGGACGAACCTCCGATGATCTACCGTCATCGTCATCGAGCTCTCTTAATTCCCCGGCAAACGCAAACCGACGAGCGAAGCGCCCATTTTCGAATCTCGAGCTTATTGAAATCGCATATGACTTTGGGTATTGAGGACGCGAGGCGATGGCGATACGACTTCTCCGGCGAAGCCGCCGCGCAAGGTAAAAGTTCGCGACGTTGCCGGCGCCTCCGTCTCGCTGGCACAGACGTCGCTCGGACTGCGGCGGCTCTCTCGGAGCGATGGAGGAAGCAGAAAAATCAACCGACCTTGAAACTTCGCCAAAGTGCCGTTACCGGAACGAGAACAATGCCGGATCGGGCTCGAATAGTTCGACAAATCGCGGAAAAAATCATCTTCGCGACGTAGTGCGTACACAAGAGACCCAAAATCCAACAAGAGGCTCGAGTATGCCGAAGGAATCGACGTCGCCTCCGAGGAATTAATGGTAAGTAACCAATTGAGGCTGCTAAACCCATAAAAATTCCAAATATGCTCGCGTATGCCGAAGGAAACGACACCATCTCCGACAAATAACCATATATAATCGGGGAACATATTTTTGAGTGATCATCTCTGGAACGATGACCCGGCACAGATAAATTAAATTACCATTTCTTTTCGTTAACAATGCCCGCAACGGATCCAAAGGTTCCTCCCGCTTGTTTACCGCATCTCTTATCGGCTATTGAATCGACTTTGTAATTGCCAGAAATCGCCGGCAATGAGAGGAAATTTCGGAAAATCGTTACATTGCGATTATTCGATGACGGATTTACGATGGACAGGATAGAAAAAAAAACGTAACGATTCGAATTAATAAGAGGAAGCTATTTTTAACTTTTAACTGCACCTTCTGAATAAACAACGCACGCCGATATATCAGCAGGCGCCGCGTTCTTATCTCTTTACTATTGCAATGCAAATACTTTTAGAATTTCGAAAATATATAAATAATGGCCAAATGTTCCCAAAATGATGATATTTTGGAAGATTTAAATTGAGATTATCTTACTACAAGAGTTGATTTCACTGTAGAACAAAAGTTTCTAGTTTATTATCAATTAATTCCACTTGTATTATGTAACACTTTATGTTATTATAACCTTCCCGAGGTTACAAAATAAAGTAGAATAACCGATTTAAACTACAACCTACATTATTATAATAAAATAAGAAACTCATTCTAAAAATGAATGAAAGCACGTGGACACTAAGTAAATAATAAATAACAAACTCATCAAAATTCGTAATTAAATAAAAACGCACTTTTAAAAAGCGCCGTCATAACATCGTTAAACGGGAAATTTATCACCATTCGAATTACAATCTGAAATTCCCACATAGAAAACAATTAACCGAAATAAATAATTAGCATTAAATCACGTATTCTCGTACATGCGGACCCAATCAACGGTAAATTATTATCCAAACATATCCAAAATATCCAAAATCCACTTGTAACGCAAGGTTGATGCAGAACTTCGCGGTTAATTAATTGCCTACCGGCCATAATTCGCATTACAGAATAACTTTGCTAAATTGGGAATTTGAAAGGTTTTACGCAAATTAATCGAAAAACAAATGTAGCTCGCGAAAATTATTACAAAAAATAAACTAATTAATGGATTCTGGTAGATAATTGGGATATGTTGGCAGACCTGGTTTATACTTCCTTAGTAAATGTTGGTACGTATGATTTTTTACTGCTGAGAATTTGTAAGTAAAGTTTTTTCCCCAAAACAAAAGTATAGTTAGATAAAATTCATGTAAAAATTGAGTTAAGAGTAATAAAATAAAATATACGAGTTCAAAATTGTTTCAGTTTCATAATTTTTATTTATAAAAAGTTTTCAAATGACCTGTGTCAAATGCCAATATTCGAAATGTCAATGTCAAAGACCTACTTGACGCATTTTTCAAAATTAGTTTTCTAATAAAACTGCTAACTTTTTGCCAACAATACAGATAATTATAGATTTTATTGTTTGAAAAATTCCTTTCAGTTTATTATTGGATATTTTCCATTCGGTTAATTTTATATTAATTTTTGACGTTTCAAAAAACACGAAACACAAAAATCGAAGAAAAATTTCTACAACAAACAGTTATGTACAAAAACTCAATTTTCAAGAAATGTACTCGTTTTTCCGACTAAAAAAATCGTCGACTGTTTATGATTTATCAAAAAAATATTCGAAAAAAATATTGTTAGAAATGTTAGGAAAACAACTTTGAAAATGTATTAAACAATATTAGAAACGAATTATGTATCTTACCTTTATTCGCTCGAAATCGATATAAAAACTTGTTATTAATCCAAATATTGCAGGTAATCACGTAAATCCAAATAATACGAGACACTCCACTGATTACAAAAATTACAAAATCACACACTTGGCGGGTGCAAATCCTCGGCAATATCGAAGACGAACGGACAAAAATCTTTGTAAATCCAACTCGGTTAGAGGCGCATCAAACTGTACGAAACCAAAAATAACATACTACGTGGCAAAGAAACAAAAATAGCAGACACAATCGCGAGATTATCGCTATGTAAACATTTTTCTACGGCACTTCACACACATACACACACACAAAGTAGTCGCATACAAATCCACTTGCAACAAAGTCGGCGTTGCAACAACAATGGCCGTTTTTTGACGTTTCCGTAACGCCGCCCGAGATGACACCGTGCCGTAAATTTCGACTGCGATTCCGGCCGAATTCTTCAGGGGGTTCCTTCGACAAAAGAATGGGAGAAAAAGTGGCAGGCGCGGTTTGAAGAACAAACTTCGTACGCGTTCACTTCGATTGCTTCGACTCGAATGAGAGCGGTGCGGCGGGAAGGAAAAGCACAACGCAGAATTGCGGAGTGGGGATTTCAGGCCGCCCGTTGTCGTCCTCGTTGTCTTCGCGGCGTTGCCTGTTCCACAGGAATTTCGCGGGTTTAGGGAATCGATCAGTTTTTGGGTAATTGGATATCGCTGTCGATTTTAATTTGTTTGATCAAATGTATTCTCCGACTTTAATTTTTCCAGCAATCGGTAACAACAAGTTCTTAATTTAATAATAAAAAATGTGTCCTATAATTCAAACTTGCTATTGTACAGCATACAACTTTTATTCGTAAAATAATGTCACAATACATACAAATTAACTTAATTATAAAGGTTTCAACTTCGTTCGTCTTATTGGTAATATAATTCTATGTTCATTCCATCGTGAATTTCATCTAAAAACAGTATTAAGGAAAACAAGATAAACAAATTTATGAACTGTGCCATACAAAATCGATCATTCGTAAACAAAGTATATTTTTAGTTAAACTTATTCCATACAAATTTATGTATTACTTATTCACTGAAAATTGAATTAACAAAAGGATACAATCCTGCAATTGGATGTGGTCTTTGAATGTTGTGTACCATTTTTTCAAGACAATTTTATCCCATCGTGTACCAGTTTGTGCGGCTATGAGCTTCTTCAAATCGCCCACTGTATCGTCGGGGTTACATTTAACCCTTACTTTCTTCCCTAGACGATCGTTGCAAGTTATTTCGATCATTTTATCTTTAATTTGAATCAAAACAACACAAATCTTAATAAAAGATTACTGCTCATACGACGGAGTGACGTTTTTTTGACGTTTGATATTTATAGGTTAATTTCTTCTTCTTTTTAGTTTTTTTTGTAATAAGTTTATTTAGTAGTTCATACGTATCACAAAAAAGATTAATTTGACATTGTCAATTGTCATTATTGTCAAAGTCAAAAGAACGTGCTGTGTTATAAAAATAAAAATACCAAAATAATTAAATAAAGTAATAAAAACACATTTTCTTATACTTACAGCGAATTCTATCACCATTTCTCAAAATGGTTAAGAAAAAGAACGGTACGTTTCAATAATACATCCTCATTAGCAATAATTTAAACATCCCCATTCCAGCTTATGGGCATCTTACTGTAGAGGAGAGGAAAGTAATAACAGTCGCCGAAGTGGTGCAAGAATTGATAAAAGCCCAAGAAGACAGGAGGGATGTGAATTTAAATTCGTTAAAAAATAAAATCGCGTCTAAATACAACTTAGAAACCGCCCCTCGATTAGTAGATATTATCTCAGCGGTACCCTCAAATTACAAGAAAATGCTCGTACCCAAGCTACTAGCTAAACCGATTAGAACAGCCAGTGGTGTACGTAAGCATCCAAGCATATTACATCCCCGTTAATACTAAAAAGAATATTTTAGATTGCAGTGGTAGCCGTAATGTGTAAGCCCCACCGTTGCCCCCATATTAATCTCACAGGCAACATCTGCGTTTATTGCCCCGGCGGCCCCGATTCCGATTTCGAGTACTCCACTCAAAGCTACACCGGCTACGAGCCGACCTCGATGAGAGCTATACGAGCTAGATACGACCCATATCTTCAAACTAGACACCGAGTCGAACAGCTCAAGCAGCTGGGACATTCTGTAGATAAAGTAGAATTCATCGTGATGGGTGGAACGTTTATGAGTTTACCCGATGATTACAGGTAGTTGTACGCTAATAAAATAGATAATTCGATTAATAATTTAATAAATTTCAGAGATTACTTTATTAGGAATTTACACGACGCTTTATCTGGGCATAAAAGCAGTTCTGTAGATGAAGCGGTGATTTACTCGGAAAGGAGTAACACGAAATGTATCGGCATCACTATAGAAACCAGGCCGGATTATTGTTTGGAGAAACATTTGTCTGATATGTTGAAATATGGATGCACCAGGCTCGAAATAGGTACAAAATAATGCTAATGAATGCATTAATATGCTTAATAAAAAATATTCTAGGGGTACAATCAGTGTACGAAGACGTAGCTTTGGATACTAACAGGGGGCACACGGTAAAAGCAGTTTGCGGTACCTTTCATTTAGCTAAAGATGCCGGTTTCAAAGTAGTCGCGCACATGATGCCCGACCTACCTAATGTCGATTTAGAACGAGACATCGAGCAATTTATAGTTAGTAAAAATATTAATCGAATCCTCTTAGAATCCTACATGTATTTTATTTGTAGGAATTCTTCGAAAACCCAGCCTTCAGAGCGGACGGTTTGAAGATTTACCCCACTCTCGTTATAAGAGGTACAGGTTTATACGAATTGTGGAAAACCGGCCGTTATAAAAGTTACCCACCGTCGGTACTCGTTGACCTGATAGCTAAAATACTGGCTCTAGTACCACCGTGGACGAGAGTGTACAGAGTGCAAAGAGATATTCCGATGCCACTAGTGAGGTAATTCTCGATCATATTTCTCATCAGACGTACATGTAGGTATTGGCATTTGTAGCTCGGGAGTTGAACACGGAAACCTCAGAGAACTGGCATTGAACAGAATGAAAGATCTTGGTTTAAAATGCCGCGACGTTCGCACTAGAGAAGTCGGCATTACCGAAATCCACGAAAAGGTCAGACCGAACGATGTGGAATCGGTAAGAAGAGATTATAAAGCGAACGGAGGATGGGAGACTTTCTTGAGCTACGAAGACCCAGCGCAGGATATTCTAGTGGGATTATTAAGGTACTCCAAAATGGTTTAGAACAGCTCTGATTGGTTTGGAACTACTCAGAACCTTTAGGAATTATCCAAGGTCGTTTTAAACTGTTCGAAATGGTTTGGAACTTTTCAGGACCTTTGGGAACTATCCAGGCCGTTTGGCACTGTTCTAAATGGTTATAATTACTTCTGAATGGTTTAGAATAACTCTGGGCGGTTTGGAATGGTTTCTAAATCGATTTTTGCTATTTGCTAACGTTATTTTCGTTTAGGTTAAGGAAATGCTCCGATTTAACCTACCGCCCGGAGTTGCTCGGCGGTTGTTCGATAATCAGGGAGCTCCACGTGTACGGTAGCGTTGTGCCAGTAAGCGGTAGAGACGAAAAGAAGTTCCAGCATCAGGGCTACGGGACGTTGTTGATGAATTGGGCGGAAGAAATAGCCATTAACGAGCACGAATCTAATAAAATCGCCGTCATTTCCGGTAAATTTCTAGTCGCAATTGCAACGTAACGTTTTGTGATACATTTTTTTATTGAAGGTGTTGGTACTCGAAACTATTATAGAAAGTTGGGGTACGAATTGGAAGGTCCTTATATGGTGAAAAGTTTAAAACCAGGAGAGTATATAAGTTCGTTTGATTACCTACATGGATCCGTTTTGAAGTTCGATGGAAATAACAATCTAATCAAGCAAATAATCGACGATAACGATGAAGACGAAGAGAACGAGTGGTTGAAGCAATTTGACAATGAATGTCGAAATAAATAAATAAATAAATAAAAGTTTAACGTTCACAATATTGTCTCGTTTTAATTATGACGTCTCGTAACCAAGCGATCGATCGCCCTCAAACACTGACAATCCGTTTATCATGCTTTTTAGTGGGTTTACCAAAATTTCCTTAGGATGTCCCAAATAGAAGTGAAAGCCTACCAGCTCCGCGACGAGGCCGTGAAGTGCGTGAACAGCACGAGCTTCCTCAAGCAGCTCTTCTCCAAGTCCAGAACGCACCTGCAGGAGTCCGTGGAGTACTTCAAGCGGGCGGGGAACCTGTTCCGCACGGCCAAGAACTGGCCCCAAGCGGCCACGGCCTTCTCCGACGCCGCCAACCTCAGCCTGAAGAGGAACGACTGCGGCGAGGCCGCCTACAGCCTCGTGGAGGCGGCGAATTGCTACAAGAACTTCGACAGGTCCAGGGCTATAGAAGTCTACCTCAAAGCTATCGATATATACGAGAAAAACGGTAAGAATACGGAGCGTAATCGCCAGGTAGACTGCATATAAACTGTGTTAAAGGGAAGGTTATGACCACTGCCAAGTACTACCAAATCATAGCTGAAATTTTGGACGACGAACTGGACATCGACGAAGCGATTCACTATTACGCGAAGGCGGCGCGGCTTTACAGAAAAGAAAGCAGCTTCGCTGCAGCTAATAAATGTTACGAGAAAATCGCAGAACACACAGCTCTGATGCAAAACTATATCGAGGTAAACGCTCAACGATTCTAAACCCCTTACCTCAACGATCTATCGCACAGGCCATAAAGATCTTCGAAGAGATAGCTTGCTGGGACATGGCCAGTTCCATTCACAAGTACGCGGCGAAGCAGTACTTCTTCAGGGCCGCCATTTGCCTGCTTTGCACCGGATGCGACGTCGCCGCCAAGCTGCGAACCTACCTCAACATACACCCGGCCTTCGAGGACACCAAGGAGCACCGGCTGATAATGTACCTGCACAACTGCTTGCAAGTGGGCGACGCGGAGGGATACGAGAGAGCCATCAAGAAATTCGACGCTGTCACCGAGTTGAGTCAATGGCACATCACGATGTTGCTCAGGGCGAAAAACAATATGGAGGAACCCTAGCGGATGAATTTAATTTTGAATAAAATGTATCGTATGGAGTAGGTCTTTTTTTGGTTGTGGAACTGAAAAACTTGTGTTAATTTTAGTCTGTAATTACAATTATTAATGCAACGTTTAGACAATTATTTACTGGAATTACTCAGAACATTTTGGAACTGTACAGGGTTGTTGGAACTTGCTTGGAACAGTTATAAATGGTTTAGAAGTACCCATGACCTTTTGGAACCACTCAGGACTTTTGGGAATTGAGTAGAGTCCTTTGAACTGTTCTAAATGGTTTTGAACTGCCCAGGGCCGTTTGAAATTGTTCTAAAATGGTTACGACGAATAAATTTAATATTGAATAAAATGTATCATGAGGAAGTAGGTCTTTTTTTGGTTGTGGAAGTGAAAAACTTGTGTTAATTTAGGTCTGTAATTACAATTATTAATACAACGTTTGGACACTTATTTACCTGATTCTTTTGTCATGCAACAAATGCATCAGAGCTAAATGACACCGATTTTTAATTAGAAGATAGCCAATTAGAATTTTGAGCTGGATAAAGTACCCAAGAGCTAAAAGTCAACACGTACCAAAAAAATGAAATACAATAAAAAAGTAAGTACTTGACCCAACTCTGTAAGAGACTTGAATTGAAAACGAAATTTTCCACATATTAAAATATTAACCCTAATTAATATAAAAAAATACATCGATCAAACATGTCAATAATTTAAATTGAAATTGATTAATTTACTTAATAAATGTCGAATTTTTGTTCGAGCATTACTGAGGATTAGGTTGAGGTGGATAATTGTAAGCATATCCACCTTGTGGAGGTCCTGGCGGTGCAGGCGGTCCAGGAGGACCCGGTGGACCTTGAGCTGGAGGCGGTCTAAAGTAAAAATAACCACAATTCTTGAGAACAAACCAAAAATAAAACCAGAAAAACACTACAACATGCGTTCATTATAATACTCTAATAAATCATCAACAAACTACAACTAATAACGTTTATTTAGTTTTTGTAGTTTATAAACATGTTCATGCAACTAGACAATAATCCCGAAAAATCATGCGAGTATAATCCCATTTAGGCTGCACTCACCGATAGTATTGCTGTTGACTGTATTGTTGAGATGGATACGCTCCCGCTCCCGTTTGCGGCGGTTGATATGCGTAATTAGTTGGAGATGTAGAGCACTGATTAGGCCCTTGGTAGTTTTGCGGTGCTGTAAAATTGCTACTGGAGCCAGACGAGTTCGGCGGATATGTTCCTGGTGGATAAAAATCGATTAATTTTCGACAAATTTGTTCCAATTCCTTCCAAATTTAGATGAAATTTGTTCGAAATTCGATTGTTCTTTGCCAATTTCGTTTATAAATTATCGATCAAATCTCGCCAAATTTGTTCTTAAGAAAAATCTCAATCAATTCTTGCCAAATTTGTTCATAAATGTAACAATTTTAGAACACACACCTCCTTGGGTGTAAGTTTGCGATACGGGAGCAGGAGTACCGCACGTCGGTGTAGGGCTGTGAGCGGTGTTCGGTTGATTACCGTAACATTGATTCGGATTTTGTGATTGGGGATTCCCGTATCCCTGAGCGTACGTGTACTGGTACTGATTGCCGGGATATTGACCGCCGCCGCCGCCGCCGCCGCTCTGCTGGTTCTGACCGCTGGTGGGGGCGGCGTAATTGGTGGACGTCGGGCACTGTTGTTGCTGGCCGCCCTGCTGGCCTTGTTGTTGCTGTTGTTGAGCCGTAGGCGGTTGTTGCTGTTGCGGGTACGCCCCTAATGTACGAAAAAAAAAAAAAACGGAACTCGTTAAATGTGCGTAATTAATCGAATTCAACGAGTTAATGAATCGTTCTTTTTATTACGAAACGAACAAGGTGAATTCCATATAGAAGACTTACAGAAGGTGTTTCCGTAGCCGGGTGGAGTGTGGGGTGGCATGATATCTTGCATGGTGTTTTTGTGTTGTTGTTGATCGTTTTTAGAAGCCATTTTTTCGTTAAATTACTTTTGAATTTAGAATGCGATGAATTTCAAAATTTGTTCCAAAATTGATGAATTTACTGACAAATAGATTTCAAGCGAAAGTCATAATGTTACACTACAGTTTCCATGGCAAACAATTCAATTTTATCGTGCTCTAAAGTCTAGTTAACATTGCTATTTAAACATACAAGGTGTTTTAAATTTCCTTACCCAAGGGAATCACATTAAACCTAATTATTTTTTCATATCACACTCACAAAACTCATTAATTCCTGTAAAAAATTAAACATACCTTGAGGTTGGTAATTACTGTGGGGCTGCGGAGCCGTCGTAGGAGGTTGCCCGTAATTGGCCGGAGGCGGAGGATTCGGAGGATAGCCGGGCGGTTGATTGGGCGGCGGGGCGTACCCTTGAGGGGGATAATTGGGCCCTTGATTAGGCGGATATTGATTCTGGTACTGTCCCTGCGGATATCCTCGTTGTGGATAAGGATGCGGAGGACCCGGCGGGCCTCCGGGACGTTGCGGGGGTCCCGGTTGTTGTCTAAAACAAATCGAGGGTGTTTAAATATGTACCCGTTCGAAGAAGGTAAGTTAATATATACCTAAATCCGCCCGGTGGAGGAGCAGGGGGCTGCTGCTGGGGATTGTAATTGTTCACGTTGTGCTGCTGGTCGCTCGGAGGCGGAGGATTGTGATTGGGCGGCTGAGCCGGTGCAGGGCCTGGTGGTTGGATCATCTAAAGTAAACCCATTAATTAAATATAAAATAACAAAACGAATTACGTACCGGCAAGAGCGAATTCATATTGTGCGCTGAGTCAGCAACTGTAGCCAAGTACACTAAATTTCTGTGCAACGTAGTTTGCATTTGCATCACCTCTTGGGCTTTGCCTTTGCTTTGGTGCTCTTGGATGACTTGGATTAAATGGCCGTTTTCGTCCAAAATTCGTTGGATTGTTTTGGGATCCGGCGGTGGTTTTGGACCGCGCTGTGGCGCGAATGTAGAAGACATTTTAATCGGGCGAGCTTCGATCGAAAACTGCAGCTATAAACTTTTAAAAACTAATTGGAATCTGTATTTAACTGTGTTTAAACTAGAAATGTGCTTTTAATATATTATAATGTTCAAATTAGAGTTTGTAAATGCTCGGTATCTTGCTTTTCGTTGACACTTGCGAAAGTAGTTTTGACACTTTTGACAGATGCGTAAACAGAAAACACTCTTCTTTTTTATAAACTATGGTCTACTACTTAAGCTGTAAACGGTCGCAACATAAATAATTTTTATATAAATTAATAGAAAATATACAGATAACTGGAAAGTTATACAAAATATGGTTGCAACAAAGAAAACGAGACATTTAATAGAAAGAGACTCTTTAAAGGAAAAAGAGACATTGTGGTATTGCAACTTTCTCTCTCTAACCACTGTTATTGTTTTATTCTTTCTTTGTCCAACTTATAGAATTGATCATTTACCCTTATCCATATGCATTTTATAATTACATTTTTTACATCCATCACTAATAAAAACAAATAAGAATAATACACGAATTGGTTTTATTGCAATATATTTAAATTTCATTATCCTGTTCCCCTCTGTATACATAAACATTCACGTTCTCCAAAAAATGCGTTAACATAGTAATAATCTTATTATGTAACAAAAAACCTCTCCTAGCACTAACATAATTCATAACTAAACCGGTATATCCACCGCTTTCGGTGATCCTATTAATTTCAATTATACACCTTTTAAAACTCACAAAATCGAATTTGTGGCCCGCGTATTTCATCGTAATACAACAACAAATACAATGCCCGCCCGTTTCGTACATCAAAACGCTCCCTAAATCCTTTCGCTTCGATTTAAACGCATGCAAAAAGTTATATTTCTTATCCAACTCCCTCATCTCATCCGTCGCTCGACCATCGCTCGAACCGAAACACAATATAACAGCCCTAATAGACTCCAAATTGGTCAAGCTCTCCGTGCAAGTGGAAACTCCTATGCGCTCCTCGAAGTTACCCAACCTTCTATCAAACGAATCGTCGTTACTGGCTATACTGCTGCAAGACATTTGCTCGACATCGTCCTCCGCTTTACGGAATTTACAACACACAATTTCCACATCCACGTTTCGGAACAGATATTCTATTATACACTGCACCACGGGCCAATCCAATTTATCCAGACCGCATCCCAACGTCGGTATACCTAAGAATCTCACGCTATTCGCTCGAACGTGATCCCTCAGGAGAGCTATCGAACGCCACATATCGCTGTAGGTCGGTTTGTGATTGGATAACCTCTTCGTTACCAAATAATACACGAATCGTTCGCCATTATTCAACACCGCGAGTCCGCCGGCAGTTTGGCATTGTTCCAGCAGCTCGTCGGTCGATCCGAAGGTATTTCGAAACGTCACAGCTACTCCACGGCTCATCCGGAAATCCTCCGATACGCAATGGGCCAGCGAGTACTTGGCCGGCAACTGGAACAAATCCATTTCTCTGTCTACCACCCTCCTGTGCGTGATGTTTTTGTTGAAGTTCCTGATCGCCCAACGGCGGTCTTTGTTGTTGGAGTATTCCAGCAGGAATTCCTCGTTTTCCCGGACGAATTCGTTGAACTCGGCGTTCTCTCGGAGCGAATCGTCGCTGAATAGGCCGGCGATGTTGCGTTGGCTGGATAACCCGTCGAGAGACGTTCGTTTGATCGGGGTCTCTCTTCGATCGTCGTTTCTTTCTAATTTGAGATCTCTGTATTTGGGAAACTCGTTGGGGCTGACGATTTCTGCGGAGACTCGATGGCCGCGCATCGAACTGTACCGTTTCGGTTTGTATTTAGTATAGTCTTCTTCTTCTTTCCAATCGGATGGTTCGGTTCTCGGAGTCCTCTCGGAACGTTTTCTAAACGATTTCTCCCTTACAACGGTCCTGTGTTCTTCGTTCTTCGAATTGATCGACCGGCGGGGCTCTCTCCTCGGTTTGAAATCATCCAAGTTATCTAAAAAAATACCAGAAACAGGTAAAATAAACAAATTTATTGTAAAAATTAAATCTCACCTTCATTAGATCGGTTGATTTCTTCAGAATAGTATGACGATCTTCCTACTCTTCGACGATCATTATTATCAAATCCTCTCTTTCCTGTATCATCTGGGCTATGTTTTTCTCTTGCATCTTTATTCGTTCGATTCCTTCTGCTGTTACTTCTACTAAGAGATTTCTCTGGTTCGTGCGACGTTGATTCCAATTGGTTTTTCATCAGCTCGCTGATACGTAAATGGCTATTTTTCCTTTGAGCTGGCGCATTTCTACCGGAATTCCCACTCACTTCTAACCCTAAATCGGTTACATTGTTTACAGATGAATCAAAAACTAAGCTCGGCATAAAATTTTGGTTTATCTCTACGATCGGTTGCAATTCCAAACCTCCATTTAATTCGTCGCATTGATACTGATATGGGTGATATGGCTGGCAGTTGGTTTGAAGGCCTTCGTTTATATGGAACTGTTTCGGTTCGAATGATACAGCATTAGGGTTCAAATTCGAACTCACCGAACGGTTGAAATCGGATATGTTGTAATCACTAAGCGTGGGATCGTACAAAGGCTCCGGTAAACTAGCGATTTGAATGGAACGAGGAAAGGCTTCGCTGATTCCACTATCTTCGTCGTTTGTTAAAGTGTATTGGAAACCAGACGCCATGAGTACGCCCAATTCGTTTCCAATGAATTTCTCTTCTAATAACTTGAGGAACTGTATAATGTATACGAAGCACTTTTGCTGTTGTATTGATAAGAATGATCAAAATAAAATGGAAACATAGCACTAATTTCAGAGTGGTTTAGTGTTTACGTCTTTATTGTCATTTAGACATATGACAGGTTGACACGTGTCGATAAATGATACCATTCTTCTTTTTTTGTGATTGTTGACAATCTATTATCTTGAGCTGGATTGCCGAAACGCAAGAGGCTATAATACAAAAATTACGAGTTTTTTAAATTATTTTTGAAAAACCCATGATTTAATCTTTGAAAAAGCAAGAAACAAAACGAAATATACGTAGCAAAAATAACCGTAACGATCGTTATCCAATTTATTCAACAATTATTAACATTATTCTAACAAATTTCAAATTCAAAAGCGAATACTAAACGGTGGAGAAACCGCCGCCCGAGAAGCTCCTCCTAAATCCGACGCCCTCCGCCGCGACGCTGCTTATGCTCACTTTCGAATTGAAAATCAACTCGGAATCCGAGAAGTACCTCACCAAATTCTCCTCCGATAAACTGATCGTCCGCCTGGCGTGTCGCAGGAGATTCATCGACTGGCACTTGCGGATGCCCTTCTTTATTTCCTTGTAAATCCGCGAGTATTTCGGAAATTTCTCCAGGCATTTCGCCGCCTTGCCTTTGACCAAATCCTCATCAATCGCATTAGACGGGCCTGCTGTAGAGATATGAATGTTCGCAGATTCGATGAGTGTTTCGCTGGAAATGCTACTGGTATCTTCGGAATTATTCACAGCCGCTATGGATAAGTTATCGTAGGCTGGAGGAGGAGAATCTGGAATGCGAATCGAAGAGGAAGAGTAACAAGTTTGGCTGGTACTCGCGTTGGATAGTAGATTGTCGTTGGCCATCGATGGGGCTTCTTCCGTGAGGCAATTGCACCTCGAGCATCTGCAGAAACGATTTACCGAATTGCATAGATAATAAATTTGCAAATTCTCACCTGTTTAGATCGATTTTGACTTCTCCGACGCTTTTTAGGTGCTTCAAATTCAACAGCTCGTTGTATTCCGGTGGAGGTTCGTAGTCGGGAGGTTCGTCCGGTACGATTATTTCCTCTTCTATATCGCCCACACTTTCCTCTATAATAATAAATCGAGCATTTCGAGAATCATCGAGAATCGCATACTTTACCTAATATGGCGTGGATGGTTTCGATGTGATCCTGGATTTGCCGTTGATGTTGAGCTCTCACGTTCACTCTATACAGAAGCAAAGCCATCGCTAAAATAATACCGATCAAACCTACAAAATTTTAATGGTAATACGTGCACGAAAATCGAACGATAATTCTACCGAAACTGCAGGTCAAGAACACGAACGTAGCCGTCGTTATGTTCGAATAAGGCTCCTCTTTCGGGAACAAAAAATTCGGGATTTTGGAAAACTCGCGATGGTCTTTAGGATCTGAAATTCGCATATACGTTCCTGTAAATAATCGTCGTGTAAATCGAGATATTTACCCTGATAGCAGTTCAATTCGTCGCTCTCGTCGCCGCAATGATCGAAACCGTCGCAATACAACAATATTGAAATGCACCTCAAGTTGTGGCACAAAAAATCCGATCCTCCGAAGCAATCTAAATAGCGGAAATTTTAGATACTTACAGTGCGAGAGGTGTAGCTGAGGACGCGATAAACGCGCCGAATCTTCCAGTTATTCTATTACCTTTGTAATTGAAAGCGGCGTATAAAATAGCCAGTTGCGATTTAGGGGTGAAAATGCCGCGCAGTCTGATGTAAAATCCTTGATTGATCGGTACGACGTGCTCGACTTGTTTGGAATTACCGTAATGCACCATAGGATGCCTCAGAATTTCCACGGAAGGTTGATTCGAAGTTACGCCTTGTCTGATGGTCAATTCGGTGGTACCCGCTGTAAATAATGTATGTTTCGAAGAGTAAAATAGTTATAATGTAATTGCGAGTATTACCGAACTCTAGAAAAGTCGCCACTTTAACGTACAAGTGCGTTTTCCTATGCCTGAGATTTTCCGGCGGTTTGACGATCCACACGCAATCGAATAAAGTGGTGCCTTTCGTTACCATGTTCATCATGGTTATCCCGCCGCCTAGGTTATTTACGTTGCCTCCGCAACCTTAATTATACGAATACAAAATAAATCGGGATAGATATCTCTTCGAATTGTTTACCTATGTAAGGTTTGAAGGCAGAATCGTGTATGTTGCCCAAAACGAACGAATAGGCCGCTTTGAAGCCGAGATTTGTGGCTCCGTTAGCGTAGAATCTCACCACCAAAGACGGGCCGTTGCTGGTTATGACCGGCGGTCTGAAAATGTTGCCCGATATCACGTACATCCGCTGGCCGTTCCAGTCGAAAAACTGCAATATACAGGAAAAATAACGCATCGTAAGTTTGTAGTAGAAAGAATTAATGTAGAAGATGAATTCGTGGAAGAGGTGCTGTTTTGTAGGCAACAAAAAATGGCGCGTTTAGCTAGTAAAACGTTGGTGATTTAGAATGTTTGTGGTGAAAATCAAGTAGTTTAGATGAAAAATTGAATAAGGTTTTTAGACTGTAATTTTAGTACGGCCCATATTCAGTGTTCCTTTTTACCGCTAATCAATCGTTTAAAACAAGTGGCGTTAACTTACATTTGTTATTGTGGAGTAACTAAGAATTTTCTTTCATTTAACTGTTTTACATTGCTGGTTATAGATTAAATAAGGAGATTCTTTCAATGGACAGTTTTACATTGTTGTTATGGAATAACTAAGTACATTGTTTAGTTTACAAAGAGCTCTCGTTTGATTAGCAATGAAAAGGAGCCTATGTCTGCCATATAGAGAAAATTATATAAATGAAACTTCTGTACAACTTTTCGAATGTTCATACGTACTTCGACGATGGAAGACGGATCGAGCAAAAAATCGGTGAATATCAAATTGATGCGACAGGGCTCCAGCACGGACTCGCAATTTATGATGTATTCCGCGCTCAAATCGATCGGATACATGTGAGGAAAAAACGGCGAAGAAACGTATTGACTGGCGTTGTTCATGTTGCCCGGCTTGGGATAGCCCCAATAAACGAACCTGTTCCCTACAACAATCATTTATAAGATCCCACAACGGTGGAAAAACGACTGTACCTCATTAAATGTAGCTTGGCGGTTTGGATGCAAATTTTGACATTATTGACATTTCTTAGGTAGTGAATTCGATTCAATTTCTTCATCAAGATTTCCAACTGCCAAGCTACATTGAACGAGGTAAACTTTAGTATACTTTTAGTGATGTAATCCAGAGTGAAGGCGTATCCGTACTCGACGCTGTAGATGAACGTGAAGGCGATGGTCCTCGTTTGGCTGGTGTAGGACAATTGGGACGCGTTGCTGCGGACGAACCGGCCGCAGAACTGCTCGCCCGAGGCGTCTTCTATCTGGGGCTCGTAGATCCACACGTAGTCGCACCCGCACGAATCGAAGACGGACGCTTTGCCGCAGTTCCTCGATATGTTCAAGTACCTGGTTAGAGAACGATTACAGGCGCGATTGTTGGGGCGTCGCGAGGCGCTCACCTGAATTGTATGTCTATGACGCACGAAGGGCACGTTATGAATTCCACCGTGCATTTGTTGTATGAGGAATTGTTGCCGGTTTGGGGCGAGAGGATGTGCTTGTAGTCGGCCGAGAGGGAGCCGCTCTCGCCCGGTTCCAAGTAGAATCTCTTGCCATTGTTGGGGCCGCAAATGTCGTTCGATTGGCCTGCGGCTGTCGAGAGGAGTATAAAAAACTCGAAAAATTTACGCAAATGCATCTATAGAGGCGAATTAACGCGATCGACTGGCAGGGAATTTCGCGGAGAATGCGAATCGAATACCTACAAGTCGATTTAATCCTGTTAGGAGGGTATTTTTAATTATCGCACACGTGCTGGATTGACGATTGTAGGGCGTAAATGACGTGTGATTAGGGTGTTAATAAAAATTATTTGTTGTATTTTTTTAAATAACTTTTATTAAATCCATATAATCTGGCACAGAAAAATCACTTTAACCAAATTCTTTGGCTTGTATCATATAAAATCAATAAAATACTATATTACTTATAATAAAACAAATTCTATAATATAACATACATAAGCAAATGTGCTAGATAATCAGTTGGCAGTAGTCAAAAAAGAAATGTAGCACTTACAGAACTAATCTAAAATTTCTCATTTCGTCCTTTAAAAACTTTAAATTTAAAGCCAGAAAAACGTTATATGAATTTTCTTACTTACGTAAAGGCTATTATTTAAATATGGTTATAAAAATACTTTACTATTCATACATGCAAACTGATCCGTGTGAAAACCATTACGAGCTAACGTCATAAAAGTGAGTATGTATATAAAAATGATTATTCAGTACGACATAACAAAAGGATATGTTTTACGATTACAGCGTAGGTATGGAGTGGTCCATAAATTCCTTCAAAATAGAACTGGACATTCTGCAAAACGAATAAATTCATTAACACTTACACCGAAACTCTCGCAATGTACACTTACGATTTGATCATGTGATCGTACAAGAAGCTCGGAATGACCGTTACAGTGACAACGGGACCGGCGTTTTGGATAATCTTCGAAACCTCCTTATCCTTCAATCCAACGACGTTCTGACCGTCGATTTCCAACAGCTGATGTTCAGTCAACACACCGTTTCGAGCGGCCGAAGAATCTTTAACGATAGTATTGATTTTACCGTTTTTAAATTGGAACCCAATGCAACCGACGCTGTCTTTGTGCAATGTGATTGTCCTCTCGAACGGGCGGTCTCTCACCACCACTTTTATACCGTTCACCGGGCTCTTTTTCAACATCGAATGCACCTGCATCGTAAATCGTAAAGTTAATACAACCCAACAATATTTATGTTTAAACTCGAACCTTATCCATGGAATATCCAGCGACGTTTTCGCCGTTGATCTGCAGTATTTGATCGCCGAATCTCAGTCCTGCTAGGGCTGCGGGGGATTTCTCCACCACCACGCACACGAATATGCCCTTGTTGATGGCCTTTGCCCTGAGGCCCACCTTGCCGTCCTTGTCCTTGCAAAGGGTCAGCTCGCGAACGCCGTGCGTGACTTGGGCCCTTTGCAGGCCCAGCGATTGCCCGGAAAGGGGGGCGATCAGGCCGGACTGGGTGACCGGCTGGCTCGATGGAAAAGCGCTCTGGAAACAAATACTTAGTCAGGTCGCGAATGATGAGTGAATATTGGTTATTCGTTTTAAAGAACTAGTCATTGAAAATTCCCCAATTACTTTCGTATTGAAAGTTACCACATTCTAATTATTGCACAAGTTGTGACGTTAATTAATATGTGGTATTTCTTACTTTTTAATATGATTCATCTGGTATTGAAGTTTTTTACAATTTTACTCTTTAATATTACCTAGATTAAAATTTATACGCATTAGATAAATACGAACAAAAGATGAAACTCGGATTATACTACTAAAAATACAACTAGATATCAATGTAAAATGAAGGTCAGAATGATATTCGATTAACAACAATCAATAATATGTTGTATCGTAACAATTACTACACATTCAAATGCAATTTTAAACGATATTAACTTACCAATGCCTGGGAAGAGTATTCAGGCATGTTTGCAGCGATAACTGATTCGCTTAGCTCCAAGCCCATAAAATCGCCCAAAAAGGGGTACAGTTGTCCATTGTTAGGGGATTGGGGCTCGGCTTGAATATGCCCGTACGATGGGGCACTAGCAGGAGGTGCGGCATTAATGCTGTTTACGATGTGATTGTATTGTGCTGTGGCCATTTGGTCCACTTTCATGTCTTCTAAGCTCGGATAAAGCGACATTTTTTCTGAAATATATTAGTAAATTTATCGATTGCCGAATATAAATTGCCAAGGGGTACTTACGTGCTTTGGTATCCTCGAAAATTGTAGCAAAAATCGATGGCAACTTGGCTGAAACGGTAAAATAAAAGACCGATGAGTCACTGAATACAGTAGTATCAAGATTCGACAGTTATTGTAAACAATATGTCGAGCAGCGGTTGAAGATAATGGGGAATGCGAATGGAATTTTGTTTTTATTTTTTTATTACAACTGACGTTTTGTGTCACATGATCATCTGTTCGAATTGTTCGATCGCGCTGCTCCAGAACCAAACTCAACAAAACGTACATTCCGAACTCGTGTTTTCTTTATCTTACTCATTGTATTTGCACAATTTCTCTTTCTAAAAACATGTATCATCTGTTAACGAAAAGAAGGAAGTGTAATTGACAAGTGTACAGAATCCTGTAATATCTGTCAAATCGATTTAAAATTTCGTCACTGCAACGTCAGCGCCATCAACTCTCATTGTTTTGGAATTTTCGTATTTTCTCAGTGAGCAAATGGCGTCGTAGAGTGAAGATGCGCAAATTTTTTTTCAAATCTTGACTGAATTTCGTCGTAAAGGGAACATTACTAAAATTTTTGGTGAAATAAACGTTGTCAGTTATGTTTCGCATCGCGAAATCGTCTGGTGTGGCACCGAAACAACGCAACTCGGGTTGAACCGAAAAATCTTTTAAGTTTTGATAAAAACACAAACAATGAACGAAGAGCCGGAACTTAAGGACGAAAAACAGGGAACCATTTGGCCCCCTGCGGACGGTGGCGCATCCTCGAGCCCCCAGCCACACGTTAACATACCTGTACCCACCACCCCACAGGGTGTTCCTGTGAACCAAGGCTTGGAGTACGAATTACCGCCTGAACTTCAACAACAAGGTGAAAAGGGCATTTTCTTGTGCTTAATTAACGTGTAAACTTTAAATTAATTAACTATACACTAACAGCTGGTGAATAATTTCATTTTTGATGAAAATTTTTAGGTATAAAAAATTGGCGGTAAAACAATCACAAGTGTACAAACATGGTTTTTATCAAGTATACTTTGCTAACTCACTTACAATCTACATAGGCGTTGATTTGTCAAAAACAAAATGTCAATTTACTTAAAACAATTGCCGTACTAATTTCATGTTTTTAAGGATGGAAAAAGTTCTGGTCGAAACGGGAGAACAGGCCCTACTTTTGGAACAAACTCACCGGCGAGAGTCTGTGGGAGATGCCCCTGTTGAAGCCCCACTTCGATCCCATCACCGATCCGTTGGGCATATGCGCCCCGCCGTTGCCCCATCCGGGCCCCATTCCCCTGGCCCACATGCCACCCAACACAGCCGTGCCTATAGTGAAACGAAGAGCTTCCGAAGAAATTGGTCCGCAAGCCAAAAAGTTCATTTTGGCCGGTCCTTGGGATCTCGACGTACAGACCAATGTGATTATTTTAGGTACGAATTTGCTCTTCAACTACTCTTTAAACCATATTATAATTAACGTATAGTGTAATAATCAAGGCCGTATATTTCTAAGGTCTGGAAACATAGGTCGAAAAAGTGTCCCGTTATTTGAGGATAAAACAGGGTTCCTAAAATGGCCGCTAGGATGCGATGTAAAGGTCCACGGTTTTTTGCGTACTAATTATATAGAATTAGCATTAAGAAAGGTTTCATTCAAACTAAAAATAGATACAAAATATAAAAAATACTTAAATACGATGATTTTGTTGTTAACATCATGCCTCACGTATCTTCGGTTAATGTATTTCCTCATTTTCTCCTCGAAATGTCAAAAAATTATTTTTGACGTTTTGACAGCTTGAACTGTCGTCTCACAACCGCGATTTATACGATTTCTAATGCAAAATCATAGGCTGGGTTCCAGACCTTACAAATATAGGGCCGTGGTAGTAATTAATTATTGTAATGATGTTTCAGAAAGATCGCCGTGCTCCTTTATGCATTCCCATCCCGAAGTGGAGGCGTATAGGTGCAGTTTGCTGTCGAAACTACGACAGAGCTACCAAGAAGTTTGCCATTCGAGAGAAGCCATAGACGCCCCAAAGGACTCGTTTAACAGATGGTTAATGGAACGAAAGGTCATCGATACCGGCTACGATCCGTTACTGCCCAGCAACTGCTATCCGGAAATCTCCCTGTCCATGTACAAAGAAATAATGAACGACATACCCATTAAATTGGTGAGGCCCAAGTTTACCGGCGACGCCCGCAAGCAGCTCTCCAGGTACGCCGAGGCCGCCAAGAAGATAATGGAGAGCCGAAACGCCGAGGCCGAAAGTCGTAAGGTGGTCAAGTGGAATGTAGACGAGACCTTTCAGTGGTTGAGGAAAACCGTCGGGGCCACTTACGATGACTTCCAGGACCGGCTGGCCCATCTCAAGCAACAGTGCCAGCCGCATTTAACGGAAACCGTAAGGATTTTTATACTCGATGAGTTTTAGAATTGCATCGTTTGGTGTTGTAGGTGAAGAGTTCCGTTGAAGGAATATGCCTTAAAATGTACAATCTTTCGCTGGAGTACGCGAAGAAAATTAGAGAGAAATCGAATTCAGCGTTAAAGGAGCACGGGCTCGAATTGCCGCCTCCCATGAACACCCATACGACCAGAAAAGTGTGGTGTTATCCCATACAATTCGCCATAGGTTGTCCGAGACTGCCCGTTGTAGACTATTTACCCGACAGGGACCAGGCCCTGTTGAGGTACCAGGGAGATACGTTGGCGATTAACAGTAGTCATTTACAAAAATTGGTAAACAAACCATATATTACAATAAATTCGTATTATTGACTGGATGTATTTTTGTAGGAGCACCTTTACAGGCACAGTTGCTTCGACGATAGGAAATTCGAATTTTTCATACCGAGAGTGTGGGTGATGCTGAAGAGGTACGCGACGTTTTTGGGCGTCAATCCATCCCCGAATACGGCAAATTCGGACGTTCAAGACACCCAACAGTCCCTGCCCGTTACCGTATTCGAGTGCCTTAACAGGGCATTCGGAGTGACGTTCGAGTGCTTCGCGTCCCCCTTGAACTGCTACTTCAAACAGTACTGCTCGGCGTTCGCCGATTGCGATTCCTACTTCGGCAGCAGAGGGTACATAAACTCGATTTTATCGTTTCCAGAGATAGATAAATCGTTTGGTTTCAGTTCGTTTTTGAAATTGAAAGCCGTATCGGGCTCGTTTGAGGCGAATCCCCCTTACTGCGAGGAACTGATGGAGGCCTCGGTGGATCACATGGAGCGATTGTTGAGCGACAGCCCGGAACCTTTGAGCTTCATCGTGCTGATGCCCGACTATCGGGAACCCACCCCGGTGGCCTTGAGCAGGCTCGAGACTAGCCAATTCAAGCGGAAGCAGGTCACCATACCTGCTTACGAGCACGAATTCAGGCACGGGTTTCAGCACGTTTTGAGCAAGTACGTGACTTTTCTGAGGCTTACACAGTATACAAAGCGAGGCAGATCTTTGAGAATTTGTTTTGTATTTTAGGTCGGAGCAGAACATTCGATCAGTTCACGCGACGGTGATAGTTTGGTTGCAGAATCCCGCGGGGCATCAGCGATGGGAGCCGACTGAGGAACGGGTTCAGGCGCTTTTGGAGGCGTTCAGGCCGGGTAGAGAAAGGGAAAGGGACAGACAGGAATTGTTGAGTCCCACTAGGCAAGGTAGCACGTCAGATAGCAAAGAAGTCGCGAAACACGTGGCCATTTGAGAGTTTTCCTGAGAGCGATTCTCGAGTGTTTTTCTCTCGAATCGACACGTAGCATTAGTGCATTGACTTATGGGTAAATTCAGAACTCTGAAGTCTCGGAACGAAAGGATAAGAATGGTAGTAGGAAGACTTGGAACGTACTTGTGAATTGCTCGAACGAGCTCCGGATAAGTTGAGGGTAAATGAATATTTTTAAACTGAATGCAGCCCTGCAGGATTGTTGGTGATTGATGGTTTAGTACATTCTTAAGTAGTTTCATGATGATCTCACTTTTAATCCTTAACCATAAGGCGTCTTGGATTGTAATCGATGGTGAAAATGTTATTTTCGATCGGAGTAATGGCAATTCCTTTTGTGTTTAGTTACCCATTTAATGCTAACAACCGAATAATGTGCAATAATGATGCCAAAACGAAAATATTTGTCGAGCTAAAATCGAATGAATTGAGAGAGTCTTGCGAGTTCTTTAATTTAGCTGGAAAATTTCTTTTGTGAAGTATATTTTTAACTTATGTTTAGAAATTCATGGGACGTTTGAGTAAAAGGTGTTTCGATACTGAAGTATCTGGATATAAATTTGAGTACTTATGATAATTTCAATTATTCCCGTGCAAAAATTCCTTTCAAAGTGACAACAAATTAATATGTATGCTTATTTATCTCGAAATTAACTTTTCTATTAACACTTTAATATGACTAAATCACTCACTAAATAATGAAGTACCTGAACTCTCCTAGAATAATATATTACATAATTATCGATAATTCTCTATTACCATTGTTATTGTTCATCTCTTACCTGATAGCTTGTCAATGCATTCAGTGGCGTGAATAATTTTTAATCCAGGTTAGATTTTTTTTGTTTAGGAGCGAAAGAAAATTGAAGGAAATAGTTTTGGTTAAAACCAGTGGTTAATCAATCGATATGTTACGAGTAAAGTTAGATAAACGACTTAATCTAGGTTTACCAGGGTAATGAAACATGGGTAGGGTAGGGAAGGTTTCTTGGGTTCCTACCATGAGGGTTTCTTATGCCATGAGAAACCTACCCTATTCTATTCTATCCGGGTAAACCTAGGTTTGGTAGTTTATCTAACTTTACCCGTAATAGATATATTACATAGGTAACTTGAAACTTTCAGTTACATTTAAATCGAATTATACATTTGTAAATACACAATGGAACATTTACATTAGGTTTTTTTCATGTAAAGTACGTTTAAAACCATTTTAAAACAGTTTTTTTATGTACATATTATAGGGAGTGGTTGGAAAAATAAAATTGAACGTTTTTTCTCTTATACACAAATTGATTTTAAACGTACTTTACTTCTGTATGCATTTTTTAGCTTTGTATATTGTACATTTTTCTGAGGGAGTAGTTTTTTTTCTTACGAGAATATTCGGCTGAACGTAGGACCATTTTTTGAGTGTGATTATTTTTATTTATTATTATTAATGACGTGAATTGGCTGGTTCCCATATTCATATAGCGTATTGAAAATGAAAATTAAAAATTTTGTTGTATGTAATAATACTATATAGTACTTGTTTTATATTTTTAATAAAATATTTGAGAAATTTTTGTAAAATAGTTTTTAGTACTGATGCTGATAAATAATATTACTTACTTACCTACCTTTTATTATTATATTCCTGATTTTCTTCACGTAGTCTCAGGATATTTTGTGAAAATTAAATTCGTTGTTCATTCAGCACAAGGTAAGTGAATTTGAATTATTTATCAACTGACTAGATTTGAGTTTTTTGTGAACAGGGAAAGAAAATAAACTTTTAAGACATTACATTTTATTATTGTGAAATGTTTACAACTACACTCATGATAAGGAATAATTTATAAATACCACAGACTCCATTATTTGAAATCCATCAGTTCAGACTTACACTTACAGTACGGTACAGTACACATTTATAATATTTTAATAATAAAAATTAACATAAAAAAATCCACGCGATCCTCTCGCCGTGAAAACAATAATAATAAAACACTAATCTTACTAGAACTACAAGACTTTCCGCCGAAAAACTATAAATATGTAATAAAATATTGCATAAAGGCTAGGCACTGCCATGAGGTAAAACGTTTGGGTCCTTAACAGTCTTATCACAGAAAAACAAAAGTCACCGTCATCTATCCACGTAATTATAATAAAAATATATAAAGCTAAACAGTACAATTAAAAATCTATTGCAGCCCGTTTTCCCTGATTCACTAAGCACGGAAAAATTACTCATTACAAAATACTGCCGACAATCCCAAATAGTTTTTCCGTACGAAACCTTCTAGACTTTGGACAAAATTTCACGAAATTACGACGCCTTCGCGTAGTGTATGACCGAGCTGTACCTCACCGGCGACAGGTCCATGCTGCTGCTCTCCATCGACTTGAGGATCATCTTGGACCTCTTCCTGGGCGGCAGGCTGAGCTCCGGATCGGGCTCGGGCACCGGCGACACGGGCGGCGACAGCGACGACGCCGGCGACACGGGGCCCGAGTGGGGCGGCGTGATCGCCTCCTCCTCGGACTGGTGCTCCTCCACCGCCAGCACGGCCTCCACGCGCTTCCTCAGACCGTCCCCGGCGGTGAGGGTGGCGTACTGCACCGGCGGCGACGTGAAGTAGGCCGGGTGCCGCAGGGGGTTCTTCATCAGGTTGAACACCATGTCGTGGGTGTTCCGGTAGATCTCCTCGCGCTCCGTGACGGTGGCGGCGGCCGCCAGCAGGTCCACGCCGGTGGTGGGTACCGTGTAGTTGACGTTGTAAGTACCGGGCGACGTTCGCTCCCTGCCGGCGTACATTATGTAGTGGATGTCGTTGTCGTAGGTTTGCGGAGATTCTTGCAGCAACGGCAACGGCGAGGACACCTTGGGGTTCTCCAGGTCGCTGCCGCTCGAGCACGACGATTCCGACGTGGAGGAGGCGGGAGGCGTCGGAGGTTGGTTAGGCACGCTGTTGTCCGAGTGGCTTTTGATGTGAGCCTCCATGCTTTTCTTCGAATTGAACGTATCGTTGCAAATGGTGCATTTGTACACTTTTTCGCCGTAGTGAGCAACCTGCGAATACAACAAATTGTTAGGTATAAAACGTTTGAGAAGTTTGCCAAAGTACCAACCTGGTGTAACTTCAACACGTGATTGTAGCCGAAGCTCTTGCCGCATATTTCGCAGGAGTAGGGTTTCTCGCCGGTGTGCGTCCTGGAATGTACCTTCAACTGTTTGCTGCAAGTGAAGCCCTTCTGGCACACGGTGCACACGTAGGGCTTCTCGCCGGTGTGCGTCCGCATGTGGATGACCAACTGGCCGGATTGTATGAAGGTCTTGGCGCAAACGCTGCATTTGTGGGGGCGCTCGCCGGTGTGGATGCGCATGTGCCGGTGCAGTTTGCCCGAGTGCTCGAAGGCCCGCGAGCACACGTCGCATTTGTAGGGGCGCTCCTTCGTGTGGATGCGTCGGTGCACCGAGAGGTTCTCCTTCACGCTGAACGGTTTGCTGCAAAATTCGCACCTGCGAAAAAAAATTAAAAATTAGTAATAGGAAAGGGTGGGTTGTCGGGTCGTGGGTTACCTGAAGGGTTTTTCGCCGGTGTGGGTCCTGTAGTGCCTGGTGAGCCTGGCGGGGACGGCGAACGTTTTGGAGCAGATGTTGCACCTGTAGGGATCTTCGGTCTCTTTGGCGTGCGTTCTGGCGTGATTGGTGAAAGCCACTTTGGAGGTGTACATTTTGTTGCACACTTGGCACTGGATCGCCTCGGGTTCGGTCGATTGCTCGCCCAAAGTCAAGTCCGGGCTGCACACGACGGCGCACTTTTTCACTGATAGGGGTTCCTCGTTGGACGTGCGAACTTGAGCCATTGGTAGTGTCGCCTCGCTATAATACCCTACCATTTCTGGTATAGTCCAGCTTTCTTCTGTAACGCAATTAAAACGAAATTTAGTCATTGTGAGAGTCATTTTGATCTTAAAAAAATCTCCCTATCTAAAAGTATCTAAATCTCTCCTATCTAAAAGTGCCGTATTGAATTAGATCTAACCCCACAACCTATAAAAATCCCCAAAAATTTATCTAAAATTCTCACTAATGTTAAAAAAAACTATAGTCATAAATGACCGCAATTAAAAATAATTAGCATTATACAGCGAGCAAATTCGAGCGTTCCAATAATTTTTCTCGCCCTGTGCGCGAATCTAAATTCGCGACGTTGCCGATTCGACCCGTTTACCAAACGAACTACGGAAAAATTTTCTCAACCTACCCCCTTCGTTCTCGTTTTTGCACCGTATCAGCAAATTTTTGATGAAAATCTCCTGCGCCTCGGACAACTTTTCACTAGCCATCGTCACCCCAACGAAAAAAAAAACCAAAACACCACTTATTTATATTTTTTTTTCACACCCTCGGCTTCCTTAGCGGACGACTCGTCGCCCAAACTTTCAACGCGACACTAACAGTCTCTTTCTCCGAAAGTGCGTGCGGATGCGTCGAAGTGCAACGCACAAAAATGACAATTGAGAGTGCGTATGTTGAGCCCTAGGCCCGTGGCTCCGCCCAGTGCGTGTGCAATGCGTAGGCGGGGGATGGGGCAGGGGGCGAAAGGGGATCCCCGAATCGGGTTCTTGACCCCGGTCCTACCGAAAAAGAAAAAGGGGAACTAAACTACTGGGAGAGGTCGTTGCACCCGATTCCGAGATACGAGATGACATCTTTGAACAAGTTAGGGTATTCGCTTTTTAATGTTTTATTTATTTTTTTTCCTTCTCTCTGCACTACGCTATACCGAACTAAAGCCGGCTTTGTTTGGGTTGAGAGGTGAATGCCACACGGGTTTTTTTTCCTACATTTCGGTAGGTCTCATGAGAAATTCGAACTTTTGAGAAGGTGCCTTGTACCTGGCACAAAGGAACGTGTTCACACAATAACCCAAAACAAACATATTTTTTTAATACTCCGACTCGTTTAAATTCAGATTATTTTCTAATAGAATCGTAATATATTTGGCATTATGTTTTGTTCGGTTCCACATGCGATTAAAATAAAAATACCAATAAAACGACGATAACACGTATTCATCACAGTAAAAGGTTTATTGACCGAGGTACTTGAACTGTCGAAATTTCTTTACGAATCAAAAACTATTGCATCTTTATTATTCGCTTATAAACAAGCCGATTATCGATCGTAATTGATTACATTAGATATACAAAACATAATAATAATCGCAATTTTGTATGCGTGTATGGAACGCTTTATGGGTATTTTTAGGTTTCGGCGACTTCGCGATTTCGAAACTGGCGAATTTAGAAATCTATTCATGACCTTAACCAATTTTCTCTTTGCACAGCCGACTTCCTTGGTCATTAAAATCGTCAGGTTGGCATTTTTTATACGAGGAGCAGCTAAGAAGTAAGGTACTCCCCGAAGCCTTTAACCTTTAAAAATATTGTAATAAACTTATTCGACGCCAAAACACTTTCTATCTTTAAATTTAATTATCTCTGTTGTTTTCGGCGGATTTTAAATTTAATTGTGTTTTTTTTCGTCGTTGATGTTAACGAACTTGTGAGTGAGTTTACTTTATTTTAAGGATATATTGTCGATAAATTATGTATCAAAAATTATTTAGTGGTGCATTTGAACTAAAATTTGAAGTGTTAAAATATTTCATAGTTTCTTGCAATTTAAAAATGAGTCTATTATTATTGCTACAATTTAATGCACCTCTATTACCTACTTAGTAATTCAAAAATAATTCTACTGGGTAAATATTTTTATAGGTATACGCATAGTAGTAATGGATTTGAATACATTTTAATTACATATCATATTAACTAGGTATTTCTTTGTTCATAGAAATTGAGTAAGTGGAAAAATATTTAAAAGGAATTTACAAATTTATGATGACTGGACATAATTGTTTTTGTTTAAGTTAGCAATAGTAAAATATCTAGTAGAGAATTTAAAATTACACTGTCAAAATGACATAATTTAAAACACAAATTTAAATTTCCAACAATGTTAGTAATCCAAATAAAATTCGTCAAAATATTTTCGAACCCCAAAAAAAAAATTACAAAATTAAAAACTCTTACCGCGACCGTACAACCACCTATTCCTACAAACGGCGGCGAACTTTCCCCAATAATTACAATCGAAATTCATAATAAACAAAAAAACATCCAAACGTCGCGAAGCCTCATCGAAAAATGCCCGCTACCCGGCCCGACCGTTTCTCCTATATCCCCCTGAAATTTCCGTCGAGTCGGCAACGCCGCACGCGAAACCCGAGCCGCACGAGGCACAAGGTGCATTAGGAGGCGGTGCACCGCTGCCTTTCGAACGTCGTCGACCTCGACAGCATACGCCGGCGCCCATTGAACGTGCACGAGCTGCCCGACGCAGTCCATCGCCTCCACGTGGAGTTCCGCTCCGGCGTTGTTTCGTTTAGCTGCCTCTTTTTTTTTTTTTCGACTCGTACGTACACCGACCTCGACAACCGAGAGAGACGTAGGTCGTGCTTAGGTCGCCGCCCGCGCCCCTCCTAGGCCCGGGCCCGATATATCATCCGTCCCATCGAACGTTTGTTTTCGTATTTTCGAATGTGTACGAGTGTATTCTAATGAGATGTACGAGTATCTATAATGGCGGTTGTTAAGGAAAAATGCATCTTTCCAATTGACATTCACTCGTTTCGTTTACTGTCAACGACGAATCGAGTTGGCCGCTAACGATAACTAAATGTCATATATGACAGATGGCATTAAAACATTAATATTTGCAAAAGTCGACTTGATTCGTGAACTTCCTGGAAAATCCATATGAATATGTCATAAAATTAAGTCTACTATACTAGTGATTTTCAATCACTCATAAAATCGGATTGTTTTGCTGTCAACGAGGAATCGAGTTGGCCGCTAACAATAACAACTGTCATTTATGACAGATGGCATTAAAACTTTAATATTTTTTGCAAAAGTCTACTTGATTTTTGTTAACGTACTGGTAAATCCATACAAACATGTCAAGTTAAGAAGACTACATTTTTTTAAATATCAACCTATTTATATCACGAAATAGTGGGTTTAGAGCAAACAATCGAAATATTGTACGTATAATATTGATTTTATTATTTATCAACGAATAAACAGATGTGTAATAAGTGTTTTAGCTATAAATACCTACTTACTTGCAGTGAAAGAATCTTATAAAAAATTAGCATGTAATTTAATTATAAAACTGGATTTTTATGCATTGCTTTATAGCATACGAAAATGAAAATTTCAACTGATAATTTACACAATTTTTGCCGCGTGGAAAATAAAGGAAACATATGCACGAGTCGTTGATAAGATGAACCGATGGTTTTTTGATGCTTATCGAGCATTACATTTAGTTTATCGCAATTTTTTTTGCATATGTAGGTCAATACTAAATAAAAACAAAATGCGTGTTTGGTACAAACTCTATCTCGGATCTCTCTTTTGAGAATTAAACGGGGGCACCGAAGGGGATATAAGATTGTGCTCGTTTCTCCAAAAAATAATCAGTGGATTCTCCATGTTATCAAAAATTAATAAATAAAAAATTTTTGAGTGTAATTAGTTGGTACAATGTAACCAGGTTTAACAGAAAGCTATATTTCCGGTAAAGATATGTACGAATATGTTGCTAATATTTCCTCTTGTTATTGACCTATTTTGATTACGAAATTGAGACTAATTAGTTCAGTAAATGTGTGTTTATTGAGATGCTCGAATTAATTCTTCAATTCTTCGATAAAGACGAGTAACATTTTACAAAAGCTAGACAAAATACCGATACAAATGGAACATTAACTGGACCGTATTCGAAAATTTCCCAAGTGTAAAACGCATTAAAATTCACGACGGGGTGGTTTTTTTAAACAATCATTAAATAACCTTTATTCAATCGACTTTCTTTTGACTTTTAACAGCATAGGCTACATGCACAAATAAAACTATTAAAATAGATTGCACAAAACCTGCATGCAATTTTCGTAGCGTAGATACCGAGATATTTTTATGCAACGTAAAATCCGGGCTTTTATACCACACCGTTAAATTATCAAATAGCGCGATTAGCCAACGCGATATCCAAAACCTCTCGCAACGAAACCACCGAAATGAAAAAAAAAATATTAAGCAACGCATACTTACTTACAAATATCTATGTTGTCCTAGGACACGATTTATTGTATAAGGACGAATTTCCGATCCGCCGAGAGCGCTCGATTGGAGTTTCACTCAAATGCCAACCGTGTGACTCGATTAACGCACTTAATTAATCCCTTTTCCGGAATAATTCATGAACAATCAAGTAAGCGACAGTTGTGTAAATTTTTTCAAAACTACCGCTCGCTAAAGTCAAAATCGAACTGAATAAACGGTTCGCCTCGTCGCCGGTCGGCTCGACGAGTCCTCGCCGAACGGTTCCGATCGAGCGACTCGCCTCGCCCCGCCGGCCCCGCTCGTAACCTACTGAGAAATCGACTCGTGTAAGGAGGCACGTGGAGGCGCCGCACCGCGGCGTTTCGATCATCGCTCGGCTTGTGTGTGTGTGTTTTTTTTTTTGTATTTCGTTGCGATCGCGGTGCGCTCTGCGTACTCGTTATTTTGTTGTTTTTTTTATGTGCAAATTGCGTTTTTTTTTTCGAGGATTAGGTTGGGATTTTTTTCGCGGTACTCGTAATAATAAGTAATTTGCGTTCGGCGTGGGATGTTGTATTTTTTGTCGCTCGGGAGAATCGAGCGCGTCTTGCTTGCGAGATTAGCCAAATTTCTGTTGTATTGGGCTCGGTCAAGATTTTGGACTAGAAGCGGTCGCGTAGCGACCGGGCGCGCCGATTTTGTATTATTCCGTGCCGAGGTGAACGATATTTGGGTGTCTAGCGTCGTGCATTTCGTGCACGACTAATTGGAACGATCACAATGGTCTTCATTTCGAATATGTATTCAATTCGGAACGGAATAAATTTATAATATTTATGTCAGTATACTACTTTATCCATTAGTCCAAATAGGACGTCCTACCTATATATTTTGCCAAATTTTTGCTCTTTCTAGTTCAAATTTAGTTTCCTATTATAAAGGATGTCTCTATACAAAGGTTTACTATACAGATAAGTGCAAAATTGTACGCAATATGCTCTATGGGTGCAACGAAGACAACTTCAATCTAGTCTCCTAAAAAGAATTTATCTAGTCTATCTAGTCTACCTTCAATCTAGTCTCCATAAAAGAAAAAGAAAGAGTGATATTGTGGAATTGCAACTTTCTCACTCTAACCACTGTTATTATAAATCTTACCTTATCCAACTCATATAGAATTGACCATATTGCACAAAATATTGCACTTACCCATATACCTTATAGTACCTACTCGTAAAAGTTATATTTTGGTAAGGATATAGTAAAAATATAGTGGCATAATAGGAGATAAATTAAGAATAATTTGAAGGAGACAAAATACATAATACAGTGGGCAATAATAAAACAAAAAACGATTGTTTTAAGAAGGCCGATTTAATTTGTTTCTGCATTTACCTTTATGAATTATATCAAATAAAAATTAATCGCATGTTACGTCGGTTTAATTCGAAGAAGTGTAGATTACAAGAATGGTCCAACTATATTTTATCTGTGGAGATAAAATGCATGGAATTAACGTTTAAAAGCACTATATTTAATAACATATTTCGTCATATTCGCAGCGATTATAACAAAGCTTTAATAACATAATGACATTAATAAATAGAGAGGATTTTTTGAAAGTTTTCGCGATTTTATTTGTTCAAAAAATAAGCTCTTTTACGGCTTTCATAATTCAGTTTCCAGTACCTACCTATTTTATTGTCAGTATATTTAATTATTAAAAATTTGAGAAACTAATTTTCGATTTATTTGAGTCCTAAATGAGTTCCTTATAACAATTTCTCACACTAAAGATACATATGTAAATTAATTTGTATTGATCCCATTTTCCCTAAAATAAGTTAATTTTTTGTGCTTTAAAAAGCTTTGTATATTTGTCCAAACTATCTTACGTAGGTACTTTTGATAAAACCTCAAATATCTAATTATTTATCCAAACAACTTGTTGATAACAATTGTTTGTTTTTCTCAAACATATCATTTTATATTGCGTTTTCGATGATATTATTAGGTACCTACAATAATATTGTACTATCTTATATTATCATCCGTAAATGTTTACAGGCAAGCTATTATATAACATCATATATGTGTATATTGATACAGGATTGAACAACAACTAGAATTATTATTTGGAATATTGCAAAATTATTTTACGGAACCTCTGATGGAGATAATAATAAACCGAACTTGCACGAACTGTTTCAATTGTATCTATTACAACGCAATATTGTGCGATTATTATAATATAATTAGGAGCGGAAAATTATGCATTTTATCGCAATAGAAAATGAATAAATCATTGCAATTAAAGGTTTTGCGTTTTTCATAAATATCAAGCAATTTTTTGCGACAATTGAACGCTTGGGAATTATTTAAGGGATTTATATATAATAAAAAATATGATTAATTAAATGTTTTATGCTTTAAAAGAAACGGTGGAAAGTAAAATTTGATACAATGTAATAAGAATTAGAAAACTCGCCACAAATGCAAATTATTTCTGTAATGGCGCATATTATGCATATTATGATTTTTTAACTAAAAAAATGTACCAAATGCGAGATATGTTTATCTTTTCCTATCGCAATTCTATACAAATAATTCATCCAAGCTATTTACACTCTGACACAAAATTAATTAATAGATAATAATTAGGTAGGTACTTTCGTGGTGTGTTCAATAATTAAAATATTCAATTAAATTTTAATTGGTTACTTACCTTGCCAATTAGGTAGGTACTACATTTTTTTATTATTTAAAAAATTAACCTCCTCATTTGTAACAAAAAAACTTGAATAATATGTAGAAAATATGGTGCATTGTAACGTTTTCAACAAAGAGTAGGTATGTACTATTCTAATTGTAAGAAAGAGAATTGCATGTAAAAGTCGTTACCTCGAAATGTAGAGTGTTACATGACTATATGGTGCAATACAAGATACAAGTTATCTCAACCTTCTTGCACCATTGAATTATTATTTTATCATTTAATATAGATAGTCATTATTTAAGATGTTCTCTAATTTACAGGATACCTTGTAGAGTTTTCTAAATTCTTACTATAAACTTACCCGATCAAATTAAGTAAGCACTCTGATTTTTTTTATAATAAATTCTGATTTGAAATTATATGCAACTGTTACTAACCTAGGCACGAATCGAAATTTTATCAAGATTCTAGAAAACTCTACAAATATACTGATAACTGCAGATACCGGCTGTCACGTCATCTACAAATGCACATTTTTTCATGCAACAGTATCTATGCAGCGGAAATTTCTAGTTTCGAAATAGGCAAACAATTACATGCGAAATCGCCGGAGTTAACACACAGAGCTACTCCTATATAAAAATTATTATCTATACTTATTTGACTTTAATTAGGCATATGCAGTTAATAGAAAACGCATTCACCAGGAAAACGTTCAAGGAAATCGATCGATGATATAAAAGAATAATACGTAGTTTGTCCATGTTGCATAGGCGTTTCGAGTTTCATGGAAAATTTTCAATGCAGTAATTGTTTCGCTGCAATTTTCATAGGCGTGCTCGTTATTTTTCTGGAATTTATTTCCACACAACAAATCTTTTAAAAAAATATAACAGTTCTGAATTCGACTTATGTGACAATTGACATGGAATTTGGAACTGTTGCTATGGATACTTACGCGTAAAAAAACAAAATGGTAGTCATTTTTTGTGGCTTTGATTGATTATGCAGCCGCACAGAAAAAGTAAATAAAAAAAAGCAAATTGGCAATCGAATGGATGAATATATGACCTTTCCAAATATAATAAACTTGAAGATATGTATATCGCCGAGACGAGCCGAACAAAAAAACAGTATCGCACGTTCCAGGGTCGGAACTTAACGCAATCGTATAAATTGCGCCATTAGATTTAGATTAGCGTAGATTTGTTATTGTTTACCAACCATAGATTTGATTAATAGAAGTTTCTTTATAAAATTACAGTGAGCCAATTCGCGTGGAAAAGTCGGTGTTAAACACACAAGTCTATCGATAACGATTAATTGTAATGCCGGGAATAAGAACAACATAATGGAAATCTTTGCCGATATAAATAAAGCGAGTAATGAGCAAAGCGTAAATAGAACTTTCATGTGGCAATGCCAAGGTCGGATCGTCCATATATCACTAATTACGTTGAAAATATATCGGCTTGCACAAGTTATTAAATGACACGTGTTTGGTTTTATTCGAACTTGTAATTAAAAATAGATGCACCATTATATTCCTGTGGACGAATTCGAGTAGATGCAATGTTGCAAGTAAATTTATTGACAATGTAGCTAGAGAAATTGATTACAATTCGTTTGGAATTTTTCCATTATGCGTTACACCTATAGTTTTGCTTGTTGAGTAATTTAATTTATAAGTTATTGACTACTAATTAGGTTGGAGTTGAGTAGGTTAGGGTGGGTTGATTGTTCTGGATTTAAATTTCGAGTTAATATGAGTTACATTTTTCTGTACTCAAATTACAAATTCATGAATGTTTTTTTTACTATACAAGGTTCATTGAAAATTCAATTAAAGTTTCTACAAAAAAACGTAGTTAAATAAGCAATTAAGTACATTTAATTACAAAAAATGGATAGGTACACGTTTTTTAAAAAAAATTAATTTTACCTCTGCGATATAGTGTTTACTTGCATATCTCGTTACAAAATTAGTACACGGCACGTGCAATATATTTTTAATCCACGAGTAAACCGACTAATTTGCCATTAAAATATTGCAATTTTACAATTAAAAAGAAAAGTAGTACCTACTTGGCAAAAAAAACAACTCGACATTATAATCAACCTCGTTATTTCGTGTGCACACGCTCATTTCATAATCACAAATGATATCAACGGATACTTACGTAAGTGCTTGTAGAATTCAACAGTTTTTCAAATAGTAAAATGCATAGAAGATGCAATTTTCCCATAAATTCTAATGTTCATCTACTGTATAAAACAAAGAATGGTTCTATTGTACTTTTAAAATTCTAGTTGAGACTATTATTAATAAGTATACTTTCTTAATGTACAGTGCAAAAATGTACCTACTCGATATGGTCTTTATGGGTGCAACAAAGACAATTTTCTTTAGTCTCATATAAAGGAAGAAGAAAGAAAATATTGTGGTATTGCGTCTTTTTTACTCTAACCACTATTTTATTAATCTTACTTTGTTCAACTCATAGAATGGATCCAACGAGTAACGCAAGCAAATACACTTACTAATATTTGGAATATGTTACAATGGAAATGTTACAATAAATCGATTAAATATAATTGGTACACCCTGTACATAGTGTGTGATGGTCAGCAGACCTTTCGCTCACTCCAAACTCTCGCTCCTTTACTATCTATACGAGTGGAGGGGTGTACTAGAAAAGAAACGAGAACTCATGGCAGGGTGTTTCGATTAAGGCTATTTCTAGGCAATTAAATGAGAAATTCGAAAATTTTTAGATTAATTTGGAGTATGTGGGGCCGCTCCCGCGGCCCCGCCCGAGCCTCCGCCGCTCGTTCGGCAACCTTCACCACGCGCGTGTGAACGAAACACCGCGGTGCTCCGCCTCGGCACCGCACACTCCGATCAAAACAACTAATGTTGAACTTTATAAGGTTGCGTTATCTTTCTCGCTCGCATTCCATCTCGGTCGGCGCGTTCTCTGTCGCCCTTTTTTCTTCTCTTTTCTTCTTGACGAAATCGATTGTTGTTTATTGTATCAAGCGGGCCGGGAGAGAAATCGAGGAAAAAATGCAGCGAATCGGCTTGTTTGTGCTGTTGCGAACAAAAAATTAAATTCGCGTGTCGAGGTTTCGGTCGCAAAAAATGCGCAAACTAATACCGAAAAGTTTTATAAATTCCTTGTTTTCCAATTTATCCCGGATTCGAAGATTTTCCAACGGTGAGCTTGCGAGTAAGTGCACTGTTGCCAAGTAGTTTAATTCAATATTTCCCGAAGTACGCAAAACTATTCAGTAACTGCGCAATAGGGATATTTCAATACAAAATAGTCTTCGGCGCATCTTACATATTAATATCCCTTTAATTAATGTTAGCATATGATACGATTTTTACTGATAAATTTACTTATGCAAATAAGGCTTTCGAATTGCTCTAAATTTAGGATTAAAACGACGCAAATAATAGAGACGTATTTGTTCTAGCATCCACTTAATTACGTCGGATTTGAGTGCCATATAGCGCATAATTTAGTGCATAATAATCTCCTAAATTGCACTTGAAATACCGCCGGTAAAAACGATGATAAATATTATTTCGCTAAGTGGAAAATTTATTTCAGCGTATTTTATTTAAATTTTTCCAAAAAAATCCGTCAAATAGTCACCCGCATCGGCAACGCCGCGAAAAAGGGAGAGTTCACCGATGGATTCGGCAACCGACGGCGTCCGATCGTCGACGACAACGCCACAGCCACCTTGACCAATCTCAACATGAATTAAATCGTATGATCCTTGTTGGTGTTCGTCTAACCTGGGACCGGTCAATTTGTTTTATTTTTTTATTGTTGTCGGCGTGTTGCAGAATGGAACATGTTCCGTTTTTTTCTTTTTGTACCGACACGAGGGCGTCGCGACGCTCTTTTGAAATGGCCGAAGGGGGGCTCGAAGGGGGGCTCGAAGGGCCTATCGTTAAGAGGGGTATTTTATTTTTTTTTGTTATTTAGGGATTTGGGAGAAGAGTTTAATTGTATGTATAGGGAATATGTTGCTATATTTTATTGATTTAAAAGGGTGGTAATTGGGTGTGTAAATAACTTCTAATAAACAATAAATTCTATTATAATATGCCGTGTATAGTCTTCTTTTCGATGTAATTTTTTACTATAATTAAGTATTAAGAAAGTACCAAATATTTGGTAATTTTTGGAATTTTTCGATTAAAAAACTAACCCTTAAATCGCATGTGCGAACGTCCCAACCTATAATCCCAAAGTGTTCCACTTATTTATGTTTTTTTTACGCGCAGTTTATCGACCGACCCAAAAAAGGACCATTTTCCATTTACTGCTCGACCCGAGAGAAAGTTTCGCGTGATGTTGTGGCTTTCCCTCTCGTTTCCATTCTCTCTCGCCGATCGAAGGGGTAACTACACCCCCTTAACACCCACCGAACAAATGGATAAAAATGGGACGCTTTAGCAAACTAATAAAAATTGATGAGAATTTAGAAACTAGCCTCTCTTTTATAAAGTGACCTTATGCTACTTTTTTTTATAGTTTTTTATACATCAATTTATTTTGGAGTTACTTGGTAGTTTAAATAGATCAGAGGTGAAGTTGGTTTAAATTAAAAACTAGAGCAAGGAAATTGCAAGATTTTACAACATAATTGAACTTGGATTACGTTCAAAATTATCGAATGGAATTCGCAAGGTGTTCCACATGAACTTGCTTCAAGTTTTAAAATAAATCAAGGTTCAGAATTATAACCGCATTTATTTATAATAACCGCCCCCAAACGAATTCCCATTGTTTCCCACTTCTCTTATCCAATTTCATCATTTTTTACCCACTTTTTTTATATACTGTACATTTATTTTTCTCCACAGCGGGGTGGCCTCCCGCACGGGGGGCGACCCGGTTAGCGTTCGCTCGATTTCGCCCGATGGCGGCGGTGCGAGCGGGGGGCGGCTGCGTAGAATCCGAGGGCGGTCGAAGGGATTCCTTCGTAGGGCAATGTAGGGCGCGCAGGGCGCGATTGTGCGTGCACGCACGATCGCTCGGGGCCCCAAATTCGGCGGTCGTTGAACTCCTTTCCCCTAGGATGCGGCGGCGTTGCCGGCTCTAGCGAGGGGATTTCCCCGGGAGGTTGTGACAGAAACTGAGTAAAGCGGCCTTTGTTTGGGTTGTAAGGTGATAACTAGATTTTTGTTTGCTCGCGGTGAAGTTTTTAGGAAATGTAGATATAGGGTGGACTAACGAAAATGTTTGTTTCTATACAATGAAAAATTGTGTTTAGGGAATTTCCAATTCAATTATTTCAAACAATTGTAATTCTTTTATTTTATACAACAATATTAGTAGAGTATATTTTACTACAATTTTCTAAGATATCTACCTAAAATTCCAAATTAAAATTTAATTATTGAATCCAGTTTTATCGAATTTCGAGAAATCGACCGGTCGATTTTCATTCGTCCAAACGGTTTGGTAAACTCCTCGGGAAAGCCCGATGGCCAATGGAAAGCGGCTTTTCTGTGCAACGACGAACCCACCAAAAAGTGCGTATAGAGATAGATACCCGTGAGAGAGTGCGTATCCTTGGGGTCTATGACCCCATTTACTATCATTACGACATCGAAATCAAACTTGCCATGCCATCCAAGTGGATTAATATACGGGGTGATTCAAGAAGTTTCCTTTATTTGATAATTGTTTTCCTTAAGGGTTAGATACAGTTGGGAGAAATTAGTAGTATTATCTCTATCTAGTAATGAATTTTATTAGCCTAATTTTCTCACTTGGTGGGAAAGTATATTTCGAAATTACGTTGATTTTAAATGAATAAAAATTATATACAATAAATAGCACTATCTACTGATATCAATGAATCAAAAATAGTCCATAAATAACCGAAATAAATGGAGATTTAGAATATTCAGGAGGAATATTGGAGGATTTCCTTCAAAAATCAACCAAAAAATCCTGGACAGAAACCTCTCGAAAACCCAATACACACATACAAACATCCCTCTATCCATTTCCTTCGTTATTTCCACCATTAACCCGAAATTCTCCATTCCCCTTGAGCCCCGAAGGCACTAAAATCCAGCTAGCGAGTTCCTCGAAGAATAAATAATGCGTACCGCGTTGTGCGTTGTCGGTCGATGGCAACGCAGCAATGCGTACACGTGTATCGAGTCATCGACCTCCGAGCCGAAAATTCGGGGGTCCTCTCCGGGATCGATAGCAAAAAGAACAAGGAACGCGAAAACGGGCAACTTTTAGGGTGTTGCTATAGCTATGGACGAGCGGGGTCGCGGATACGCGGGGGATTGATTATTATACCGGAATAGACGACAGGGGGACCTAAAGCCCTTCATTATTCCATCGCGTTGCCACCTGAAGTCGCCTCGTTAATGACCAAATCGACTTGTGAAATGCTTCGGTGATCGCGTACGCGAGCCCTTTGGGTCTTCGACCTCTCAAAGACAACACGGTTCGGCGAGAGCCGGTGAGGAAGAGCGCGCGAGGCTCTTGAACCCTCCTGAATCTAGGGTAACGCCGAATTCGTTCTGGGGCCCCGTTCCTGCGGGACGCGCGTTGCGTATCTTGCGTTGCGCCCGTCCCGAACACAGGGAGATTTCTTGACTATAGGGGAGCAAGGAACCCTGATATTTTACTACAGAGCGCGGCGTAGAGGGTGGAAAGTTATGTTTTGATAGAGCTTTGTTTAGAGGGTGGTCGGGGTTTTTGTTTGTTCGATGGGAAATTAGCCAAATACTTCAAAATCGTCTTCTAAGACCTCCTAAAATCATCAATACAACAGCTATATTTCATCTCTACCGAGGAGTGAACAAAAAATTCCGAAATCATTAAATCATCCGATTAAATCGAACGACAATGTTTAAGTGTAAATGCTTGTTTGTTGTCGAAAAATCCTCGGTTTACGATTTACAAGATCAAATGCCGCGGCGGTTCCCCGGGTCTTGCGGTCGAAAAAAATAAGAGGAATCGTTGACCCCGCGTTCGGTGGGGCCTCCAGCTAACAGTAGGTGCACGGGACCTCCGACTAGTCGAAACGAACGAAAAAAGAAACGCCGAAAATTTGTGCTCGAAGAGCCACAAAAGAGACCTTATGGGCTCATCGCGTATTCTTCACGCGCGTTTCGAGCGCTTCGTACGGGGTGATTCTTTTTAGTATAAATCGATAATTTGTTGTGTTTTTGTCGCCTCGAAGGTTCCCAGTTCCCATTGAAATCTTATGAGAAAACCCGTAAAAATCCTCTACAACTAAGCGAATGATTCCAATTTTGCAATTTATATACCTACCACATTTTCAGATCCATCTAATGCATCCCTACAACACATTTTTTATCCAATAACGCGGAGAATTTGTCGTTTCCTTAGGCGACCCTTTCAACGATCCATCCCAGCTCGAAGGGGTAGCTCCTCCGGAATAGATATATTAGTTCGGTGAGGATGAGCCCGAAATAATTCATTCGATGGGGCTTCATGCACCGATAGCAAGGGGGATGTATTATTTTCCTGTCGATACGAGAACAGGGGTTGTAATTACTCATCCGTTTTTCCGGCCTTTGTGCCACACTTAACGGCCCCAATTAACGTTTAAAACCACTCAATTAATTCCTTACTTTCTATATAAGGGAGGTGTGCAATGTTAATTGAATCTTAAGATGAATATAAATTGAGCTTCAGACGAGTGAAAACTATAATAATTATGGAAAAAAGAACTAATATACACCCTCTTATCAAAGAATATGTAGTTGACGTTTAAGAAACAATACAACAATAGATCCTATTAATGAAACGTCATTAGTGTCATTTTTGACAGTTTGTATTTTTAATTCAAAAGTATCATCGTAGGCAACTTAAAGTCCGACTAAATGATACCAACGATTAAACGTGGATTTTTTAAAAAGTTTGTGGTATAAAGAGGTGAGTTAAGATAATTGAAAAATCTGAAAAATGAAGTCGAATCGTGCTGTATAAAAGACAAACAAACTTCTGGTTGGGCAACACCAAAATCCGGTGTAAACGACCCTGTAGACGATTAAAGTGGACCGTCGACGAAACGGTTTGCGGCAGGCAAGGCGGAGGGCCGGCCTGCGGGTCAATTCTCATCTGGATACACACGAAAGTGAGCAGGAGGAGGCGCGCGGGCCGCGTGAATTGTGCGTGTGCACGAGCCGTTTCGTTTCTCTTTCGGTTTCCATTCCAACGTTCACGGATAGGTACGGGTGGACGGGAGCCTATTCGGAGTTGCGTTGGGCCGATTTGTAGGTCACTGATAGGTCGAGGACCCCCGTTTTACGATCGCGGGACTTCGACTCTTCGACACGTGGGAAACGCGGATTCACGTGCGAAGAGGCGGATGGGGATTTTCGTTTTTTGGGGAATAATTGGGAGTGAACAAAGTCGCGCTGGGAAATTGGGTTCGTTCATATTCGGGAGCGGAAATAGATTGGATGATTGACGACTTTGTAAATATTTTGTTTGTAGAAAATGGAGAGAAAAGTAATATGTATTTAGTTTTTAGAATTGTCATTTTTACTATTGATATGTCACCAGTAGAGGGGTGCATTGAAGGTGCAGAAATAAAACCAATTTTTGATAGTTATAAAATTTTCAAACCTATATATTTCTCCATCTCTTTAAATATGTCTCTCTGTCGACATCTGTTACGATTCTCTTGTAGTAAACATGGAATTAAACTGATATCTTTACTTCCAAGATTGGTGAAACTGGTTGCATAAGTACCAGTAAATCCAATTCCAGACTTGAATTCTGAAAATCATCCAAAATGGAAATTATACCAATTAAAATATATTTCATTTTTAGATAGTACACGGGGTACAAGAACTTAAGCGAGTTTTTTTGCTTTAAACAGTCTTGATGAAAATTAAACCCTTATCGAGTTTTGGTTTTTATTTTCGAAACATAAACGTGTGACAACAAATTAACAAACAATAATAAGTATTTTACAACTGTTTTATAAACACCGTCAAAACAGATCACTTTAACAAGTCTCTTATATTTTCTTATGGAATTCTGGAATTGGTAAAATTTATAATAAAAAAGAACTGAAAACTGTAAATTTTTTAATACAGGAACTTTCGTTACTTTAATAAAAATAATAATCCTTGCTACAACATGTTACATTCCACAACAGGCATACTCCAATCCAGCAAAGCTGACATTACAAACAAAACAATTAAAATATTACGTTTGTTCCAAACAAAGTCGATACATGATATGAACTATTGTCATTAAGAGTCATCAAACTCCGCGAACTTTATCTGAACAAACCCTAAATAATGGCAAGAAACTAACAAACATTTCCTAACAAAATTTTTACATTCATTGTCATCCGTACTCGCACAAATGTCCACAACCGGCCGGGCACACTTTATGCGAACCCATCCACTGTCTAATATGCGCCAAGTGACCGCCGTGTGAACAACCCTGGCACCAAGCGAATATCCCTTTGACCACCTGATTGCATATGCAACACACCCCGTACTTCGAGGAATGACATTTGTCGCACAGCCATCCCACCCGTTGCAGAGCCTTCGTGCAATTACCGCAATTCGTATTGATTCGAGTGCTCTGTTGATTGAGCTGATAGACCGATGGTAACCACGAACGTTTAATCACCTAAAACAAAAAAATGTAATCCGATATTCTTTTATAATACTTGTTGTAATATTACTTGCGTAACGATATTCCACAATCTATAGCTGGTGAGCATTTCGATGTAGCCCATCACCCAATGCTCCTGCGTGGCCTCGTCCAACTGCGTCAAGAATCTCCTGCAATCGCCCAACACGATCAATATGCACGCGGTGGTTTGTATGTCGCCCAAATTGGCGTGATGCCGGAGCGCCTCCACCACCAAGCTGCTCGGATCCCACATGCTCTTCTTCGGGATCTTCGTCACGCAAATCGGCGTCGGCGAGATCTCCTCCACCTGGAACATCTCCAATTCCTCGCTCAAATCGGGCGAATGGTGGTTGGGGAACTGCTCGGGCGGCGGCGAGCGGTCCTTGATCTCGTGCCGCACCGGAAACGCCTCGTTCGGCAGCACGTACTCCGAATCGTCGGAATTCACGTGATCGAAGCCCCTGTAGCCCGTGTGGAAATCTAGAAAATAGCAGTCACCTTCACGGATCGAGTGAGGGCGAATCGTGTCATCTGTCAGTATAAGTACGTATAATTTCTAGTCTAGTAAGAGGCATGCCGTGTGAACGTGTGTATTGACTCGTTGCTTTACTAACCGGAATTTATACTATCCAATTCCATGTCTAATTCGTTTTCTCCAAACGAAAAATCTCCTTTCGGCAAGCCCGTTCCGATGTTGAGGTACGTCGGAAAGCCGTTGTACGATTGAGAATTATCAACTTGGTCCTCCAATTCAGTCTCTTCGTCGCCTCCACTAAATTGAGCTGTTTGGGCCTCGTTAGTAGCTAAAAAAATAATATATGGATCGAGTGAAGCTCGCTCAGCGAGTCAATCTCTTACTCTTGCAATTCGTTTCAGTCTCGGCGTCTCTAACATTGTTCACGTTTTCGACCGGTAGAACTCCCATCGTACCGTTGGCGGTTTTGTTATTGTGTTGGGGCTCGTCTCTGCTCGTATTGTTCGAATTGACGGAGTTCTGCATGAATTCCTCCCCGTACATGGTCTTTATGATCTTCCACACCACGGCGATCTGCGAAACAATCGATTAGTTTCATGGCGAGTGGCTGGCGAGCGGAGGCGTACGTGGGGTTTACCGAATTCTCTCGCTACAGTCGAATTGTGCTCGCACAATTCCGATATACTTCTTCCGTGTAGAACGTAGTTTTTGGCCAGCGCTATGAAGTTTTGCGATTCATCGTTGACGGCTTCGTTTACGTAGGTTATATGATGGAGGGTGCTGGAAGCATCGTGAAATTGATCTATAGGTTGGGTTGTCGATATTTTCCTGTAAAATTCGGTGCGATTAAGAGGCGATATTAGTAATGTTCGTTGATTAAATTCACCTCATAAGACCAACGGTCGCTTTGGTCAACGAAGAAGAGCTCGACGAAGCGATATTGTGGAACGGTGAATTTTTTTTAGCGAATAACACTTCTCCTCTGTTGTTCATCGACGATCCTTGAGGATTGGCTTTGGCCGCCGGTCTCGAAGCATCGTTAAACGAATGCTGATACAGCGTAGAATCCTAAAACACGAAAAAATTAATCATAAACTCATTAAATTTCCCATCAAATACCTTTCCACAACTCAGAAACACATCGGGATCGCCTTTCCATTGTACACTACTCGGAAATCCTCTGTGTTCGTTGAACGAAGCGTAAGGTATGTACGGTCTACGTATGTCCCACACGTTTATACTGCAATCTATGACAATGGCGCAGCTCGATATGTGATATTTCTTTTGGGGGCGCCATTTCACATGACCTATCGAACCTATAGTGTGAATCGTCCTTTCTAAAGTCGGTTTACCAGTGAGATCCCACACCTACAAACAACACAAATTGATCATTTATCAAGGAACAGTTCAGAGAAGTCTTCGAATGCTCTTTACACACTCAAATCGTATGACCCATAATAGTCCATTTTTAATATTGTATGTATCAAGAATGAAGCAAACCTTAATGGTTCTGTCTCGGCTGGCTGTGGCGAGCCACGTGACCTCAGGGTGCCAATCGCAGGCGAACACGGGCCCGCTGTGGGCCGTGAATTGCTGCAAGCATTTCTCGCTCTTTCGAATATCCCATAGCTGAACGCCACCGTTGTCGGAGACCGCAGCAAAAGTATACGAATTGTGCGGAGAGAATTGCACGTCGCGAACGCTCTCTGTATTGCTGCAAATAGATCCGAATCAATTACATTGAAGTACTAACGAGGGTGCTGGATGACACACCTGTAGAAGATCGCTACAGCGCTTTTCAGACGAATGTCGAAGTACCTCAAGGTACCGTCTTGCGAGCCGGATATTAGTTTGTTGGGCTCAGATGCGTGAAAGTTTACTTTGTTTACTGTTCTTTTGTGATCTTGGTAGTCTTGTTCCTGCATGGCTTTACCCATTTTGGTGAGGTTCCAAACGGAAACGTGTCCATTCGTAGCAGCTGTAGCCAAGTAATGGTCTATAAAGAGAATGATAAATATTGTAGAACTTTACAAGTATTGTAATCGATTCAATTACCATCAGTAGGGCTCCAAGAAACGTCATTGTAAGAAAAACCTTGATTTAGATGTTTCGATCCTCTTACATTGCACACTTCTCGAAACTTATCCTCTTCTACAGCATACACCTTGAAGACTGAAAAAATGCATCATTAGGACAGTAAGAGTAATGATTACTTGATATTTTACCATTTCTTCCACCGATTGCAACTTGTGAATAATCTTTATTCAACGCCAGGGCATTTACAGGCCCTTCTTGGACCACGAAGAAGGTCGACATTACCTCTTTTAATGGTTTATTTAAGTCACTTATTGAAAACAATGCACGTTTGCCTTTGTTTAACAGCTCTCGTTTAACTCATTGTGAAAAAATGCAATAAGAAATAACCGTTTCCATTCAAAAAGCATTGATTTCATATTCCAAATTTTCCAAAACAAACCATTATAAACAATCAGGCATTTTTTCGCCATCTTTATATGCGACATTACAATCTATTATTTTCATCTACTTTAATTATTTATTTGTATTTGAAATGAGGTAATGGTTATTAGAAAATATATTTCATATTTAAATTACGATAGAGTTGAATAAAACAATTGTTATTTTAAATAATTTTTGACATTGATGTACGTTAAAATTTGCCTAAAAATAAAATTCGTCTCAAATGTCATCTGTCAAAGTCAAAATCACTTGACTTTGACATGTGTCATTAGTTGTCAGTTAAATGTCGAAAAAGAGTTTGTGGTGTAATCGTTAATGAAAATTTAATGAAAAATGTGCTTAATTTAACAGTATTTATGCTTTAAACGATTTATACAGTTTGCCACAAGCTCGATTTTATTTCATTTCCGCAAGTTTAATATTTTTTATTATAATGCAGTAATTCCTTTATCGCTTCTGGGTAAATTGAAGAATGAAATGCCAAAAAGTGAGTAAAATCCTACATTATTTACATTACTTTATTAATTATGGGCCTATTTTTAATCGAAATATGCATTCCATTTAATTTTATGCCAGCCAATGAGTCACCTTATTTAAAGCAACACCATTGAATGTCCCTATGTATGCAATGCAATCTGTAACTGATCATGGTCAATAATAGAATTGAAAGTGAATTTCCTTGTGGTTGTAATCAGATAAAGCAATTTGGCAGTTATGAAAACATGCATTGAATAATTCAAAAATATTGTATGAATAATGGATTTATTCATTATCAATTTTTTTGTAAAAATTGAGTAAATTAAATATTTTGCATAGATATGCTAAAATCCTATTTTGGTAGATGTAGAATCGTAATTTTTAATTAAATGATTAATAATATAGTAGAGGATTAATATGCTTTTTTCACAATATGTAGTCTTTTTATCAGTTTATTAGCAGTATTGCATTGTAATTTTTCAAAGCACCACTTTACTTTTCGAACAGCTTATTAACTAATAATGTTTAATCATGTGTATTTACATGTACATAGGAATAAAAAACATAATTTATTGTCCTGTTTAAAGTTCAAGGATAGCACCCAACTCGGTTTTTTAATAGATGCTTATACAATTTCGGAGACAATCCAGAATTGTTTGTACAAATGTGCTTTGTGAAGGTAAAATGTGGTAAAAAACCCATCTAATAAAATGATTCATATTATTGGTAAGTGCTATGTAAAAATTAATATTGCAATAAAAAATTCATACGTTTCGAAGTAAAAATTACCACCCGTAACCAAGGAAGTCTCTTAATTAGTTATCTAGATGTATTAACAAACCTTCTTAATTATTAAATTGGAAATAACTTTAATTTTATTAGAGGTAAATGTACTAATGATATTGTTAAAAGAACCGCCGGGGAAGGATAATCTAATATACTTGCATCACCAAACATTCTGTATAATATTGTAGTTCTTTTAGTTTAGGGAAATACGATTGAATATCCGAATTATTCAAGCGTTAATATCTGCATAATATTCAGCCTAGTTTCATTTTTACTAAGTACACAGCCCGCCATTACATTATCTTATCACAATTGTATTTGCTGCATACAATAAAGTGGCGAAAATTTCGTATCCAGAAGTTGGTGAGGCTACGTGACTCTTGTGATTTTGTTCAATTATTTACAAGTTATTGTTGTTTTTTAATCGTAGATGAGAATTTTGTAATATTACATTTCCATTGGGTCCCCGTAGTTAAGAGGAATTTTATAAATGCTTGTTCTTGGAAATCGCCTTTCCAAAATATCCTCCCTTTCAATTAAAAATGATGTTAGAAATGTACCTTACTAGAATTTGATACCTGTTAGCATTAGTAGGTATATCGTGATCATTCTGGTTGGTTTATTTTCGAGGGTAAGATTATTAATAATTTTTATAATGTAATATTATTAATGAATACGTATGTGACCTATTTTGTATATTAGAAAATAAGATAATTATTACAGGTAATAAAATATCGTATATCTTTTGGAAAGTAAAACATGCTTTCTTTATTCTTAAGACAATGATGTATTTTCACTAAATCGATTATACACGTACATTTTATGTGAAGTTAATAAATAACAAATTCGCAATGTGACCAAATAATTTGCCGGTTAACACGTTAATTTTTTTTCACAACATTTCTTCATCTTGAAATCATCCCGACCAATCAAAGTCTAAAATATTTTTATCATTTTCACTTAATTTATTGAAGCATCTTATATCTATAGATAGGTTTCAGTAAACGTTAAAATTCATCGGGATTCCGCCTCACGTAGATGATCTTTCGTGATAACAGTATAGTTTTTTTAAAAATCGCCAACCGGATTTGTATTAGCGAAGGTAAAGGAACTTAGTAATTAGGATAGGTTAGGACTCGAACTGTAACCTATAATTGTTTGTAGGTATTATATTAGAATTTGGTGATAATGGGCTATCTATTTTCGCGAATAGTGATGTTAGTGATATATTAGAATTTGTTTTATTTATTTTTTCAGGTACAGTGAAACGTGTTGGTGTTCAAACTGGCAGCCCAAGAAGGTGCGAGTGGCGCCCAGCGCGCACTCCAACCTAAAAATTCGACGAAGAACCAAGGAACCCTCACTGGTGAGTGTTTCTTTCCCTTTTACCATTTCTTCTATTCGTAAATAATGGCTATAGAAATTGAGGAACTCATTTCCACGAGGTGCATAAATAACGATGAAATATGTCACCACATGTCGCAGGTGTGGTAAATGAGTAAAAACAACATAGATAAAATGTATAGTGCGACGAATTTTGTTTGGTTTAATATACAGTTTGATTACAAATTTGATCACAACCACTTAATCTAAATTCTTAGTAAAATTACTGTAAAATTTATTTTTTTTAATATAATATTACCTCTCCTTTTTATACAAGATGGTCTTATGGTGATTAATAATTAATGTCATACAAATCGACTCAAATAAATCTTATAATTTACAAGTAACTAAAATATCTAGGTAATTTATTTTATCGATAAAAGAGGGTGAAGTGAACAAAAAAATAATCAGGTTAGGTTTCTATTTTTGGTCAGGTTGATGTAAAAAAATCGATTTCGCTTGAATGAAATCGCGTTCATGTTGAAAGTGAAAAGTAGTATTGTAGTCGTCGTTGGCAATCATGTCGCGAAAATTCGCGGCAATATTAATTTATCTTTCGTTGTAAATTCGGTCGAAATTAGACGAAATGTATTTGCTTTTTTTATTGCAAAGAAGTAGGTTAAGAAAATACAACATTTCGCGAACGTTTAGAGATAAATTCGCATCGCGAACGTGTTGTATAAAAGTAACGTATCAATCTGTAGTAAAAGAATTGAGATGTAAATCGGGTGAGTTTGAAGTTGTTGATAAAAAGTAAATTATCCATATTTTTTTCTATAATAAGTAACGTTAATAGTGTATAAGAATTTAATTATACTATCTCGAAATGGCACTTTTAATATCATTAGTAGGTACATTTTAATTGCACCAATGATACTTACAGCCGATAAAAATTGCAGTTTTTGTTTTAAATTTATCATTAATTTTTGAAATCTAAAGATATATTAGATAATTACCGATTCTAAAAATGACTTCGGTATGTACACAACTATCATTATGAAAGGAAAATATTTTTCCACAAGAATAGATTGTTAAACAAACAAATTAATGTCGTCCCGGCGTTTTCTTTTTAATCCGAGCGTTTCTTTTTGTGGCAAGTTTTAAAATAGTCGAGCAGGCGTCGCAGATATAAAATAAAATCCAAGATCTGTGACATCCTGTATTTTTTTCTTATTTTTATGCAACGCTTCGGTATGTGCAGCATCAAATCTTGCACAAAACAGTGTACTCAAAATAAAATTTAACACAATTATTAATACATATTGCGCTTTTGAAATAGTCTGTATTTTAATATGATTTAAAATAAAGGTTGCTTGAAAATTATTTGTGGCGATTAGTTGGATTTTCTTGAGCTAAATGCGTTTGGGATTCACAAAGAATTATGTCCACGTACGTTGCAAGAAAAAAGGAAAAGTCTCGTATAAGCGTTGGAAATAGTTTCAGTTTAAAAATACGAGGATATTGAACTTTCGTTGGCCATTTAGTCACTTGCGAGACACCTAAATTTAATGGGCGATAAAGTTCATGTCTTTTTTTTTTTCAAAAAAAAAACAAACGTTCCAATTTTCACTTTGATGGCCGACATGCATTATGCATCTACCGTATTACCATAATTAAATCGGCTACTTTTTCTGTAATAAATTAAATAGAAATTTCATTTGTCTTCGGTATTCTTTAAACGGTTAATTGCTAAACATACCGGAAATTTCTTGGGGCTTTTCGCACATTTTTTTCGACGTTTCAATAGCGCCTTTTTTATTGAATTAAACAACAATTTTATCAATTACTCTGCGAAATAATCTTTATTGTTTCTACGCTTTTATAGCCGGTTTTCTCACGCCGTTTTCTTCACTTTTCTCGTTACGTTAGCGTTGATTTAATAATCGAATAAACTACATAAAGTTTTATTGGATAGAAAGTGCTCCAGTTCGAAAAAAAATATATATTTTGACTCGTCATTTTTGGGATACAACCAGCTTATCACGGGTTTTGTTATCATCGATGAAATTGTTCACTAATTAATCCCTACATTTTTTTCTCATTAGTTCTTTTCGTTGATTATCCAGCGAATATTTTTGAATAAATTTCTCGGTAATCTTAATTGCACCTACTAGTTAATAAAATAATTCAGTGAACGTATAGCTATAGAACCAAATCGGAATGGTGTAGTAGAGTATAGACTATACAGACATTTCTATTGACTTGTACAAAAACAGTTTCATAATTTCAACGTAATCAATCGCATGCAGTCTATGCACCGTTTCGTATAGTTATTTTTTGTTAAAATAAATTTCGGGGAAACGTGTTATTTTTGCCAGTTGACTTTGTAATGCAAAAATTACTGTAAATAATAGTCATGGAAATGGATTTTTTTATCTACAAGTACAGTTTTTCTTTGTTTTATTACTACTTGCTAGTGGAATGTGGAGTATTCGGTTCAAATTATGATGTGAATGTGCATTAGGTAATTTTGAAATTTTTCTGTTCGCGAGTTTCTTAATCATTTGTTACAATTACTTCGTGTTGGGTAAATGTTTTTTTTTCTTCATTTTATTAGTGCAAATAATTCGCAATTTCATTATTAAAATACAATGTGCCGCACAAAAGGCGATGTACCTAGGTATACATTTCAATGTAACTACTTTAGATAAGATATAGGTGTAATTCGATTAGAAAAGTAGGCTGTTATCGGCGAAAAAAATATACAAAAGCGACTCTCGAACCTGAAAACTTGGACAATCGCCAGAAACTATTAAAATCTTATTGGACCTGCACCGGTCTATCCTCAGTATATTCCCGTTCATTCATAGAAGCGCGTTTATTGCGCAAGGAACCATAAAACATACTAAAATTTCTTAAAATCGGAAATCACCGCACATAAGATAACACCCTATAAGTGCCGAATACGATTTATTTTTCTCGCGTAATTTACAAAAGTGCTAAAGTTAGCTGGCTAACCTCGAACCCGGCGGTTTTTTTAAAATGTTTGGACTGGATGCCGCCGGTTGTCGCGCTAGTGCTTGACGAAAATGCCCGTTCTTTTGCGCCTCAACAACGCCCAAGATGCATCGGCGATTAGCGAAACCGCGAGGAAGCAGATCCGTCAACGTGAAAGACTGGGAGAAGCAGGGCGAATTGTTGACGGAATGGAACAATGGTAAAATTTATACTGTACCCCATAAAACGCGCTAATGTGTCGTGTAATTGCGTCGAGGATTCCAATTCGTTGTATAGGATGCTTCGTGTTTTTTTTTTATCGAAGCGCTATGCTTTCACTGAAACGTAGCGATTTTTGTGGATTTCTAAATTGAGTTTTCGACGCCGTTATGCAAACTTTTATTTAACGCTTAATGTAAATATGATATGAAAGTACATTGTTGAATTTGGAGCGATTAAATACGGCAATGGTACAGTGGAAATATTTTAGAACTCTCTGTAAACTGATTCAAACGTTTGCTTTGTTTCTTGTAGATCTAGAGCAGAGATAAAATTACAAGCAACCCTTGTGTATTTCATTCATAATAGGGATCTGACATAGAGATTTAAAAATCCTTTGAATCTAATTTCAATCTACTCTGTCTATTAAGTCAACTCTGAATCTACTCTGCTCTATTCTACTCTAAATTACTCTGCTCTACTCCACCCTAGTGTGTAAATTTGTTCGTTGTACTGCTGTTTTAAAACGATATCAAAAATCTAACACACCCGGTATATTAATCAATACACCGGCATTTCTCTTTCTTAAATCATTTATTAGGTTTTCTGTAACAATACGAATTCCAGTTCGTAACAGGCTCCGCAGTCGATGAAATCTCCTCGAGTATCTCTCGTCGTTCGAGCATTTTTAATAAATTAGGTATTAAATATTTTTATAACCTGTCGCCGGCATCTATTCGCAGCAAACTAGTTGTTTGTAAGTGTGTTGAAAAGTCACTAGTACTTAGCTTAACGAGTCGAAGAATGTCCCGTTTCGTGAGGCTTTTTCGTCGGCTCGGAATCTCGACGGGCGGTTAATTCAATTGGGTTTTTGGGTTGAACGAAGAAATATAAATTTTATGGGATTTTGAGGATTTTCGATCGACCGGTGAGTGAACGATTAGAAATCAATGTAAGTAAAATATCTCTGCTGGATGCTCATGCTAAAGATAAACATAGTAAAGTTTACTGGTTTGTAAAAAGGACCTTTTTTGATTTTCTAGCAGGGATTTGGAGGTATTTTATCGTTGAAATTTACAATAACTCACCGGTTCTGCTATAAAGCTCGGTTGTTAAACTAAGCTTGTGCATTGTCTTTTTCCGTGAAAAGCGGTGACTATACTAGGTTTTAATAGTTCCCCAAAGTGATTACTAGTAGAGTAAACTGATAAGTTGAATGATTTTTTTCAATGTACCGGGTGATTTTCAAACAAAATTTCACTCATCGAATAAAAGTGTTTAAAATAGGCTTTTCATCATGAATATTAAAAAACCTTGCCGTCTTATATAACTGTGTATCTTATTTGAACAACTAATTATTCGGGTATAATTATCAACTAGTGAAAATAAAAATACAGACGTTGAAATTTAGCGAGTGTTAACTTGGGTTTTGTTGATGCTTTAAATTATCTCGCACAGTCGGTCACGAGTTTTCGCGTATTTGCGTCAATAATCCGAAAATTTATACCGGTATGATTAATGATAATACATCCGATATTAGATGCATTAATGTTGATAATCGCTATCGGGTATATTTTGTATAAAATGCTACATTAAATTTTATGTATTGTGTATGATTTATAATCGCAACATTAGACACATTTTCCATAATATCTAAAGAAATAGAACAAAATGTTTAATGCGTTTGGCAGGTGTTCAGAGATTTTTTAAAAATTTGGCCTCTGATCTCATTTATTTGGAATTATTTTGTACAAAACCAGTATATTTTTGTATTTATGAAATTTTCCTATTCGACTCGAATTTGAATACGTCAAATCATTGGCGATCGAAAATATAGTTTATTTTAAAAAAAGACGATATTTTTTACTGGAAAATTAACCACTTAATAATCAACTATTAGTTTTTACAAAAAAGCATAATTAAATGATTAAATACACTTAACCGTAGGTAAATAGATTCATACCGGCTCAGCAACCGCAAATATCCATAACGTAATACCTACAATCTGATCCAGAAATTACACTGTTTGCGATCCCGAGACCGTTTAGTAACTACGTTATTTATTCGATACGGTAAAAAAAAACATTTTTCATAGTCCACGCACATGTGGCACGCCCAACCTATTTTATTCCTAATCAATGGAAAAGAAAAACCGACCTACCGGAAAATGCAACAGAACAATCGATATTGATATTATTAAAACAGCAAACAGATTTTTAAATCTTAGATAATATGTTAAGCATCTTCGAATGAATGTAGGTAGGTAATTGCATTAATTTGAATAGTATAATTTAGGATTTTAGAAATTTTACAATGGATTAAGACTAGAGTTTTTTCATCGGAGAGAATAAGCAAATATGACACGATTAAATGTTATAAATCGATTTTGAATTCACACTGTATTATACATTGAAAATGCATATACATACAATTGATCTCCAACAAAGACATTAAAAGACATGTCCTCAAGTATATACATAGATACATATAAGTGCATGTGCATCTCTGGTATCTTTGTGGGGGGTATTGCCCTCCTTATGGTACCTACTCCCTCCTTCAATGGGCAATATCTCGGCTTCCGAAGAACTCTTAACGGCCTTAACATCTAATACTGATGGTACTTGGAACGATCGACGGACATAGAGTCCCATTATCGCGACTGGATTTTTTTTTTCGTACATAAATTGCACCGAAGTAGTTTCGTATAGTGCCGTTGAACCGCTATTTCGCGCGTTTTACATCTGCTTTCCGTTGCCGGGTAATTCGATATATCTGTAATCGATTAATTAGAAAAAAAAATCGTGTTACGTGAAGTTGATCGTAAGTAAAAATTGAATTATTCCGTAATGTACAGTCATCTGTTTGAAATGTGCGAGACGTTCGAATGCATTTTCTACATTGGAATTTAATTATAGTTATAATTTAGTAAACAGTTTCGAATTTATTATGAGGCGTCCTGGTGTAATGTGGAAATCTCGTTGGTATTAACGATCTTATTCTTTTTTTACACCGAGATCAATGAATGCATGTGTATATTTGTAGATGTTACGTGCGCCTGTCGCGTTGATTTGCCAAAAAATATAACCGGCCCATTGGCATTGGCATCAGCTGTTAATTTATGTAACAAGGATGCGCCTAATTACGCATATATTTATTAATATAATTGACACCCTATTGATTGGTTGTTTAATTAGAAAAATTATGAACACTCACTTTAATAATTATCATATTCTATTCACATCGAATTGCATATTGAATTGTTCCGCTACATTTACTCACCCGGTAGAATAATATTAAAAAAATCTTTAGTAAGAGAATCCTATTAACCTATATCTATGAAGGACCAATAACTGATTAGACATATGCACTACAAAATAATTAGAAACCTTACTCGCGGGACATGATCGGTTGATATCATTTCGAATTTCAGTATGCGTAGTGGAAATATAAAGTATAAAATAAATTGTGGAGACAGTTATGAAATTAGGTGCGTGTATTTTTTCATTTACCCCAATTTTTTATCGTTATTTTTAGATCAATTCGGTTTCCTCTTTCCGTACTTTATAGCCTAGGTTAATAAACAAAATGTGTTATGACCTATCTAAAAAAGAATTCGCTCTATCTAAATTTATACTCGTGCCGAAAATTTGGATGTTATGCCGGTGTATTCTAGTTGCGTTGCTTTCGTTATAATATTGTTCCTCCTATAGTACGATGTAATAGAAAAATCCGAAGGAAATACATTTGAAGCACGTACGTAATTTTTGTCGATACGAAATGCAATAGATTCGTATTAGATATGTATAATACATAATGTTATGCGTCATTGGTTATATTTAGCGCTGAGTACATTATGTTTACTAATAGTTACTGGTTATGTCCAACGTTTACTAATAGTTAGTAGAAAATATTTTTTTTGTGTGTGAGTTATGTACTATTAATTTTTATGCATTTATGTTACCTTTTTTTCATTATTCACTTAGAATTTCAGGCTAAATCATGATAATTTATTTTCGCAATCGATTTCGAACGGCACATTTTTCTAACCAGTAACTGGTAATTGAACTGCAATAACGTGCGTGCAAAAATCACATTCTCACGATTTTCCGATAATTTCCCTTTATTTCATCGTTAATTCACAATAACAAACACAACAGTAATTTTAATATTTTCATGTTCTCGATTTATCTCGATCTAGATTTTATTGTATGTATAGATGTCATGGGAGACGTAAAATTATTCCAGCCAATTAATCGCGCGAAAAATCACGCCTATCTTATCTGGTACATGAGAACTTTTTGCGCGCCTGCAAATTATAAAATAACTCCAATTTTACTTGAAATTATTCGTTATTTAATATTTTTCCTAATATTATAACAAATCAACAACCTCGCCCATCCATGCCCATATAAAACGTTGTTTGTCCACGAAAGTTCTCGCCTCTCTCTCCCTATTAGCATTCGCTGGGTGCGCTCGTAAATGGTTAAAATACCATGAATGGATTAAAATCGTAAAACAAACACCCGATCGGACGTCGAATGCAACATTCACCGATGAGAGTAATGCCCTTCATGAAACATTTATAGGAAAACGTCGAACGCGGTATTTATTGCAATGATTTACTGCTAAAAGATGCACTTTCTTCCGCTGGCGGAATTGTTATTCAATTCCATTGCTCTGAACAGTTGTTTAGAGATTTTTTTTTCACTCGTAAGTAAAGGATGACCCGGAGTAGATTAAGAATGGAGGAAACTCGGGATTGATTCAGAGTAGAGTCAATTCATGAGGAAAGCTGAGTTCCCGGACTGTGGTCGAATAAATTACCAAAAAAAAGCCTCCAATTGAAGTACATCTTATAGACTTTATTTCATAATAACTCGAGTACAGTTCGTTGAAAATATTTCATTACAATACGCAACTGTACTTTAACGTATAATGCATTAATTTTTTTCAACAAACACCTGTAAAAAATCACAATTAAACGTGGCGTGTAAGTCGCTTTTTCGCACGTCGTAAATTCAATTGTGAAAAGAAGAAAAAAAGATTTAAATCCCACACGCGTGAAATATGAATGGGTACCGAACATGTTGCGCCTAGTATAAAAAAGAATATGTGGAAAAGAACAATGGCCGGCCGATGGGAAAAAAGAACGGTTAATTTACGTTTAAGAGAATTCGCCTAATGAATTATAATTAATCCAGTCGCGTTTTATTAATTTATTTGAGTCGTTTTAATGTGGCAAAGTGCCGGATGCAAATGATGCAGGGTAATTAAACCTGTACCTTCGTAGGTATATGCAGGATGTCCTATTAATTATATTTTAAATAGCCTCTGCAGATGAAGTCTTTAATAATCCTTCGAATACAGGTGATTTTTTTTAAAAAGAATTACCCTGATGAGGCACTAGAAGAAGGCAACTTTTCTAAATTTTCATGTTTTTTAGGGTCATAATTGCTCAATATTTAAAGCTCCAAATTCATTCACATTGTATAATACAACAATGCCGTACAATAATTAATTACTTTAGGTATAAAGAGTTATGCACTTAAGAATTGTTCATGGGATTGTGTCTATACAATATGCGTGTTTGGTACGTTTCGCAGAAGCCATAATGTCGCGAACAATCGTCGGTGAAGCATTTAATAAAAATATGTAATAATTTTATTGTTATTTCCAGAACTGTGCAGTGCGGAATCGCTACCCGAAGTGGAGATAATCAGTCTCTTGGAGGAGCAGATACCGAAGTACCGGCTCAGGGCTGATACTCTTACTCAATTCGGCGGTAAGTGTTTGCAAATCGAATCGATTTTTGGTGGAAAATGGTATTCCAAATTGCGGTAATTTGTTGTTGTTTTTTTGTTCGTGTTTCGAATCGACCGCGAGTTCTGGTGTATCCGTTAACCGTGACATTGTACCTAATAAAATCGTTTTTCTAAATTTTCGTTAAATTAAATTGTACAATTACACCGAAAATGATTTATTGTTTGACGTTGTTTAAAGTACCATAAACCAAGGACTTGTGAGGTGAATTTAATTTTTTGATCGTCGACCGTAGTTGAATTATCGCGTTAGATCGTACTGGAATCGTTCGGTGTCGATAAACGGATTTTTTAATTGCAACAGATAAAACTGCATTCATACATCACTTGAAATTATTACGATCGAATAAACAACAAACGAGACAAGTATGAAGATTTAATTGTAAAACCTGTTTGGTCATAATTTCGGATTGGTAAAGTGGAGAGTGTCATGTGATTGCTCGTTCATTTTTACTTAAAATTCCATTTAGGCTTGTTGAAATGTGAACGGTTATTTAAAAATTAGCCTAATGACAGGTATGTTTTTTATATCAAATTAACTGGTAAAATTAGAATGCATTAAAAATTGAAAAGTTTATATGCAGAGGTTTTTATTGTGGAGGTTTTTTTTTGTATGTTCTTTGCTTAAGCAGGATAGGAATGATTGATAATTAATTTTACGTACATATCTTTAAGTTTAAAATTTGATATTTTGATGCAAATTGGACGCACAAGAAATAATATCCGCAAATAACAAATAATTATTCTTTTAGTGATTTAATAATATTGTAAATTAGAATTCTTAATTTTATTATAAACTACAATATTTTTTGCCTTGGATGCGAATAAGTAATACTTTACTTACTTTACTTTACAAAATTAGCGTTATTTTTCAAGTATCATTCTTCTCATTACTTACACAGTTGTTTTTTAAATATCAAAAATTAGAAAATTTCTATTGAACTCAAATCATTCCCTTGTCTTCCTGAAACATTTTCGCGCCCAATTTACCTATTAGTTGAAATACCCTTTTCATGCAATAAATATATTTCTGCACCGAACTTACCATCGCCGGTTATTCTATAACTCCAAAAAAGATAATCTAATAAGATAAAATATTATCGATAATAATATATAAATATTTATCATAATATTTTTTATCGATTTTATCATAATATTGACTTAGACTCTCTATAAACAATTTAACCTTTCAAATTTCTCTGGAATTAATTTTGCCCCTTTTAGGATTTTTATGATTTTTATTTTATATTTGCAGGTTACGAAAATCAGGACTGGTTCATACCTTCACCGGCTCTGGAGGTCGACGAGGCCGATCTGAAGCTGTCCCCGGACCAGATCCGAGAAACTTTAAATTATTTCCGTGAGTACCGATATAAAATTTGATATCGACATGATCGAAAATCTACATATTTAGCCAAGGGATTTTTCTTATAAGCTCTAATCTGTATTACTAGATTAAAATTAATCTATACATGCTTATTTAAACGCTATCTTTTATGTATTATTCGAACAATACGAGATTAACTATTTTACTCATTAGCTCTAATAATAATACATAACACACTAAAAAGAATGCACTCGAAACAACGACATATCTTATCGGTTACTTTTATTATCTGGCGTAATTTTTTTTTAATTTTGTGAATTCGCGGATCATTATACGAAGCGCACTGGTGAAAACAGCGCGTTTCCCCGAGTTTTCACTACAAAAAAATCCTTATCCGATTCCTGTTTCAGTTCTATGTAGTGATCGCGTGAGCCAAATGACCAAGACCTACGATGACATAGAAGCAGTTACGAGGCTTCTTGAAGAGGTAAGCCAGTATTTTTTTCTGTCCAGTGCAAAGTATACGGTAGATGGAGTTATAAATTTGGTTAAAAATGTGAATTTTTGGTGCAAAATTGATTAGTAGTTTACAAACAAGCGTCGTTGCCAGATGGTTTTGAACGTAGGAAATTTGTATTTGTAAAATATCCTTTGAAATCCGTTTCGTTTTGCGCAGAAAGAAAAAGACTTAGAACTGACGGCCAGGATCGGTAAGGAACTGTTGATAACGAACAACAAATTAGAGAATACGGTATCGTCGTTGGAGACAGATTTGCGGACGGCCCACGAGAAAATCGTCCAGCTCAGCCATGAGGTGCAAAAGAAAACGGAACTCATCCAGATCCTCACCAACGACATGGACGAGTCGGGCTTCGAGAACGGCAACAACGGCAAGATCAACCTGGAAATGATGAACAAACGGATCTGTAAGTCATTTTATTTCCACCTCAAAACAACGAATTAATATTAATAAAACCGTCCTCGACGTTATCGAATGCGATGCATCTCGATAAACATTGAATCAACACGACGAGGTTATCATGCGATAAAGAAGTTATGTAAAAGTATATAAAGTTTCGAGCCGTATACGCCGGGCCGGAATCGGTTGTACGGATTGTGTTTTGTTCGCATAAAATTAGTTGAACTAAATAACTCGTACACTTGAAAAGTTTCTACGTGTGCGGAAAAATATCGCGAACGTCTGTACTCGGTACACAGTACGCTTCGGAATTGGGTCTTGTTTTATTTTCGTGCATTGTTTGGGGCCTCTCAATGCCGGCGTTTGCTCGAAAAAATATTCCTTATATACCATTACATAAGATTTTTTTTGATAATTAATTTTAATTGCCCAAATAATTATCAATAAAAAAAGTGTCGTGTTTATAAAATACCTTTGTGTTGCTTGCAGTTTCGTTGGAAGACGAAAATAAAGCGTTGAAACAGGAATATTGTCGTTTGGCCTCGACTGCCGATGATATCGAAGCACAAGAAGCGAAGCTACTTAAGGATTTAACAGGACAACTATGTAAGTAAATCTAATTGTTACTCATGAGATAAAATATCGCAATAGGGCTTTCTTTCCCCTCATTTTAATCTCCTACTCACTTCTCGCTGCGCGAGCTCTTGTCATGAAATACTATACGCTTCTCTGGAATCATTAAAACTAATAAAATATTATTAGTATCATCGCATGTAGACTCTGGTAGACTTAAGATAGATAGTTTACATGTACAATGGTAACATTATTTTAGTATTGCCTCGTAGTAATCATGCAAATGAATCGTTGTAACTTGAATCGTTTATTTCTTTCAGCTTGCGCAAATTCCAGCATGACCTATTTAGAAGATGAAATCGACCGGTTGAAAGAGGAGAATCGAACGCAACACGAACAAATCCTGGCGTTGCAGGCGCGACTCGAAGACGCCGACGGGAAATTGCACAAATGCCTGGCCGAAAACGAGGAAATCAACGGGCTGTTGCACATCACCACCGAGAACCAAGGCAGCCTCGCCGTCGAACTGTCGGAGTTCAAGGCGCGCTACTACGAAGTCGAGGCGCTGTTGCGCGACGCCCAAGACCAGTTGCGCAAGATGAGAAAGAAGCAACTGCCCGGCGCCAGGATATCCATGTTCTCGTCGTTGGGACAAACGAATTTGGGACCGTACGATAGCCTTCAAAGCGAACTGGAGATGTCCATGCATTCCGATCTCAGCGGCGATTCCGGCATCGGTAATCCCGACGTGTAAGTTGCGCAGGTACGATTCCTACGAATATTATTATCTCGCGGTTTCCGTTGGAACGTTTCAGGCCCCAGTACAAGAAGGTGTTCGAAACGGTGCGATGCGCCTCGCGGAACTCGCTCAGCGGCAGCGACAGCGCCGGCAGCCTCCATTCGGGCGTGGGCGGCTACGTGAGCAGCCTGGGGGCGGCCGGCGGCGGGCCGAGGATGAGCGCGCGCGCCCAACACGCCGCCGACTATCGAAGATCGTCGGCTTCGTTGTACAGCAACAGCTCGTTGGGTTATCCCAGCATCGATTCCACCGGTTATACGGATTCCGATTCGAGCCAGACGGATTCCGAGGAACCTTATCCGTAAGTGTATTATTTTATCTAAGAGTTAAGTTGTAGTTATTTACAAAAATTGTATGTTTTTTTTTTTTTTTTGTAGAAGCGGGCCACAGAAGGGTATACCCGGTGTACCCGGCGCAACCGAACTGGAAGCGGCTTTGAAACGATTGACACCGGCCGAGGTATTGGCTAGACGAGCGAATCTCCAACACGGCCCTACTTTCGGAGGGTACGATCTCTTCACGTTCACGTTCGTAGCGTTTTTATGGTTGTTATTTAATTTGTAGCTACGAAAGCGACGGTTTCCTTCCGTTCGGTTGTCGAACGCCCGATAGTCTGATGTCGACCGGCTCCGGTCTCTACCACTACGGTTGGAAGTTACCCGAGAAGCTGCAGATCGTCAAACCGATGGAAGGATCGCAAACGTTACACCAATGGTCGCAATTGGCTCAACCGACCTTCGGCGGCATACTCGAAGAACGACCGGGCGTTAAAATCAGGTAAAACAGATGGATAATAAATACCAAATCAAAAAAGAGATAATTTTTTTTGTATAATCTGATAGAGTCGGTAAAGAGTTGGAAGAACTCGGCCTGGAATCGTACGCGCTCAGCGACTTGGAAGAGGACGAAGAGTACACGAATCCCGGCAAAATGTTCGATACGTCGTTGCACACTTACACGTACACGACGAGCACCATCATGCATCCCGACGACGGGACGTCGGTCACCAACAGCCAAAGGGGCAGCCGCGTGGCCTCGGTGTGTTCGAGCATACAGCCGTCGCCGCCGCAAACGCCCCGACAGCTCAGCAGACGGAATTCCTGTTCGACCTTTTCCACCACCCTCGGCCTCGCCAAGATGTTGAACGAAAGAGGTGAGCTGTGATTTCGCGTCTGCTCGGCACCAATTTACATTATTGCGCTCTACCCTTACACCTTACTCCTCTGTAGTGCCAATTTATGCTCTAATTTCATTATATTATCGTGCCTTTACTTTACGTGTTAACCATATTTTTGGCTTGATCATAAACATTCTTGTTGTTGTTCGTAGGTATAAAAGCAGTGACGCCGTCGTGCGTCCCGACGCCGTGCGGGCCGAACAGTTTCACGCCGACGGCGACGCCGCACAACAGTCCCGACAGCAGTCCGATGTCGACGCGATCGGGCTCGCCGGAGCCCTACGAGGAGTTCAGCTTGCCGCAGCTGATACTGAGCTCGGTGCCGACGTTTTTGAGGGAGACGATCGGCGGCGGGGCGAAGAAGAAGGTGCCGCTGGCGAGCGGCAGGCGAACGAGGCGCGAAAAGCAAGAGGTAATTGTGGAATTGAGTCGTGGTTGTTTGCATTTTTATTTTTTCTGATGTATACGAGCGCGTTGGGGAGTGGTTCGCGGTTTTTTTTTAGGATTTTGAACCGAATCTGTGATGGATTGGACTCGAGCAAATTGACTATTATTGTCTCGAAAAAGTAACTAATTAGGATTTTTTATATGCTCAAATCTCTCTATATTCTGCTAGATATTAGTTCATTTTATCTGCTATAATTTAAATAGATCACTCGGGTGATAATGTGCCTTACAAATAGTGATATTTTTACGAATTATTCAATAAAAATAACTTATGTTAAATAACTAATAAAACAGTTCAAGGATCTGTTTTCGAGTTTTATTTACTACGAACCTTTCAAATTTATGCGGCACATTGTTAAATTAACATTGAATTGATGAAGATAAGAAATATTACATATGACTAAACAGATCTTTGAACTTTGTATCGACGATCAAAATGCGTTGAATAATTTATTTATAAGTAACATTTTTTTTATCGATTGCAAATTAAATGTACGAGTGAACTAATTCTACTTTGATGGATTTTATAAAATTGAAAACATTTCTTTCTCTATACACAGCACATGAGGTATACGTAAAACAATTTCAGAGCATATCGTACTAATCATAACCATTGCAATTCGTTGGGGGGAAACGTTTATGAGTAATTTAAGAATACTTCACCCAGGAAATATTTTTTAGTAGTCTAAAAAAAGGAAAAAGCTTATCGACATCTACGCTCGTTTCAGACCCTCGTCAGCAAGATCGAAAGAATGGGCATAAACAATCTGATGGCGAATCCGAGCGCTTTGTACCCGAAACCGGCGCTTACCAGCCCGATGGCGCAACTTACGTGCCTTTTGCCCAGCCACAGCGACGAGGAGACAGCACATATCGGACGGAATACCCGCAAAACTTCCAACGCTTCTGATCCGAACGGTAACTAAGAACCATTCAAGCTCGATTGCATGTTTAAACGTGGCTTGTTTTCAGTTTCGTTACAACGCAAGGGCAGCATGGGGGTGCCCGGGAAGCCGGGCAGCGGCGCCCTCAACAGGCGTTTGGATCAGCTGAATTCGAGGAAGCAGCGCAGGCAGCAGCAGGGCGGCGGGGTGACGCGGCCCGATTTGGGCACGGTGTCATCCTCCGTCTCGAAACCCGTCGAAGAACCGGAACAACAGACTTCCACGCTGGGCACTTTGAGTTCGCTGTTGTTCGGTAGGAAGGGCGGGTTGTTCTAGATTCTGGAGGTTTATGGAGTAAAAACGATCATCCTCTAGAGGTTGTTGATTGATGAAAACGAAATTCGTAGGTTTGTTGAGTAGACTTTAAGATTATTTTTGAGGAAATTAGATTGGAGGTTGAATAGTGTATTTTTAATAAAACGAAAATTAGTCGAGCATTTGCCGAAGTTCGAACTTATCGCAAGTAAAATTTCAACCATTAATGTTTTTTTTGCTATTTCTATAATATAGATTGCAATCGTTCTACTACATAAACGCTCTTATTCGCAATACTATTAAAGTGAAAAAAAAAAATGTATTTTCCAGTTATCTAGAAATTAGATTTTAGAATTAATTAAATTACTTTCGTGCATGATATATCGGCTATTTCGGGCAATAATTAAATTCGTTTTTATTAAACGAAATTTTTGACTAAATATTTTATTACGTTGTTGATTTGATTTTGTTAAAAAAGAAAACTTGCAAAATCTATTATGTTCTTAATGCAAGCTGTATTTACTTATCACTCCTACACATAGGTGTAGAAAATCATGTTTTAATAAAAAAATCCGTCTTTTGGAGCACAAAATATTTTTACATTCTGTTTTACCGTGCTTTCTTTGGTGCTAATTTATTTATAATACTTGATATGAAATGTAAATAACATTTTTTGTAAATAATAATTTGTAAGTAGGTAACATATACAAAAATGCATTTTGTCCCTTATTAAGATATACTCATTAGTAAAGTAAATTTGTATTATATCAAGTATTAGGTGGATTGGTGTATCATTGAAATATTTTTGAAAATATTGCTTCACTCTTTATTTTTTTCCTGCAAATCTTTGAAATGCCTTGTGTGCTATTGCGTTTTTAATAACGAAACGATTTAGAAATGCAGCGGTTGAATTTTTTATCTGTGATGTCAAAAATATTTCATTGTTTTAATGTAAAAAAGTGATAAACAGGGACTGTAACAGTAAGAAATAGGCAAATATTCTATTTAAATATTGTAAAAAGTATTTATTTTCTCTAGTATTAAGTTTAGGTTTTTTTTAGTGGTCTTTAAAAATGTATATATTTTTTGCTTGAATATGTATTGTATTTGTTCTATTGCCAATTAAATGAATAAATTAGTAACGGTCATTATATAATTTTATCGTCGATTTTCTGTCGAGGGGAAAAATTCTTATCAAATTAAATGCGTATATTAGGATGTTAAACAAATATTTATAATTTATTGATTATAATCTTTTATAGTATCACCAATTAACTATTCTACTAACCATTATACAAAAAAAATTGGAAGGAGAAATGTTGATTAGGTCAAAACCGATGCGAATTCAAAAGAGAAACCTTCAGAAATATTTATGCGAAGGCCTTATTTCAACTTCCTAGTCGTACAAAATCATATTAAAATGGACTTGTAATAAAGCCTTCATTTGATAAAGATTTATCACATTAGCAATACTCACCGAATAATTACTTCATGGCGATGCTTCAGGTTACTTCGCGAGGATACTTCAGATTTCTCCACGATGATTTTGAACGAGATTCAACTTACACCAAATTCAAATTAATACAATATTCACTCCACGTAAAAAAATTATATACAGACCAGCTGCCAATTAATCGTCTACAGGTACAATATTATTTAAAACACTCTGAAATATTAACCTAAAATTTTCCTCCATCTTGTCTATTGCACTAATAATGAAAGACATGTGTATTAAACTAAAAAAAATCAACAGCCAACTGGTCGACGAATTTTTAAGAACCTATTTACAGCAGGTTGCTCTAGTTTTCACCATATTATTTTGTATCACCCAACATTCGATTCGTCAGTTTAATAAATCTTAAGCCTCAAATCTGTATGGTAAAAACTAGCGAATTTCGAAGGTTCCAAGTAAATAGAATCGCTATTTACATTAGTTACAAATATAAATCATTTTACATGATTGTTTAAATCAAAAGCAATAATACAAGAATTGTACATTCACAGATATGTCTAAAATATGTTTAAGGAAGAACTTGACATATTCATGCGTGCAAATATAATGCGTGAAACCGATTCTCAAACGAAACGGTTTTAAAATTTACTGCAGATGAACAATATAATATATAGCCTGCTTATTTCATGCATGGAAAATGTTAAGAAACAATCCTAACAAATAAATATTACTCTTGTATTATTGCGCGTCGTTACCCTAACGATAAATACAATTAAACGTTTACAATTTTTGCCGATAAAATTTTCAATTAAACGATTAGTTAAAATTAATCATCGTACAATCCTGTACATATTTGTTCCATAAACCAGCATTCCGATAACTAGTTATTTGCGACAAGTTTTCTTTTATCTAAATTCTACTATACGAATACGTTTACTCTAAAAGAGAAATAATAAAGTCTATTCCGTTAAATAAAAAACTTGTCTTAGTTTGTGTTCTAACAAGAGGCCTGGACTCTTCTGAGTTTTTTTTTTCGACTCAGCGAGTCTGAAATTTCGTTAGAACAAACCTAAATATTGTTCCAGATACAACGATTCGTTATGAAATAGACTTCCTTAGTTCATCGTATCTTTAGCGCTATTACATAATTTTACATAAGCGAAAATACAAATGTGTATGTTCAAGCTTGGTAATATTTAATCTCAAGTATATTTTAATTTTAACTAGCCTAAATCAGTTGCGTAGATGTATCCTTGCTGTTGAAGCACGAACAAGCGCTTTTCCACAGCTTCTCTATCTATAAATCAAATAATATTTCAAACAATTATTTCAAAACACTCACATTCTACTCACATTTCGTCAGAAGCAATTTATCTTTTTGATTTTGCACCTGCTGCGAAAGGCTGTGCAACAGAATTTGAGCCGTCTGATATCTTTGAAAACACTCCTCAGGATTACCGAATAACTCGTCCAAGGCGGCCGATTGGCACTAAATCAAATTAAATTAACGCAAACGAAACAACACATAAAACATCCAAACCTACCATCTGTATCGCGTGATTGTAAATGATCTTATCCGCCGTTACGGACAAATTGCTCACTTTATTCAACAAACCGCTGCTATTCAGTTGCTTGCACTCCTGCAACGTCGTCCTAAATTTTGTATTCATCGTCGAAACCACTGAAAATAACAAGGTAAGTTATACATTAATTATTAGTCAAAGGGGAAAAGATTATAGATCTGTTGCACCCGACAGATAGGCAACCCAGAGTACCCAGAGGTGGAGGAGACAAATACAACAATAGATTGCTTTTACAATAAAGACTTACCAGTCTTTACGGTGGTGCTGGGCCTCAATTGGCCCGACTTCAATTGCTTAGTCGCCAAGGCCAGGCCGGAGCTCAGCAATTGCAGGGTCCTGACGAGCAACACGAGCTGCTCGGCCCGCCTCGTCGTCTCGCTGGGCGGCTGTTTCTGAGACGGATCGACCAGCGCCGAAGAGATCGGCGTCGCCCTTTGGGCGGCCAGCTCCAATATGCAATTGCTCAACGCCAAAACGAAATTGATCTTCGCCAACGTCTCGTTGTGCTCTTTCTACAATGATTCAAAAAAATACATATCAGACGATGTCGAAATCGAATTGTAGTACATCACCTCTAGCAGGGTTTCCTCGGGCAATTCGGGCGCCAGGAACATGATGGGATGTAAGTCGTTGCTCGACGAGGTGTCGTTGAGGAACGGCTGGTAATTGCCCATTTCCGATATCTCCGGTAACGTGACCGCTCTGGTGCAAAACGGTATGATCGGCGATTTGCCCAGGTTGTTGTTGTCGCTCAAATTCGGACTGCTTAACATTGGAAGCCTAGCTAACGGACCGCTCAGAATTGGCGGTGAAGTACCTAAAGAGTAACGCGAATGAAGAAATTATTTTTATTACTCTTTTTATAATAGTACCGACCTGATCGTCTCAAAGGCGAGTTCATAGGCATGTTCTTCGAAGCAGATATGGGCGATACGGTCCAGATGTTAGGAGGCGGAGGTGTCTCGCACAAGCTACCAGAAGTCGATCGTCGTCTACCCCCAGGAGGAGTACCGATGACGAATTGTACCTGCAAAATTCCTCGTTTAGTTTACGCGAAAACAAATAAAATAAATTCCAACTTACAGATGGCGGAGACATCGAACTAATATCGATATCGGACGTCTGCCTTTCCGGTCTCTTCTTCATCGATATCGGTTGGGATCTTGGAACGCTACCGCCGCCATTAACCTGCCGTAATCGTCGTTAATAAACATTAATAGTTACAAATTCGCTTTCATTATACCTGTGTTGGAGATGGTGGTTCTTCGTTTTTATCCGATTGATTATAAATTTTGTGGAAAGCTTCACGTTGCGTCGGCACCGGTATGGGCTCGGATATGGGTAGAAAGCTCGGCCTAGTGGGACTCGGTAAAGCTTCGCGTGGCAACGGCGGCGATCTTACCGGCAACTTGAATCTGTTAAGAATAACAAATCAGTCGAATTGTCGCACTTTTGTGTATAAAAAACTTACGCGTTCGTCTCCTTTTCCACGCTGCTCTCGGCCGAATGATCCGATTGGATTTGAATGTTTTGCGGCACTATAACATAATCATCTTCAGGACTTGAACTGAGAGCGTTTCTTGTAGAACGAGGTGATTCTACAAGGAAAATAAGCAAGAGAATGATCCGATGAGCTTCGATTAATAACAACTGATAGCAAAAATTTCGAATGTAATTAAGCATGCAATTTAATCGTTAAACTAGTAGAGGCCAAAAGTTTTTAGTATGAATGTGTCGCACCGCAACCGCATTTCGTTAACATTTAATTAATGGAAAACGGAAGATTACCTGGCTGGGAGGCGGGCGGTGTGGCGACTTTAAGCGGCGTAGACGGCCTGAAAAGAAGCTTCGCTGCCGAGGGCGGCGTACCGTAAATAGGCAAAGGCAAATCTAAAAGAAAAAACAAATTTATACATATAACACAACTATAACAGAACTTCTATATGGCCTCGATGTCCTTAATTTGGCCAGCAATTCTACACTTCCTTCCCCTAGACACTACGTTAGATTCATTACAATCAAGGACTTCAAATCGGATAGATAGAGGACTGTTAGTTTTGCCTCATCTGCTTTATACAGGGCATTAGAGAATTTTTTGGATCGCCCTGTAGATGATACGTACCGCCTTGGAGAGGGCTCTGCGATTGCGGCGGTTCCGGTCTTTTGAGGAATTTGTGATTGAAGAAGGTTTCGAAGTTCATTCGATCTCTGGAGTTCCGTTTCAAAAGGCCCGTCAGCAACTCGGTGAGTTCCGGACTGGTTCCGACTGGTATTCTGTACAAGTCAAAGGATATTAGTCGATTTTCGAATTATAGTGTATAATGTAGAATGTACTTACTTCGGTGATAAATTGGCGTTCTTTTCGTAATATTGCTTCAGAGCCTGCGGAGTGGTCGCTTGAAAGGGGGCTTTGCCCGTCAAACATTGGAACACTATCGTGCCCAAGCTCCACAAATCGGCCTTCGCGTCGTATTGTAACGACATTATAACTTCGGGCGCCTATAAAAATACATTTTTTTTAACAAAATACGTCGAGTTACAAAATTCCACCGCCGCCATTTTAAAATGTATATTTGCCAATTTTGACATCCAAGGCTAACTATACTCTAACTTGACTATCTTCAATTCAGACCCCACATGTCAAATTTTTTGTCTGTCATTATTGACATGCAAGGCTAACTGGATGTTAGAACAGAACAAAGATCTTCAATGTATTTATCAATGCAATTATAAAAACTAATAGTCAAAAAGAAAGGATTTAATACTAGAGTAATCGAGAAAATATCTTACCATATACATCGGGCTACCACACAGCGTCGCCGCCATTACACCGTCTTGTAGAAATCTCGCAAAACCGAAATCGGCTGAATAATAAAAAAATAGTTAAAGAGTTAGTTAACAGACTACTAGATACATATTTTTTTATTATAAATTGTATGAAGGGATCTTTCGACTGCAATTAAATTACGTTTCACGTACCTATTTTCAATTTAATCTCGGAAGGTTGCGGATGGGCTTTGGTGCCGCTGTGGGAGAGCAAAATATTTTGTGGTTTCAGGTCTCTGTGGACTATTCCCTTTACGTACAAGGCCTTCATTGCGCCGGCTACAATAATAAAGCGAGACGTTTAAATCGGATGAATGTAATCGATTAGATTTATTTTACCTAATTGGGTTAGAAACAATCTAATGGTATCTTCGCTTAAAGTCCCTTTATCTGTAACAGGAATAAAGAAAAATAAAATTCCATGCCAGCAAATCGAATTGTTTCGAACTTACTCAGCAAATAGTCGGCTAAGTCGCCTCCATTGCAATACTGAAAATATAAACAAATTCGATTATTCCCTTTAGCGTTCTAAGAAGAAATATTGTAACATCCCGAAAAAAAAATCGTTAAACTTATCGAAATTACGAGTAATTTCGAATTCCAATAGAAAGCCCGCTGAAATCATCCTGCTTTATCGCAGAAACGCTCAGATTATAGCGGCTTTTAAGGTATAACACGTATATTAATGCACAATTCGAAAATAGAAATATAGATTCATCAGAGAGCTTCACATGTAAATACTAGTATCTTATCTTATCTCAGGTGGGTAATATTATTTCTATCCTATAACGAGTCACCGGCCATCATTTAGTCGTATCTGCAGTTAACGAGGCGTCGAATCACAAGCCTTAAAGGCTCTTAATAATTTTTAAAATAATTGTCTGAATTTTTTGTTTATTTAATTATGTGGAAAATTAACGTGCTGCTTTTATTAACGATTTTTTCCAGTGGGTAAGTAGAGAAATTTGCTTGTGTTGCATAATAGATTCCAATTTAATTAATAATATAATTAGGAAATATTTGATAAGAAAATTAAATATTATTAGGATTTTTGTTTTTATAACTTATATTAACTTGAATTTACGCTAAATAATGAATTGAAAAATTTAGTACACTAAAATTTAAATTTCCTATTGGAATAAGGATATTTATTAGACAATTCATTTAATTAAAGTTTTTATTTATGATTATGTAATAAACATTCAATTTACACAACAAAACATTGTTTATGAGGAATCTTTAGTTGCGCTCAAGAAATTTATTTAAATTTCTTACATTTCTCATATTTGGAATAATAAAAAAAAGAGATTTTTAATAAATATAATAAAATTGACGTAAGTAGGTTTTTCATACTTTGTCATTTTTTGTGCATAATCTACATTCAATATTTGGTATCAGATAAAATAGATAGGTTAATATCTACGAGATATATTAGGAAATGTACAATTTTCGTGGAATATTTGAAAATGTATAAGCTTGTATAAAATAAGTAAAAAAAAATTAGAATGGTGTCATTAGATCAAAGATGTTAGAAAATTTCAGAAGTCTGTAGGAAATTTTTGCAAAAGGATTTATTTTCATTTTCGAAATAAGTCAACAAATCAGTGACACATTTGGAATATTTACAGAGTGATATTTTCAAAGTTATCAGTAATATATTTGTCATTTAGCAATGCACAAGGCGATTGTTAAATAACTTTTCTTTTATTACTATTATTATTATTATTGTTAGATTAGCGTATCTGTACGTGGGTCACGGAACAAAGCACATTACGAGGAAAATCAAATTATGTATTAAATATTTCCCTTTTTGATATTCGAGATGTAAAATCAATATAAAACTGAGATTACTCGATTATTAAAAATATTTTTAGACCGAAAATAATTAAATTATTCCCGTCCTAATACTAGTTTTTTTTTCATTTTATTAGAATTTCGAATGCACACAGCGAGGATTTGCTAAGCGAAAATGTAAGTAACCATAAATCAAAATTTTACGACGCTATTTACTTTGAAAAATCATGCATATTAAATTAATAAACAATTCCACTTCAATGACAAATTTTACGATATACCTACTTATTAACAGAAATCATTCATTCCTGATAACGCATGATTAAAGTATGTTTGCACAAATATATAATATCTCCTGCAAAAAGCACATCTTGAACTAACCATTTCTCAATATCATTGTTTATACTTATAATCTTATTTATTTCAGGAATCAGAAATTGCGCTTGTCGTGAGTATTCTTCATAAATTTCCAAATAAAATGATTAATAAGTTAAAAATAGATCACCTTTTAGTCGAGTATTCAATTTACTGCACTGTACAGTACGACAGGAATATCTGCGATCACTTTAATGATGACAAGCTATTCTTGTCGCACTGTACATTCTTTAACTAGCGTTTATTGTAAATTGTAATCAATTTATACACAGGATAGCAATATTTGGGATATAGACCAAGACGCTTCGGCCGAACAACTTCCCCGAGAACCGATTGAAGCTATTTGCGATAAATACAATTTGGAATACCAAAACCAATTGATCGACTGCCAACGTATCAATTTCCAATTGAAACCTCTCAATGTCGACGAATACATACGAAATAAACGTGACGCAGCACCTGAAGAAGAGGGCTCAGGAGACGGTAAGAAATATACTACTTAAAAACCAAGACTCTCGAATTATACTTTCTAATTCCTACAGAACCGCCACCAATTCAAGAGACCAATGAAGAACCAGAACCAGAAGATTCCAAACCTGATGAATCTAAACCAGAAGATTCCAAACCTGATGAATCTAAACCAGAAGATTCCAAACCTGATGAATCTAAACCAGAAGATTCCAAGCCTGATGAATCTAATCCAGAAGATTCCAAGCCTGATGAATCTAAACCAGAAGATTCCAAGCCTGATGAATCTAAACCAGAAGATTCCAAGCCTGATGAATCTAAACCAGAAGATTCCAAGCCTGATGAATCTAAGCCAGAAGATTCCAAACCTGATGAATCTAAACCAGAAGAATCTAAACCAGAAGAATCCAAACCAGAAGAGGAGAATCAAGAAAATCCAAATACAACTGAAGTTCCTGCGGTGGAACCACTTATAACCACATCCAAACCACCAGAAAACGAAGAGGAATCCAAACAAGAAGTACCAGAGAGTGAACCAAAGGAAACCACCACGCAACAACCACAAACACTAACCGAAATTGTCACGAATTCCAGCGTACCGGACACAGAAACCACCGCAGTAGCGGAACCGAAAAAAGAAGACAACTTAGAAATAAGCGAGGGATCGGACAAAGGGCAAGAAAGCCCGGCGAAAATCGGCAGGAAAATGACTCAAGAGGACCTCATCAACCAACAGAGCGGCATCGCGCTAGTCCACAACAGCGGCAACATGATCGAAACCGAAGAAAAAGTCGGCAAGATGAAACCCAACGAGAGCATCAGTAAGTACATGGTTACGTTTCACTAGCCAAAAACTCGTACGAATCCGTGTCGTTTATCCGCAGAGGCCGCGTCCGGAACGCCCGTGGAAGAGCCCAAGTCGGGGGAATCCAGCGAAACGCCCGCTAGGAAGGACAACAAGCTCCTGATAGGACTGTTCGTGACCGTCGTGACCGTGGGCATCGGGGCGTTCGCCTACAGCAGGATCCAAAAGAGGAAGAGGAGCAGGAACGCCATGCGTAGCGCCGAAAACGGTACGAATAAGACCGAAGATCCGGAGGCGGGCAAGGAAATGAAACCGCTGATGAAGACGGCGGAACCGAAAAGCTCGTTGGAGTATGCCGAAGAGAAATAGACCGCTCACTTCGAGCTGTACAGAGTATACCGGTTCGTGTAAATTGTGATGCAAAACAGCTACAACGGTGTAAAAACTGAACATAAGTTGCTAGGGTGAGTGTACCGGTGATGAACCGGGTACCAGTAGAAGTCCATTTCGAACTTCTGCTGTTCGAATTAGGAGGATTATTTTAATTTTTTACTGCGCGGTGTACTTGAAGAACATTTATGAGACACATAACTTGATTAAAGAATATTAAGAAAGTTTGTATTAATATTAGTTGATTCTAATTTTTCAGAACTGTAGGCGCGAAAATTTACTATAGGTACAATATTAAATGTTTCTTACAAGAGTAAGGTGAAAAGTTTTTGGCCTGACAATGAAAGACAGCGATTTGCAATTGAAATATTACATTATTTTTCTTATTAGGTCAAAATCTTTGATTCGAAACAGTTCTAAATGATTAAGGGGCGTTATAGATTATTTTAGACAGTTTTAAATAATTCTGAACCGTTCTAAACAGTTTTACTTGACTTTGGAGCGTTCTAAACAATTCTAAACAGTTCCAATTGATTCTGAACCGTTCTAAATGATTCTAGATTATTCTAGACAGTTCCGAATGATTCTGAAGTGTTCTAAATGACTACGGAACGTTCTAAATGGTTCCGAAGCGTTCTAAATGGTTTTAGACGGTTCTAAATAGTTATGTATATAGTTCTAAATGATTCTGGAGCGTTCTAAATGGTTCTAGAATTAATTATATATGTCCCAAAGAGGAAACAAGAATTTTTGCTGATTGAAGAGCCCTCAATGTATCAGGTCGAGAACTTTTCACCCTGCCCTCGTAAATGGTTTACCACTGGTACACCCACCCTACCTAAAAGGTATCGAACGTCAGAGGACTTGATTACTTTCTGAATTGCTTTCTTCAAATCTAGTCTTTTGTAGATTAAAATTTCGCATTAAAATTCGTCTTCTATGCTAGTGTAACCATTTAACGAATTCCTTTTTTATATGAAACTGCTGAATGCAGAAAGATAAGCGTCTTATCTCCTACCATTGCAGTAATAAATCATTTTCGGTGGTCTAATTAAGTAAAATTTCATAGAATGTATTTGCGTTCTTTTATTTTAATGTGTACAAAGGTTAACGCTCCATTTTTTTTTATTTGTTGCTTTAATGTTTGTAGAAGAAAAGTAATAGGTAGCGAATGGTTTTTTTAAATTCTTTTGTGAATATTTTAGTAGTCGTATAAGTAGTCATATAAGTGTGGTATTTTATTTAGTCTAACTAAATACTTGGTATAAGAAAAATGTAATTAACGTTTAGTACTGTTTTGTATGTTTTCTATTCTAGAAATAAATATATGTTAATACAATTTTAATCTACATCGAGTCCATTAACTTAAAAAGCTTTAAAAATGTTTGAATATTTTATCAACATAGAGTAAATCTATGATAATCGTAACTTACTCATACTAAATTACTTAAAAATGTTTGATTTTAAAGTCATCAACCTTTTATGAATAATTTACGTGGATATCGAAGAGAGATTTAATAGTACTCACCTCCATGACCAAAAAGACGTGATTAGTAGACTCCTTGCAATCCAATAAAGCCACAACGTTTTCATGATGGAGCTCGGTTAATTCCTGAAATTTAATTTACATTAAGAAATCAACGAAAACTAAATATACAACACGTGCACGATAAATATAAATACAAATTGAAGTAAAATTAATTTAGGTCAATGTTTACCTTCAGAATTTTAATTTCTTTCCCTAGCAAATTTTGAGATTTGGCCCAGCTTTTCTTAGATATACTCTTGATGGCTACAGTGCACGAGGGATTCTGAAAATAATAGAATGTTTTCTTGTCCTTTATTATTCATGCGGTGCACTCACCTCGCGAAGACGGCCTTTGAAGACAACAGCGAATGCTCCATGACCTATGAGGTCTTTCCCATTGTATTCGTAATCGCCTATAGCCTCCATATTCGCAATATTTACCAAAGAGAATTTAACATGAGTAATTAGCGATTTGGATTTCTAACAATGAATTCAACAAAAAAATACTGTCACCATTCTAGTGGTGTTTTTATCTAATTCTACATGATGAACGTAGAAACACTAATTTTACACACAAAATTAACAAAGGAATTTAGAACTGGTTTAATTACGACTGAATTGATAAAAATAGACGTATTTTATTTAACAATGTACTCCATTCTACAAAATCGACTAGTTTATGCACAAACGTCATTTATTGACAGACTTGTCAACGTCAAATGTCACAACACCACCAATCTAACGTCAAACATGCACCGGAATAGGTACGTTTTTTTGGTTCAGTTATGTAACATAACCATAATCAATTTTTATCGAGTTTAAATAGCTCTTGCAGGTTTCATCGGATTATTCGTAAAATAAGATGTATTGATTATTGTAATTCACAAATTTTTACAGCAAAACAGCGTGCACGTTTTGTTGTTTATACAAAGCTGAACAAATCTAGTAAAATCTATATGTCAAATCAAATGTCAATAGTGTAGCGAAACGAACGGTGATTTCATGTAACATTGTTATTTGTCAAAATAATAGATAGGTAAATATTCTGATGTGGCCAAAATTATGAATTTAAAAATTTTACTCTAAGCAATTCATTGTTTATAATGCCTTGATAGACAATTGTACATAGAATGGCATTCCAAACACTGCGCAATGAATACATGAACATGCCCCCGGTGACGAGGGCTTACACCACTGCTTGTGTTATTACTACTCTAGCCGTTGTAAGTACTTATTATTAAACCACCACGGGTTAATTACCGTTCAACCTAATCGTGAAATACTTTAATATTTGCAGCAATTGGAATTAGCATCTCCGTTTCAACTCTATTTTAATCCAATTTTAATTTTAAAACAAGGCCAAGTATGGAGGCTCATCACAACATTCCTATTTTTCGGAACGTTCGGTTTCAATTTCTTCTTCAACATGATCTTCACATATCGATACTGCAGAATGTTGGAGGAAGGATCGTTCAGGAATAGAACTGCAGATTTCGTTTTAATGTTTTTATTCGGCGCTGTGTGCATGGTCGTATCCTTTTTACGTTATATTATAAGGGAAATGATTATATTATTTAGTATAAGATAATAGAAAATGTGATATGTCCTTAATGATATTCCAGGGTTTTGCGTTTTTTGTTAATTTACTATTCTTAGGTCAAGCGTTTACTATAATGTTAGTGTATGTATGGTCGAGAAGAAACCCATTTGTCGGACTCAACTTTTTTGGTCTATTAAATTTCCAGGTAAGATTCTAGCATTTAAATAGTGAATTTGTTTATAATGATTTTGTTTATAGGCACCCTATTTACCGTGGATTTTACTAGCATTCTCCGTGCTGTTGGGAAACGCAGTGTATGTAGATTTAATGGGTATCGCCGTAGGACACATTTACTACTTTTTAGAAGATGTGTTCCCGAATGAAAGAGGCGGATGTAAAATATTAAAAACACCGAATTTTTTGTAAGTGCCCGGCAAATATCATTTTTAAACTGTACAAAAATAATTGTAAATTTCAGGCGAACGCTCTTCGATGTGCCTCCGGAAGATGCTGATTACCAAAGATTACCGGAAGATAACCCGGGGGGTTTCGAATGGGGAGCCCAAAATGATAATCAAAACGAAGGTGAAAATAATCAGGAACAAAACGACGTGAATCGATAAGATCAGTAATCGAGGCACTTGCAGAAAAGAAAACTATCTTCGACTAGACATGACAGTAGTTATGTTTAAAAGCCCCTCTCCCCCGTGAAACTTTTTCTGCATATGCTCGGCGTTTGAATCGCAAAAAATTTTCTAACTTACAAAGTCTAAGTATAAAATAAATATAAACAAACTATTCCCTTAAAACACAGGTGTACTATAATAAGAAAAATAAAATGTTATTATTTTTTTGTTAATACATATTTTCCTCTTATTTATTGGTGTTTATTAGTAATAAAAAAATTGTTTTCAGTAATTCATGTTTCGCTAAATTAATTTTTTCAAATCCGTTTCCCGCCAATTGGAATTGTCGAAGAAGGATCGATTGAGAAAGAAATTGTTCAATAACAAGATATTTATTAATAACTAAAATCTGCATTTCTAGTTGCAAATAAACAAGTGTCGAGTATACAGCTCAATTAAGATACACTTAGAATGGAAAGTTACAATGAAAGTTAAAGACCGAAGCCTAAATATTAGGTTTCAGGAGACAGGTGGCTGTTGCAATCTAAAAGAAAGTTACGTTAAACAAGACAAGAAAGTTTCGATCACAAACAGTAACAGCCCTTTTTTGGTTTAATGCGAATTTAAATTAACACCATCGAGTTGCAAGAAATATGTTTACTTGCTCGATTTTATTAATGTTTTCAACAATAAAAGCTTAGAATGAAAACATTCTTAGCCCAAAATGTTGCAACATCAAGTGCTTTAAGCGTTTAAATTTACTGTTTAGTCTCGCTTGGAGGTTATTTCTACACAATCTCATCATTTTAGTGCATATTTCCTCGGCTGTTTCGCCCTTATTGCTTCTCGTATTCCATTCAGACCCGCTCTAAATTGACTTGACGCAATTTTTCTCTAAATTTAAATCTAATTAAGTAATGAAATCGGCCCGTTGTTTCTAAAAATACAAATGCGCGTTACGCTATCCGCATTTCGGATTCGAAGTGTTATTCTACAAACATTCAACAGTTGAAAATAAATATAAATACGTTAAAATCCTAGATAAACTTGCATGTTTTTTTGAGCGTAACATAATTCAGCGAAGCTTCAATACAGCTAAAGAAGGACATTCGATGAATTTTCTAGTGTGAAGAAAAGAAATAAAAATTAAAGGAGTTGTTTGAACGCGATTGGTTTGTAGGAGAAAAAGAATATAAGAGATGTGATTTGATGAAGAGATCAAGATAATTTTTTTAAGGAAAAAATCCTAAAATAACTGTCAATCAAATGGATTCTTATGTTTTTAAGCATCGACAATGACCATAACATATTTTTAGTCATAAAAACTAGATTAGAGATAAGCCTACCAAAACAATAGTTTGAATTAATTTACTTACAAATAGGAGAGAAATAAAATAAATATAAGCGAGGAACGACATGAAAATATAAGATGAGATGGATTTAAAATAATAAACACCCGAAGTTTAACAAAAAAAAAACTGTAAAACAACAAATCACGTTTGCATTTCCGATGTGGTAATATGGTGTACAAAAATACGCCCAAAATGCAAAAAAATAGTTCACAAGCCCTCCTAAAATCGATTGATTCGGTACGGAAGAACCAAACATTTACCGTTTTCTACCAACATTTTATGTTATTTCATATTGCGACCGTTGCTAATACGACGGTTATGTCGTCCGGTTTACCACCTGCAACACAAATACAAATTTAGTAAATGAAAACGATGAAAATCGATTAATCCTTCCTCGATAATTCCTACTTCTTTAGTTCCTTTATGCAAGCAAATGGGTTGAACACTCAAAGAACTAGGAATAATCACGGAATGATTAGCGTAAAAAAAGTATTTGTTAATAGTATACGCAGAATACAATTCAAAAATAAATAACGAAATTTTAAAGCGTATAGTTTAATTTTCATGAGCTCATAATTGAATCGGTTAACACCGCACTCTCGAAAGTCCAAAGTCTACGAAAACAATTAAATTCACAAACAACTTAACCGAATCTAGTTGCTACTAGTAATTTCGTATAAATTTCATCTTGTGAAATTACGAAGAATTATTATATTTATTTATCCTCACCTATCGTATTAATCCCGTTGAAGAAGGCGCTCTCGGCGAAGGGCGATATAAAAGTTTCATCGAATGAAAGATTTCTCGCCATCCACGCCAACGAATTAGCTACCATTTGCAGTCGCCCCGCGCACCTTTCTCCTTGCACCTGCAAAATAATCATGTATTTAACCCTTCGGATGATCGATCGACTCGCTTAGGAAGGTCAGTTGACTCTCTAGATTACTCTTATGGGTGAATAAATGGCTCCCTTTGGGTAGCTAAATCGCTCTTTTGTGAGACGAATTGTTCCCTTAAGAGATAGTTGACACGCTAGGATATATAAAATATTATCTTTGGAAGTCTCTCTTTAGCCAGACTTAAATCTGGATCACTCGATTATATTTCGAAATTTTAATCAATACTATTTTTCCTGAAATGTTTAACGAACCACGGTTTTTTTTTTAAATATATGCAAAATATTTTCGGGTAAAAACAGATAATTAACTCGTTCGAATCGTTAATTGGCCCACTTGACTCAAGTAAATAACTTTCTAAAAAAATTGACATAACCTAATGAAGAAAAAGTAACGGATGATAATAACAATAACAAACGCTACCAACGATAAACTTAATGCTAAGGTTCCCACATTTTCGAATTACCGTTTAGCATTTAACCTTTATCTTATCTACTGACGCCAACAGCATAGCCGCTTCATTAGAATAAACAAAAATATCGAATTAAACACTCGAGACGCTCGAATTGGCAATCGTTTCGGCAAACCGTGCCAAAATAATTACAGGGTGTGTAAAATCTTCTTTTTATCTGGTTTATGCAACTAACTTGATCTCTTTAAAGAGCAGAAATTAGATAGAAATTTCGATTCATTTTGCTTCAAAATTATAGTCCATTCGCTGAACTCACGTGGGTTTACTATCAAATTAACTGTCAAATGAAGAAAGCTCCTGAGTTGCTCCATAACAACCATTGTAAAATTGTCAATTAAAGGAATCTCTTTAGTTACTCCATAACAACCAAAGTAATACTGTAAAATGAAAGAATCTCATTAGTTACTCCATAAAAACCAATGTAAAACTGTCAAGCGAAAGAATCTCCTTATAGATATTTCATAACAACAATGTAAAACTGTCAAAGGAAAGATCGCCTTAGTTACTCCATAACAACAATGAAAAAATTGTCAAATGAAAGAATCTCCTTAGTTACTCCATAACAACGAATGTAAAACTGTCAAACAAAAGAATCTCCTAAGTTACTCCATAACAATAATATGTACATCTGTCAAATTGTACAAAAGAGCGCTGAATACGGACGACTAAGCTTAAAAAAAGTGTAAATAGTAACAAGCATCTTCACCTTAATCAATTCATTGACTATTATACTCTGCGGGAGATTGTCGAAGACGCCGTCGGTGGCCACCAAGATGACGTCGCCGTCCTCGACGGGTATGTTATCGGTGAGGGCGGCGTCCGGCCGGTCGCTGAGCACCTCCTGCCTGTAGCCGGGCGGCGGCAGCGACAGCTGGAAGGGCGTGTTGAAGTAGTGCTGTTGCTCCTCGGACCGTCTGATCACTTTGCCCCGTCTGACCACCATGAAGCCGCTGTCGCCGATATTGGCAGTGTACAATGTGTTGTTGTCTCGATTGAGAATCACGACGCACGCGGTACTGCTCCCTGCAAGAAAGAAATAGAGAAATTCGATGAGTGGTCTCGACATTCGAAATTGCAGCCAACTAAAATTTGCTCCTAAAAGCCTACTTTTACTGTATGAAAATGAACCACTAAATTTGGCGGTACAACGGAATTTAGTAGGTGCTTTTTAATTTTTTTTTTGATTAATATTAAATTAATTTCGAGTAGGGTGGAAGAGAGTAATCAAATGAACGATGTTTGAAAAATAACGCTTACTTTGTAACAGTTGTTACTGCACCTCTATGCCCAAAAAAAAAGATTCCCAACTCTATTAAGCTTCTGTCATATGAAATGTCATTAATGTCAATTCGTTAAATATTATTAGTAAAAGTCAGATTTGAGGCAATTTGTATATTGAACATTTCGCACAGAATAAAAATAAAAACTAGCATTTTTTCATTTAAATTGGGAATATTCGTTCCGTGCGAATTGTTTTTTTTTATTTTTATATTCGAATCTACTTTAAACGAAATATTTAGAATGGCATGTACTAAAATTGAGGTCATAAAATAAAATGTATTGTCGCATTCGCGAGAAATAATACGGTTTTATTGCGAATCACGTCGATTGCCTACTTTCGATATTCGATTCGCCAGAAACACACATACCGCGAATAATTTCCAATTCGATTATCGTCATATTTACGAAACGTTTTAGGTAAATATCACATCAAATGAGCAACGATCAAGTCTCTGATTTATTTGTTTTTATATTTAATTATTCAAAAATTGGGCTATTAAACTTCATCAAAAGCAAGCAAATAAAATTGTTAGTAATTGGATAAGTGGATAAACAAGCCTTTTAATTCAATTTGTAATCGCAATAATCGATAAAAAACGTTACGTTGGCGATTTAAGAGAATCCCCGCGATATATTTAAACATGCAGCCCGTCCAAAGCTCGATTATGTTGATGCTTATTAAAACTGGTATCAAGCCAATCGTCTGCTATCGCACATGATGTTACTCGACGTCACAATTCAGAATCACATGGTATGCTGTTTTCATTTTCGGACTTTTACCGTTGCAACCGTGAGACACGCTCATGTGATACGATATAAAATTATCTTAGTCCGTTTCCAGCTTTTGTGTAACATTTATAGAAACCGTCCGATTTTTATTAAATTTCGCTTATGTATACAAACGATACAAACAATTTCATTTCCGTAGATATCGCAAATTATTTCGTCGTATTTTAAATAACAATGTATAATAATGAATTGTAATAACTGATTATTTCGAATGTCTTATTCGCCGAATTCGTGTGAGTAACTTGTATAATAATTTAAATGTACCTACTGGCTTGAAATTTGTCAATTAGTTTTTGAACGCTATATGAAAGGATTTTTATTGAAATGCGACTTACCCAGAATGGCTTTTTTATGATGTAAAAGTTCGCAGTAACTTTTCGCCAGGAGCTCGGATGGATTCGTCGGTGTAAAAAGGCCTAAATTAACTAAACGTTCGCAGGTTTTCATCAACTGCAGGGAAAATTCGCCGGGATCGATTCCGTACGCTCTCCAACCTCCCACACCATCTGCAACACCTGCAAAAATCCAAAATAATAAATCCCTTTTTGTATCTATTATAATATAGTAATCAGGAGAACGACATTAGAAAAATAACACTTATTTTGTAACAGTTGTTACTGCGTTTCTATACCCAAAAATAGATTACTCACTCTATAAAACTTCTGTCATACTAAATGTCATTAATGTCAATTTTGACAGTTTTTGCTTATACATCATTGAACGCATTTTAAAGTCCCACATACTCTCATAGAATGCAAAAAAAATGAGTAGAGTATAGTAATATTCGAAAAAAATTATGACAACAATAAAATATAAACAGGTGAAGAAACTGGTTATTTAAGAATGCTTTTAAACAAATCTAACAATAGGCTATTCAAATTTTTAATACAGTAAGATATTTTTTGTGAAATTATGTGTCATTATCCTCAATTTGGTTTTCTAACAATAAAAATACACCTATTATCAAAAAATAACAAAAATGTTTCTATACACATAAATTTTACTATATCGACAATAAATAGAAAATGCTTCTAATTTAATTGGTACGGAAATCAATTAAATATCTAGATAGTCTAGATATGACCTGAAACGATTTATATTGAACTGTAAACCACATAAACCAGTATATTGTGTGTAATAAACTAAACATTACTAAAACATTGTTATTGAAAATTAGATTATTGAACTAAAATTGTTTTGTTTCTACATAATCATATCTATTGTACAAGAAGTTAGAAGTTCCTTTCATATGCGTAGTTATGGTGAAATTGTACAATTACAATACCATTTAACTGATTAATTGCATTTTAACAAGTATAATTTCCAAAATAAAATATATTCACCAAAATAACTCTCAAGGTTCTTCACGTGATTAAAGAGGTTACATAATTAATAAAAAACGGGGTAATTTGTTATCAATCCTGTTTAAAGACACGAATTTTCGTAAATAACGTTGTTTTGAATGTTTTGGTGAAGATTACGAGAATAAATTTAAAACGTCACAGGAGCCAAAGGTTAGGTTATGTTTTTGGGAACATTAATTTGACACTTACCCAAAACATCGGCCGTTTTGTACTTGGCCGAGAACCAGGCATCGTCTCCGAATTGCCCTTTGATCAGTCTTTGGATTTGTCTCTCTTTGGAAAAGCCGCAAACCGCGGATATTAATTGTGACTCGTTTTTCCTATGGATGTTGGGCTCTGGTGTTGATGATACATTCGCAATTCCATTCCAAAGTGCCCTTGATAACAATCGTCCAGTGACTAATAATGTGTGCATTATACGACACTATGAAACTAGCTAATTACAAGCACATTTTTAGGAGTTTTTATTTTACGATACTTATTCGTAGCACATTGCTCTTTGGGCCGATCTCACTCTCCTACAAACACAAAACATTCGACAAAGATCACAAACTGTCACAAACTAAAAACCATAGAAAAAGAAAGTAGAGGGAATTCCATCTTCTTCTAAAAATTGACGCAAAGTCGACAGTGCTGCTGCGAAGATCTAAGGCATAAATTGTCAAAAGAGGACAGATTTCTACAGTCATTTTGTAACAGCAACGTGGCTGAGTGACTGTTCTAACCAGTCACCGAACTTAAAAGAAGAGGCGAAACAGATTAGAGATTAGAGAAAAGCAAAATATAAAATCGGAGTAATTACATAAAGTATTATTACAATGTGATAATACATAGATTAATTTATGGCACATAGTTCTCAAAAAGCCTTTTAATCATAAAAAACTTTCCGTTCTGTCAGTAATGTCAACAACGTCAAAGTCAGCTGTAATCTGACAGTGACAACCTGTCATTGTCAAATGTTTGCTTTTCAATATTACAATCACTAATTTTGAAAATAGTTTGGTTTTAGTGAATTTTAATTAATTTTAACACCGACCAAGGTCATCATAACACATTTTTAAGCAATATATTCACCGTTTCGTAAAATGCTGGTGTTTAGAACATGCCGAGGTGCCTTCGGACAGGTAGGCGATTTACAATTTTGTTATATAATCCAACTGACAATTTTTCCCCGCAGGTACGTAGTTTTCACGTAGCGACCGCCTCAACGGCGGCGGCCGCCCAAGCCAAAGAAAAACCGGTTAGAAACAAAACGTTCGCGATCTACCGATGGAATCCCGACAAGCCCGACGAGAAGCCCCACCTGCAGGAGTACAATGTAGATCTGAACTCGTGCGGCCCCATGGTCTTGGACGCTCTCATTAAAATCAAAAACGAGATGGACCCGACCTTGACGTTCAGGCGTTCCTGCAGGGAGGGCATATGCGGCTCGTGTGCCATGAACATCAGCGGAGTAAATACTCTAGCTTGTATTTGGTAAGTAATTATTTATTGATAGCTATTTGCGGTAATTGTTGCGTGTTTTTAGCAAGATCGATGCATCGTCTAGCGCTACTAAAATATACCCGTTGCCTCACATGTATGTTGTGAAGGACCTCGTGCCGGATATGAACAATTTCTACAAGCAATACAAGTCTATCGAACCTTGGCTGCAGAGAGAGTAATTACAATAAACTACAGTGTATTATTAAATTACAACTTCAATTAATTTCAGTGATGATAACGTGAAGAAAACTACCGAACATTTGCAAAGTGTCGGTGATAGGCAAAAATTAGATGGGCTGTACGAGTGTATTTTATGCGCTTGTTGCTCCACGTCATGCCCCAGCTATTGGTGGAACGGGGATAAATATTTGGGACCGGCTGTACTTATGCAGGTAATTGGAATGTTTTAAATAGTGGGCTGCGTAACTCATTATCAAACTTGCAGGCTTACCGTTGGATAATCGATTCGAGGGACGAAGCTACGACTAAGCGATTAGATAAAATGAGAGATCCTTTCTCTGCTTTTAGATGTCACACTATTATGAATTGTACTAAAACTTGTCCGAAGGTAATGAAAACTGTAGTTGTTAATTAAGTGTTTAATTGATTTTTTTTTTCGTAGGGATTGAATCCTGGCAGGGCTATAGCTGAAATTAAGAAAATGTTAGGAGGAGTAGCGAAAAAGGATGAACCTCAACTTAGAACAGCACATTAAATAAGATTAACAATAAGCTTCTTTATTAAGAGTATACATTGTAAAATTCAGCAAGTAATAATAAGTGATAAGAAAGTATGACATTAAATTTATTATTCTTCATAAAAGTTAAGTTCAATTTGTAATTGTATTTGCAGTATTTTTAATAAATAGTTATCCAGGCACACAATTCAAAATGTTAAATTTGTTTGATATAATTTATTCATAATCGAGTCAATAAAGTATTATTTGAATTTCTGTGGTTTTCTCTAATATTCCTTTTTTTAGATGTGAACTTTTACTATGCCAGTTTTCGGCAAATATACAACTCGTATTAAAAGCACTGCTATATGGATTTGTTTGCAATATGGTCAATTCAATGAGTTGAACGAAGAAAGATTATTAGAAGCACAGTTGTGAGAGTGAGAGAGTTGCAATTTCCACAATAACAATCTTTCTCTTTCCTTTCCCAAAGTCACTTACTTTTTCCTTTATATGAGACTAATGGAAATTTGATTTTGTTGCACAAATAGAGTACAAATGTGCATTTAACTGGATAATAATCGGATAACGAATTAGAAAATCATTCGAATTTCCTCGAGGCGATAATATATTTCATATCCTCGGCTGGCCGGAAGAGTGTAAGAGAGCGGCTTTTCCGAGTTTTCCCGCGGCGAAAATCCGACTACAAAAAGTTAAGCCAGTTTACATCCATCCGAGCGGGATTATTTAGAAACTTTGCGGAAGTTTTTATTACTTTTTCCTTTAATATATCCCTACCTGACTACAATACATATCTCAAAGTTCAAGTCTTATTGTCTTCCCTGTTCGTTTCCGCGGGGTCAAGTCTCGAGATATTAAATCCAATGGATATGTCTACATTCGCTTTTATTTCAAAAGGGTGCACTCGCTGGAATAATAGAATATAAAATTAAATATTTTGCGGTGTTTTTCCGTTTATTAACGGCTGTATTGCGAATTCCCGTGTTTACAACGCCGCGCAAACACGATGCATGTTTTCTATGTTTATACAACGAATAGCAATAAAAATTTTGTTGATACACTTAATTATATTATAAAGAATAAAAGTTCGCAGTTTATCGGGAAACCGCGATTGATCGTTATCGATAAATAGCTCATCAGATCTAAAAATGGCCTGTTTAAGGTAAGTCCCGTTTTATTTTCGGATTCTAACAACAACATTAGCAAGTAAATCCTTCCGGTTTGTAATTACAATAGTTTTTGCCGCCGCCTAAAATGTTGATTCCGGTGAATCTCCAATTACTGCAAGCGTTTCTCCCGCAAACTATATGCACCGGCCTCGCGTGATGGCCTTTTACGGAGCCCCACACGTTCTCTATGGTGAGATTATCGATTTTAACTTCACTGTTTAAGTTGCCGATATCACCGTAATCTTCTTGGATGTAAATACCGTCTTGAGTAATTCCTATAAATGCATAAAAATTAAGTTCCTCCGTGCAACGAATGTTCATTGGTAAATATACAAAACACCATGTACATTCAGGTACCTGAAAATTGGATATTCCTGTACGTAACACCCTCGATGCGGCCCTTATTGAAATCAGGACCGGCTTTGATGTGTATACCGTACAGTCCGTTAGCGACCAGGCAATTTTCGAACGTTATATTCGAAGCTACGCTATGATTTTCGGGCTTGTCTTTACCGCTGAAACCCACGGCGAAACTCAATCCGTGAGATCCGTAGCAACTCAAGTTCCTGAATACCATATTAGTGCCTTGATTGACCACCACGCAATCGTCCTGATTCATGACGACAGTATCCTCAATCAGGATGTTATCCGAACGCGAAGCTACTCCGAAACCGTCCGTATTCAAAGCCAAACCGTCCTGTTAAAAGGAATTTTTGCGGGTAATTTCCCTTTCGTATGTTGGATTCTACAAGTACCTTGTTCCCAGCCACGTTATCAATCGTCCATCCTCTAATAGTAACGTCTTTAGCTCCAACATGAACGCAGTAGTGGGCGCAATTGAGCAGGTAAATGTTACTGAAAACCGAACCACCGGTGGTTTCAACGGCGAAAAACTTGGGTTTAACTTTACCGTGGTCCCCTCGATGATCCCAGTATTTCTCGCCTTGAGCGTCCAGTATCGAACCTATACGATGTGAAAAACCCAAATGCAATATTATTTCCTTTACTGTGCAATACTATTACTAGGTCAGTTCCCTACCTGGTGCTCCTCGAACGTTAACGTGCTTTCCTTTGACCACTACGAGCTGCCCTTCCCAGAAGGCCACGCCGAACTTCGTGTGACCTTCGAAAACTACAGTGGCGTCATCCTGCAGGTCGAGTAACAGCTGTTTTCCTGCTGGTACCTCCAAGTTCGATACCACTATGTTTTTGCAATTTTTGACGACTGTTTCCACTTGAGAAAACCGGGTTATGTTGCAGTTAGGATCAACTCCATGGCTCGTAGAAAGACTTACTCCAGCTAGGAGAAGGAATATTTTGAATAGATCGATCATTGCTAGCTATTGATTCTATTACACCTGAGTTGATTGATGCATTTTAATCGTAATAAATTACAGATTGGTATCTGGCTTATCGATGAGTTTGTTGAATTGTTTGGTTCAATATCCACGATAATATTTTTATATTTTTACACACAGCACGCAAGTGATAAGAAATCAAATTTTACGTGATACAAAGTAGGTAGTTTCGTTATTTCAAAATAGCGAAAATGTTATTTCCTATTGCAGTAAATTTCGCGTTAATTCTTCTAACATCCAGTGCCGCTCGAGAGATTAGCGATGCCGATTGCACGATAACCAGCTACTCTCAAGTGCAACCCGTGGTTGCAAAATGCAAAAATATCGTAATTTCGAACCTAGAAGTACCAGCTGGCGAGCAACTGGTGCTAGACCTGCAAGATGATACGGACCTAACCTTCGAAGGCGTCACGACGTTCGGCGTCGCTCACTGGCCCGGCCATCTGGTGGTGGTTAAAGGCCACCACGTCCACGTCACAGGAGCACCAGGTGAATTGTTGTTGATCATAGGATTCTAGTTCATAGGTTCACCAATAAATGTAAACCTTAGGAGTTCCAAAGCCCTTGTTGTGTCTAGATCTTTAGGATCTTAAGACATTCTTACCCACGTTTTGTACCTTCGAATAGATGCTGGACAGTTACATAATAAACCAAGTGAATATTTAGACGAGTGTAAAATTATATCGTTTATTAAAGGCAGCATGCTTGACGCCCAAGGCGAGAAATATTGGGATTACCAAGGAGGAGCTGGCGGCGTGACCAAACCTAAATTCCTCCTCATACAAACCACCGGAGGCTCCGTCTTCAGGAACCTGTACTTGCACAATTGCGCCCATTTCTGCGTCGGCGTCGGCGCCACCGACCTCACCATCACCGGCTTTATCCTCGATTCGGTCGCAGGAGATAAAGTAGCTAAACTCGAATGAAATCCTTCATCTTTCATCGATTACCTTGTGTAATTTTTAGGACAGGATCGCTTTGAACACCGACGGTTTCGGTATATCGTCTCATTCCAACAACATCTTGATAGAAAACACCGTCATCATGAACCAAGACGATTGCATCGTGGTCAATCAGGGCACTAACATGGTGTTCAGGAATTTGCGCTGCTTCGGGTCCCACGGGCTGAGCTTCGCCGTCGGTTTCGGGGGGAAGGACAAGCCCGAAGAAGACAGCGTCGCCTCCAACATCACCTTCGAAAACTGCCTGGTCGCCAACGGGCTCTACGGGATCCACGTCAAAGCCGGTCCTGACTTCAACAAAGGACGCATCGAGAACGTGGTTTACAGGAACATACAATTAGCAGGTAATGTAACGAAACTATCTACTAGAGTTAGAGGTATCAACAGATGTGGCGGGAAACTTTCGGGATAAGAGGAAAATATATGTTTTCTAGGCATCACTGAGGATGGTATTTACATTCAGGAAGATTACGGTGATATTGGAAATAGCGACAGCCTTGTTAAAATCAGGAATTTGACGATTGAGAACGTGTGGGGGTCTGTACAGGGTGATCTGACGAGGCCGGTGCACGTGGCTTGCGGTAAAGGTACTTGCAGCGATTGGACTTTTAGCGGAATCAATATCTTAGGTGGAGGCAAGAGCTATTGTAATTACAAACCTGAAGGATTTTCCTGTTAAAAAATGCTTTTTGAATAAATACTTATGAATCGTAGTTGTAATGAGCGTAGGAGTAGCACGTTATAGACAATGTGGTATAGGGGAATGCTAATTTGAATCCTTAGAATTACTTGTAGTATTGTGGGAGTTGGACTTATGGGTATTAATGGGTAAGTGTTGATGCATTATGCAAGTTATGTGTAATTTCGATCGATATTCAGTGCACAATAGGCTGCATTTGGGATGCCAAAAAGATGAAATAAACTGATGGGTAATTGGGGTGTTTGAACAAAGCATTCCGCTACAGCAAATCAATCGAGCTGTATATTTTTTATATTTATTAGTTTCATTATTTATAAATGAATATTTAATAGGTTAAATATCCAAAATTCAATAACCATAATCCTGCAATATATCAAGCCAATAGTTTCAGAAATTTCCGAATGTACACATACACATAACAAAACCATATTGAGGAGTTTATTGTCGGGTAACAAAGGCAGACTGACCCCGTATACTCCTACCTGAGACCGTGCATCGGGTCTAACGTGGTTGTAAAATAGACGATGTTTAGGTAAAATCTGGGTACAAGACCGTATTATCTCCCGATCGAGCGCAGGCGTACGGTTTCCCATCCATCGGGATACCGTTCCCGGGGAGAGAAACTCTCTCGACTCGCCATTAGCCGTACACCGACGGGAACGGTCGGTTATCAATTCGCCGAATGTTTTAATTTTAGGTACATACGCGAGCGCTCCTTCGGATCGAAAATTACTGGCGTCGGAAAAATAAAAATACTGGCCGTTATCGGCTCCGGTTGACTATTATTTCTCGCGCTCGAGTGAAACTTTGGCTGTTGTCGATTGTTGAAAAATGTTGCGTTCTATCGAAAGTGAGTTTAAAGTTGTGGAAAATTCGTTTGCGGGAACGCCAGGACGCGAGGGAATCGACTACTAGGTGAGTAGATTTTCCGGACGGGCGCTTTTCCATCGCAAAGGAGCAGAACCTGTTGCACGGAGAGTGCTCGGCTCCAGCTCGAATTTGCATTATCGCCGTCTTTTCGAAAATGCAACAAGCGATATTTACCGAACCGAGTGAAATGCGTAAATTTAAAATATCCCTCGCCGTTGTGTCGGCGGAAAACCCGTCGAATAAACTGGGCAATTAAGGCGGGAAATTCGCCAACAAAGTCTGTTTATTTGCGAATTTATCGGGCGATCATTCGAGCGCGTTAAATCAATTCCTTACGCGGAGGAAATTCATAAATTTATGTAGGAAGAAGGATTAAAGTCTCTAATGGGTCATTATTGAAGCAAAAATTGATTTTCCCCCGGGCGGCAGGAGAAACCGATACGGCGAAATTAAAACGAGGCTGGAATATTAAAATTTATGTATAAAAAAACGATGCGAAAAGGGAGTATTTTTAGTCCATGATTTCTGATTTATAAGGCCGATTTTTTTAATATTCATTTGACATAAATGATTCCTTAATTTTTAAATTTATTGAGAGTTGTTGGTCTCTTACTTGTATAGGTAGGTAAATAAAAAATATACAAATTACAAGGATATTCATTACAGTATTGTAAATGAACCCAATTTTAAAATTCATGTTTATTGTTTGACCCAAATTTGAATAAACATACAGGAAAACGAGCAGCTACATTAGGTATATTAAATTTAAATCCTTATAAATGCCTCAATATGTTTACTCTGTATAAAATATATGATGTGCTTGTGAAATTTTGGATCGTATAATAACGTTTGTAGGATTTAAAAATTCTCTCTTTTAAAACGGAAAGTAATTATTCGAGGAATTAATAACCAGAGAAAAAAAATCTCGGGTTGGCGCTTTTTCCGCCATATCCACCGGCGGTTTATCGAATTTTCCAGACGATTGTGCGAGGCGAACGTAAAAAATGTCAAAGGCAAACCGAGGGGAGAGGATACTCAGATACCCTCGAAAAAAAAAAGTATTTTCCACTTCCGAATTCGAAATTTGTCGGCAGTTTTCAGCTGTAAGTGGGCCTTTTTTATGCGATTTTCCTCTCATCAGACTGCCATTAACGGCTCGCTTTAGACAAAACAAGAAAGTTTGCGACAAGCTGCAGTTTTAGGCACATTAAAACAATTTCGAATTCGAATTAGAGACGTCTGAAAATGAGCTCGTTACGAAATGCTCCCGAACGATTGAAGAGCAATTTTGGCACCCCCGTACAATTTCGGATAAAGCTTATTCATGTTATATACCTACTTATTTGAAATAATGACGCCAGAGAAAATGGAAACTTAATGGAAATTAACCGCCTGAAGTTATGAAATTTATACCGAAAACTTCTAGGCGAATAATAATTTAGTTCTAATAATAATAGAGCGATAAATTTATGTACTCACCTCAACATGTAAATGATTAAAATAGAAAAATATTAGTTACAACATGATGTCCTGTATTTAAATGCATTTAATCTCCTGCTGGCGATTTTGATCCTTGCATCAATTTAAATTGTAATTAGTGATAATTATTACAGTAATTTGTAATTAGTAGGTAATTCATTGCTGTTATGGATGGAACTTTGGATATTGTTTACTTTAAAGAGACTCTCTAAACGATTGTTTAGCGTTATAAAAGGATAATATTGAATAATATTGAATATAGTTTGTTAAAAATAGTAACTTTTTAGTGCGTTAGCGCCCCAATTAATTTCGTATGTAAAATTTCTGTTGCAAAGGCATCCTTTCATCCACCTCTTTTCATGCCAATAAAAATATTTTCACATCAGACCCTACGAAAAAAATTCGATAAAAAAAAAACAGAAAAAAATACCCGATTGGTATTTTACCCGAGAGGTGAAAATAAGCAATTAGTTTTCAGTCGACGATCCATTGAAGCGGGTTTAAATACCTGGAAAATGACGCAAGAGGAAAAGAAAGCTTTTTGATATGTTCCATTCTGAATATATTACACGCATGTAAAGAATAAATAGCTGCCGAAGTAAATACATTAATGTATTTTTTTGTTCATATAATATACTAAAAACTTCATTAGCTATTTATAACGCAGAGAAACAATTTAATATAAATTAATACAGTAGCAGCACAAAGTCATATCCTTCCTCTCATTCGGTTTTTAATTCATCATAATTAAATCCTTTTTGAAATGAAAGCGAAAATACCAGCAATTTAAACGCGCCTTTAGAAAGAACTCCACATCAACCCGTCCGCTTTATAGGTAAATATCGTGCACACACGTATACGCTTAATGATGATAAATAACGCGCGAATTTGTCGGGGTTAATTAAACGTAATGACAGACGTTTCGATTAATTACACGTAAAATGATACACACACGCCAATTAGTTCGGCTCGGATTTGTCTCCGTCACGGCGGAAAACTTTCCTCAGACGAAAACTTCCAGCGAGACGAGCGCTCCTGTAACAGATGATATCGATAATTCATTGCAAAGCTTAAGAACAAGCTTAAAACTTACAAGTTTTTCCTGCTAAACTCTCGAAAGCCCGGTGTTTGTATCGCAAATTTTAATTTCTAATGTGTCGCAGTGGAAAGTTTTCCATACATTTCTTGTGAGACAATTCCTTTTCTCACTGTTCTAACGACTAGTACAATTCTAAATTGTCGAGAACCATTTAGAACGGTCTAGAGTGATTTAGAACTGTCTGCAATGATTCAGAAAGCTTCTGAACGAATTAGAACTGTCTGAAGCAATTTAGAACTGTCTAGAATCATTTAAATAGTTTCAAGGCGAATCAGAATTATTGAGAATCATTTAGAACTCTCCAGAATCATTTATAATTCTTCAGAATGATTTAGAACTGTCTACATTGTATACTCTACAATGATTCAGAACACTTCTAAACGAATTCAAACTGTCTAAAACAATTTAGAACTGTCCAGAATGATTAGAACTTGTCCAGAATGATTTAGAACTGTCTACAATGATTCAGAACGTTTATAAACGAATAAGAACTTTCTAAAAAAATGTAGTACTGTTCAGAATGATTTAGAATTGTCCAGAATGATTTAGAACTGTCTACAATGATTCAGAACGCTTATAAACGAATAAGAACTCTCTAAAACAATTAATGTACTGTCCAGAATGATTTAGAATTCTTGAGAACCATTTAGAATTGTCCAAAGTAACTTCAAGTTGAACTTATGGAATTGCCGCGATTGGAATTGCTGATTCACTTAGATTGCTATATTTCTGGCAATGTTCCAGAAAGATTCAACAAGTGGAAAATTATTTATGGCTTCTTGCGTTCCATTGCAGGCTCATTGAATGCAAATATATCGCCGAGCGAAATTTTCGAAATCCCCGTTCTATTATAGCGAATTCCCGAAATCCGGGTCTCGTTATGTTCCTCTCTTCTGTGCCGGAAAACTCCATTAAGTATTTTTTTTTCTTCCGCTCTTAACGATCAACGTCGTTTATACGTTTATCGTCGAAGGATGATGGAGCGATTCTCGATGGTAATAATAGAGCGGACGAAAAAGATACGTGCAGTTGCAGTTTCTTTTCAATCAAAAGTATACACAAAAAACCGGACTTCAAGATGATAAACTGCGTACGAAAAATCGTTACATCGTTCACCTTTATGAAGAATCTTCATCTCGCTTTTTCATCATTTAGAAGCAAAAAAATCGTGATTACGTAAACAACATCCAGCAACCCGCATTATCAAAGATCTCTTTGTACACACGACTTCGTTAACTTCATTCAACATCGACAAACAACTCCGGGTAGATTTTTATTAACAGGACAAATACTCGCGTTCGGCGCGCGTGTGTGTGTGCACGTTCGGTTTTTCCAAAAGACCATTCGGCTACATGAAAAGCAAATAAAATGCTTAGAGCGGAGCCCGTCCGGGCGATATGACGAAGGTCATCTTCGGGCGAGTCTCTCGGGCGATATGGCGCGCACTCATCGCGGAAAATCCAATCCTTTTCCTATATCGTATCAAATATACCATCGCCGGATGATGGAGCGTTTGACGAATTTATTTCCTCCGGATTGTTGCTGGTTTTCCATTAGGAAATTCGATTCAGTTTGTTCGAGCGGATACAAAAATGAGATCTGTTCTAGGAAAATTATACCACATAATTCTGAGGTTAAAATTAAGTCTATTTTCCATCCATTTTTGCAAGTAGCAGCCCCGTATAAATAACGGTCTTTAAATCAAGTTGCAGTATTTTCAATTTTCCTATTAAGGCGATTTTAAATTAGAGTTAGCCGAGATAGAGCGCTGTAGAAACGAAAACGCCGGAGATAAACTGGAAACGCATTAGAGTCTTGCGTACTTCAGGTATGCACTTACGATAAAATGTTATGTTCTTAGCGTCTCGACGGGCATTAAGCGGTTTGCAAATGGAGATTTCGCCATCGAGACTTTATGAGGCAGAAGGGGCCAATAAAACGGGAAATGCATGGCGCGATGGCGATTCGAATTTTAGGTACAATGAGTAACAAAATAAAATAATTTACACTCTTGAAGGGAGATTGAAAATAGCTTTAAAATGAGTTGTAACAAGTCTACCCTTCTAATTTAAAATACAAAAAATTGACTTGAGTTCATAACACTGTGCATACATGATGTTTATGAACACCCTGTATTTTAGATTTCGGTTTTTTTTACTAATAAAACATCCTGTATATACTCAGTCACTTATCCACAACGAGCTCCCTTAAGCTCAATAATATCCATTTTCTTTATACTGGCTCTCAGATCTCTCGAGGGCCTCGAAGGGATAATTTCCTTGCGCTCGACGAGCGCTCCTTTTTATATAGAAGACTTATTAAAACTATGTAGTCAAAAGCCGAAATATAAAGCTGGCGCGTCCTTTGCGAGAGAAATTGTTGACTTGTTCCGCACACGGCAATTCGATATACTTTAATATCCGTTTTGTAATAATAAAATAACTTTGTGTTAGTCATTTTGCTCCGGAATCACAGCACAACATTCGAGGGTTGGCTCCGCATGGAGGCAATTTCCGCTCGTTCGTCGAATTTGTCCGCGTAATTGAAGCGATTTATATATTTTTTGGTCGTTTCCAGGGCCGTATTCAAGAAGCTACCAAGACCAATGCCTGCCCGGAAGGGGCTGTTGGCGCCCCAAAACACCTTCCTGGACACTATAGCAACGCGATTCGATGGAACCCGTGAGTATTCAATTAGAAAATGGTAAACTACGCCCTTAAGGTCGATTTAATTGAAAGGGGAGCTAGATTAGAAGAAACTCGACAAGCTGAGTGTATGCACGACAGTAAAATCGAAAATACACTATGCACTTAAACGAGCGCTTTTCAACCCTTTCCGTGCTCAAAGCGTATATATAAAGCTAACGGACGGTTGAGAAAATAGAGCCGTTTCAATACCAGGGAAATGATTAATTAACATTAGCCTACTTCTCGACTCGCGCCGAAATTGAAAGGCCGACGATTATTTTACAATTAATCTAATTAATCGTGTAATAATATATACCTTTCCATTGTAATTAAAGCGGACAACCGTTGTATTCAAGTGCCCCAATTGTTGGGATATCCCTTTTCTTTTGCGAAAAGAAAAGGGCCGTCTAACGTTAATTACGTCGTGACACTGATATAATTTCGCTTCTTTTTGATTCCCTCCGACCCGAAAAGGTTTCTGCGTTTTTCTTTTAACGCAATGTGCTTAATAAACTGGATTTTATTTAAGAGAATTGTTAATTAAAAAAACAATCCTTTGGTAGGAGTTTGAATTCATTTTTAGGGATACTAATCACCTACCAAAGTCAATAGATTAAAGAACTGCCAACTTACATCTAGTAACTAAAGAGTCACTAGATTTATAAACTGCCAACTTACATCTAGTGAAAAAGATGCAAGCTTGCCAATCTTTCCTCTAAAATTATAAAATTTCATTGCGTCGTTTCTCAGCAGTGCTAGGTTTGCGGAAATCGAGTCGACAAGGGTGCGACAAGGGTGGCTTCTGATGGCTTTACGATAATGAAGCTAAACCAAAAATTTATCAGCCGATCTCTCGACGTTGAATTTATTTTGAAACACGACCGGATTCGCTAGAAGCAAACGGAGATAACGTGGCAGGTAAAGCGTACGTAATCGACTCCGTATTGGCGTTGATGCGATTTTTTTCTCTGACAAAACCCTGCGTATAGTTAATTGGTAATAACCACTAACGGAAACTATCGTTAGCATGTAATTGAATAAGCGGCTAATCGCCGTGGGATAAGTTTTGATTGAACTGCGGCAATAGGCCGTTGCGTAGGAAGGGCCCGTTAATTTCTAATCCCTTCGATGAATTATGGAATATGATTGGGCGCCAGGTTATGATCCCGTATAACCGATTTGCACGCGGTTTTAATTCACCCATTTCCTGTCAATTGATAATAAACAGATGATTGAATGCACGGGCCTATATTTCTAAGGTCTGGAATCTCTCTATGCTTATGCATTACAGAATGTGTCCCGTTATTTGAGGACCTTTTGAGCATCACTTTTTAGTTCACTTTTCAGCTTCATTCAGAATGATGTCATACGTGAAAATGAACCGGTTTCATAATGGAAAACTTTATTAAACAGTAAAATAACGCGCTAATCAAGCGAGATGGAAAGTGGCGTCAAAATAAAATAAAAAAAATCCAACGTTATAGATCCATAAAATAAAAATGCCTCTTGGCACGCTCCGCCTTAGATAACAATAAAATTCGTTAACAATAACAGTGCAAATATATAACAGACAGAAATTTTATTACCTCTGTTCATTGGTAAATTTCACGTGCCGTGTTTACGAGTAATTGTATTTGAAAGCCGGACTGAAAAAATAAACGGCCGATTATTAGATTACCTACTACCTATCGGTGTTTATTTTTCCGAGAAACAAAAAATAGCCAGCAAGAGTAGATCTTTTATTCCAGTTTTCAACGATAATTTCGATAGGGAGACAATAACATTTAAATTTTTAATAGACGATTTGCATTTTACACTCTGCGCTAATCTCATTGTAATAGGTAAATGTAACGAAGCATACAGTTATATGTAAGTGCAAATTTATTTGTTATATGGTCAATTCCATGAGTTGAACAAAGAAAGATTATTAAAAACACAGTTGTTAAAGTGAGAAAGTTGCAATTCCCACAATATCAATCTTTCTTTTTTCTTTATGAGACTAATAAACATGTTTTTTGTTGCCCTTATAACCCTTTATTGCAAACACATTTACTTCTACCTCTATATCATTCAAACACCTGAATCAGACTATATAATAATATAATATAATCTATAAATTGTTGCACTGGATAGTTGCATAAACATGTCAAGACTTGTATGTCACAAAACAACATTACCTATAAATTTGCGTAATATATCTAATAATAGCATGCACAGTTTCCAGAACTTTGGAAACATCCCTCGTACATACAAATTTTCAGTTAACTTTATAACAAACCGCGAAAGCTAGCACGTGTTGGAAATTTTCTCGTAAAATTTTAACAAAATTCTCACTAAAACATGTTTACAACAAAATCAAAGAAAACTGATAATGAACCGATTATTTTATTACAATAACGGCGGTATGCGTAAATTTATAAATAAATTCGCTGGTTTATAAATAAATCGCTTTATAATTGAGTGCTAAACCGTGTTTTTTATTAAACTGTCAGTATATTTGATTTATATGAAATGATTTGGACTTTTTTTAATTAAAAAGGACATTTAAAAATTAACCTTGTCATACAAAATGCGAAACGTATAAATGTAGCTATAAAAATGTTAGAACAAAGTAACATTTACTAAATTCAAATAAACATTTTCGAAACCTACATAAATAACTAAATTGTAAAAATGACACGTTTATAAATAAATAAGGTTTTTTAAAATCGTTTGATCTACACGAATTATTAACAAAACCGATCTTTAGGAAGCATTTCTATTCATAATTTGCGCATCGAATTATATCTACGTATTTTTTATTTATATATTTGGGTAATACAATTTTCCATTCAATGCCATTTTGTAAAAGCAGCAATAAGAAGTAACATTTGGAATGATTTCAATGAAAATCCGCCGAGTGGGAATACGACGAGCATTTATCCAAAAGGCCCTTTTGAAGTTCGTTTGTGAGAAAATTTGTTTACAACTTACAACAAAATACACAAACGTGTTTCCTTTTAGGGGTATTATTTCCCCGAAATGTTTTCGTGCGTTCGGTCAGAAAGTAAAATCACATCTACACAGAGGCCTTTTTTCCACCCATTGTGTGTGCGCCCGTTTTTTTCAAATATGCGGGAAATTAAATTAATTTCGCTACGGAAACATCAATTCCTCGCCGTATTTTTTTCTTTTTTTCGCAATAAACAGGCCAACAAACCCGCCGAACGGAATTCACGGGGCGAGAAAAAAAAACTCCGAATTTCATCGAACCCTATTGCAAAGGTGAAAGTTTACCAGACGCTCGCGAAAAACTTGTTTCTTTATTCATCGATTCCTCAGATTTCCCAAATTTATAAAAATTGCTACTGGCGTTCATCACCCCCTTTATCCGCACGTTAAGGGTTATTCTCTTCGAGCAGATAAGTACCGGGGAATATAAAAAGTATCTAACATATCTAAATTTGATTGTAAGTGCCACTCAAATATAAATTCAAAAACGATGATGTTGGTGGAAAAAATACAGGTTGTCGTAAAAATTTTACACAATAATATGCTATCAAACAAAGATATTCTGTACAAATTTTCATGAAAAATAGTTAAGCCAATCCGATTCGACATCATAAAATCTCTTTAGATTTTTAACTTTAACACCATGTAACTTCTTTTAACAGCTCTTTTAGATAAGGTAAGTTAGGTTAAATCGTTTTATTTTCATCTTAGAAGTCCGTATTTAAGCAATGTCCTTTTTTTACTTTTTGGCGACACCCTGTATATGTTGCCATGAAAGAAATTGCCTGTGCAACACCATACAATGTAACAGTATACCTACACGCGTATGAGTAAGTTAATAAACCAGCAAAGCTATATACACAGGGTTTTTTTCCAGCATCTCCGGCTTCATTCATTTGGAAATTTAATTTCCCATCAAACTCTCGACGTGCGTCGAACGAGTCAATTTATTTTTTAATAATCGAACAAAGGATTACATGCGACAGCGCTGCTTTGCGTTTCTTTTTGAACCGAAAATTCCGGTGTTCGCGATTCCGTGTAATTAGCGAGAATGCGACATGTGCAACGTTGTTAGTAATTAATAGGCAAATGTAATGCGTATCGATACAAATTCAATAAAATTCCCGCGCTAATTATCCGAGTCGCGTAAAAATATCAACGCTCTAATCGCTTTAGCTCGTCGTAAATAATTAATTTTCGCGCCGGGAATGGCTGTAAATTCCGGTGTAAACACAACCTTCCGGTAAATTGCTGATAAGATTATAAAGCGACCGACATCGGTCGATAATTGAATTTATTTTCCATCGAACGGGAGGAAAATTGATACGTATGAGGTGTAAATATACACAAACACGACGCGTTGTCTCGTTACTTACAATTTCGAAGCTCCCGATGGGACTTTGAAATGGCGGAAAACGCGTTTTTCCGAGCGTTTGTTTGCTCAACCGGAGGAAAGATAAGTAGATAAAAACGAGCTTCAAGTTATAATTTTAAATTGTTCAAATACTTTCCACCCAATAAAAGTTACTGCATAATTCGCAGGAGATTGTTATTGAGAAATTTTATATTGAATAAAACTAAATATTAAAGAATAATTCGTCAGTAAAACTCGATGTTAAATAATGAGGGATTATTAAAATGAAATTTTAATCTCTTCGGGAAGTTTCGGGGTAAAAATTTAATTTCCTCAATTTGAATTTTTTAATCCCAATTAGGCATTGTTGGGTCCCGACTGGAAGTTGGGAAGATTCCACTTCGATTATACAACCCGTCCCGGCGGGATTAGAGATAATTTACGCTCAAAACTCCCGAAATTTCGACCGATACACAAAACCGTGCGTATATGCCGAAAGTTTATTTATTCCACGTTTTTACTTCTCGGCTCTTTTTTTCCCTCCAATCAGCCGCAATTCTAGGGGGTTTTATGGCGGTTTTAGTCCGGGAAATTTCCCGTGCAGCAGTCTCATCATCGGAGCTTTTCCTAAACTTTAATTCGATTCCGT